GCGGCAGTGCCGCCAATAACAGGGACGGTAAGGAAAAAGACGACGAAAAACCGTCGACGAGCGGATTACATTTGTCGTTTAAAAGCTTCCCCGAGAAGGCGTTGGAGAATTTCCTCAAGTCTCAGGCAGAAGAGTCATCCGAAGAAGAGTCATCCGAAGATGAGGCACCAGTGACCGTGCCCGAGCCGCCTGTTGTCCCACAGAGGCGTGTTTTGGAATCAGATGGCACCGAAGATTACTATGTGGACAGGAAGGGTAACCAATCTTTCCTCCTCGATAAAGTCACAACCATATACAGGCCGACAACGCCGAACTACCGCATCCGGATGAAATTTCTGAGGGATTGGCGCTGCGCAAAGCGCGTGGTCCCCAAAATCCCCCGCTACGTTACGTACGTGGATACCGGCCCCGATGAAAAGACCTCGGAGTTGATGTTGCAGAAGCAAGATGCGAAGATCCAAGGGCTGAAGGTGGCAGTCGAAACGGAGCCGCAGCACCATGACAATTGGGTGGACCTGCACCACATGCTGGGCCTCAACATGTACAAGGCCAATCGATTTGCCGTGTTGGAGCACCAGTTACATTTCCTCGAAAAAGCCCTCGTCCACCATCCGTTCAGCGATCAGCTGCTGTACCTGTATACGCAGACCGCGTCGGACGCCTATCCAGCCAGTCAGGTGGGCCCTCCTTCCATATTCTAGCTTCTGCCCTCAGAGCTGTTATTAACCATTTCTCCAATTATTTCCAGTTGGCGAACCTTCTGAAACGCATGCTGGACAAGAATCCATACCAGTATACGCTTTGGACTTCTCTGATCATGGCCACTCAAGGGACAATGGCACGCTGCTTCGTGCCCGATGTCTTGCGCATCTACGAGGAAAGCATGCGCCGCATGCAGCTCGGCCACACCGACGCCACTACCCAGAAGCTCGACTCGGTGGACACGGACCCAATGATGATGAGGTTGTTCAACAACTGCTGCCTGTTCCTGCGCCAGTCGGGCTACTTAAACCAGCTCTTCGCCCTCATTCGCCTGGCCTTGGAGCTGAACTTTCCCGGCCAGGCCATGGACTGCCTGGAGGCCACGGCCACCGATGAACAGCCGCTGATCGAGTACGAAGAGGTGGTGCTGAGCTCGGGCCTGCCCATGGCTCAGATCTGGACACGCGTGGAGCTGCTCCGCCAGGCCTTTCACTACCTCCCGTATCCACAGATGCGCCCCTCGGAAGCCGACGCACTGCAGGGCGGCCTGGACCCGCAGCGCTGCGTCTTAACCGAAGAAGTGTGTCACTATGCCTACCCGCTGAAGGCGCCCGAGAACAGGCTGCATCTCATGCTGCTGGTGATCCAGCTGATGAAGCTGCCCATCGGCACATCCGAATGCCTTGCGGCGAGACTCTGCCCGCGCCTTGATCAGTTTGGCGAATCCGACGCCGTTGAGTTGATTCTGGCCGGACTGGCGGATCGCAGCTCCTACGCCTTGCCCGTCGAACAGAGCCTTGACTTTGCGAAGGCCTTGATGGTCATGGCCAAGGAGCTAAGCGTCGCCCCGAGCTACCTTCCCCACATGATTGGCAACGAGCTGTTCACCGCGACCCTGAGCAAGCTTCTACTCAATGCTGCGGCCGCGTTCCACCCGGCAGAGCCGAAGAGGCGCATCTTCATTGTGCTGTGGTACCGACTCCAGCGCCTCATCCTCCTCGCGAGTAAGCTCACTGGCAAGATGACTGAGGCTACCGTGAAGGTGATGCGCTCCGCCATCCGAAAATTGATGGAAAGAGAGGAGAACCAAGAGGTGACCCGTTTCTATGTCGAGTACGGCATGTGGGAGTTCGAGCGCCTGGAGGGCGACGACGATCCCAGCAAAGCCTTCAAAATATTCCAGAAACTGATCGATGGGATGGCTCACGGAGACCACGGGCTCACATGTCCTGACACAATGCAGGCATACATCACGTATGCGGAGATGCTGCTTGTCCACAATCGCCGGGAGAAGGCCCTCCATCTGCTCTGCTGCCTGTGCCGCGGCCAGCACGTGAACAGTCTCAGCCAGGAGGCGGCCATTGACATGATGACGAATCTGGACACCGGCATGGAGATACTGGAAAACGAAGTGCGCTCTCTGGATGTGATGCAGTCGAAAATGCTCCTCGAAGAGTACTTTCATCCCCACAAGCTGCTGATCTATGTGCGCGCCCGCTGCCTGCTGCTCAGCATGATGAACCGCTCCGAAAAAGCCAATAGTTGGCTGATCGATCTGCTCGAGGGACCCCTGTCCAAGGCCAAGGCCCAGACCAGCGAGAGACGTCGCTTTCTGCGGGAGCAGGTGATGGAAATCCGCATGCTTGTCCTGCAGTTGCCAGCCTTTCCACTGGAGTCGGGAGTCGCTCCGAGGCGAGTAGTAAGTTCTTCAGATACCCTTTTCAAGCTCCTACCTCTCTACATAACTGCTTCTCCAACAGGACTCGAACCTAAAACACCTGGCTACGAGGAACAAGCTGCTCGTGTCGCTGGTGCAGTCGGGCCTGGAGGAGTTCCCTCGCAACATGGCCATGCTGCTGCGCTGGTCCACGTTTTCCACCATGGAGTGGCACAAGATGCGCGCCGGATTCATTCGCACCGAGGCTGGCATCTCCTCCCTGGTGCACTTGGTCGTGGCCGCCAGCTGCCGCTTCACCACATTGATACAGGAATCCCAAGGACATGATATGCTGGATACGCTGCAGGTCGCCGTGCGCAACCGCGTGATGAGCATGTTTGCGACGTTCCTGCCGACTAATCCGTACCGCAGCGAGTTCGAGGTCAGGCAGTGGGCGCTCCTGAAGAAGAACTCGCTCTACTGGCGCTTGTACCTGCGGAGCCTCAGCGATGTCAACGCCAGCTTCGAGCGCAGCAAGGAGTGCCTGTTGACCGCCCTGGATGAGTGTCCCTGGGACAAGGCCATCTACACAGAAGGGGCCACCCAAATTCCGGAGAAACTGAGCCACCTGCAAGACCTTATGGTCGAGAAGCACCTCCGCATGTTTGCTCTCCCCGAAGAGCTGGAGATCCTGCGAAGCTCCTAGCTCGTCCAAAGGACCAGCCACCCAGTCACTTATTTCGTAATATGGCCCGCAATAAAGGGGGTTTCTACTGGTAACACGTTTGGGTCACTTGTTTGGAGTTCAAGAGGTGAGTGGTCGACCTATAGAGCTGTTATAGAGCTGTTTAGTATGCTAATATTAGTACTAGCCATTAGTCCATTGCTGGCCTAATCTCTTATCGGAGCAAGCCCATAAGCCCACCCAGCTAGACCAGTCTGGGGAGTCTGGCATTCCTCGGGAGTTGGGCGATAAAGCCTCGGTAGATATCGCCGAATCAGCTGCTGGGCCAAACATTCGATTATGCTAAAGGTTTCCATCCCGCTATCTCCTGGCTAGTCGGAGGGGGAATCACCCCGAGAGCCCGACTATCGGATGACTGAGATTGGTGCGTCTGCTCTCCGTGTTTATTATTTTGAGTGTCTTATCACCAGATAGCCGAAGGAAACTCGTAAGCCCAAAACCAGAGAGGGAGCACAGATAGTGCCAGAATTATAGTATACGATGGGGTCTGTTGGAAGGTAACTAATGCAAGCTTGATCTTTATTCCAATTTTAATTGATTATTTGGAGGATAATATATTTTAATTTAAAAATTCAGAACAATCGGCAGTCGTTTTTGGGGTCAAGGTTCGATACTATCTGGAAGTTGACCCTCATGGTTTAAATTTTATAGGAATATGGATCGATTCCTGACCTTGGTTTCCATATTTTTGATAACATTTCTATTCAAAACCGGAAATGTATTTTTTTTTTGTTTTGAAATTTTTTAGGAAACCTACTTTTTGTGGCCCCGATTGTGGCGATTAGCGAGAGTGAGCGGGACAGAGATACACTTGCCACTCGACTCGAATGTTGCGTATGCGCCCTGTCTGCCTTGCCACTAGGATTGTGTGTGTTTTTTCGGACCTCCTTCTGGCTCCTTCGTTCGTCACTGTTGCTTTTCAAGGAGCCACCCTGGAGGAGATGGGGTCAGGATGGAAAAGCTTCGCTCGAAAGCTATCTGAGAGTCCTGGCTGCTGCTTTTGTTCGCTAATCAGTTTTGCTGCTTGCTGTTTCTGCCACTGCCACTGCCACTGCCACTGCCACTGCCTCTGCCTGCTGGCTGGCTGGCTGCTTTCGAGGAGACGCAACTCCCGGCATCAGTCGGTCGGCATCTGTCCAAGTCCCACGACGCGCGTTGCTCCGGTCTGCTGGAAGCAGCCCAGTGGCGCCTCCGCATCCCAAACACAGTAGTGCTTCAGAATCTGACTTCTAGCAGTTGACGGTTTCCCTTCCCGGCCGTTTATCTTTTAATTTATGGCCGAAATTCCTAGGTTAGTACCGAGTACCGAGCTCGCCCCCACCCCTCCCAGTGTTGGTGTTCATTATCTGGCCCAGTGTGCGTGTGTGTGTGTGTGTGCAGAATCTACGGAGCCGGAGAGGAGCATTGTATAAGACGCCAGCGTCAGGTCCACAGACTGAACACTAAGCAGCGACAAGCTGTCGCGCCTCCGCTCCAAGAAAAAGCTCCTAGCGAGAGCGGCTCTCTCGGAGTCTAGTGTTTTCCACACGGCGGAAAAACTTGGCCTACTTTTGGGATACAATTTTGAGATAAAATGGTGGTGGGAGATACTTAATCCCTCTTATTAGTTTGGGAAATCTTTTAAATAAGCTATTAAGATCATGGTTTTCCCCCCCATTTTCTCGCTGTGCAGGTGGCGAGGGTTTCCCGGCCGGAAACCATAGTCAAGGTCTCGCCGCTCTCCTCGTCAACGCAGGTTGTTGCTTCTCTTTCCGCCATTGCTCTCTCTCGGAGTAAGCTTTTTCCTCCCCCTCTCGTCGACAGCTTTGGGGCAGCTGATTCCGAGGAAGGCCCTCTCTCATCCGCTGTCGCTGCCTCGGTCTCGGCCACTGCCACTGCCACTGCCAGTGCCTCTGCTCGCTGCTCTCTGCTCGCTGCTGGCTGGTCTGGCTGATTAGTTTAGTTTGTGATTTCAATATATGTAATTAATTTTTGTTTCTGTAGCGGTTCGGACGGACGCGTCGCGACGTTCGCTTGGCTCGCTCGCTAGCTGCTTCACCGTCGCTGTTTTCCCCAAATCGTATTCTCGCAGTCGCACTCGCAGTCGCAGTCGCAGGCGTACTCGTACTTCTATATTCCTATTTATTATTTTTATTTTTTGCGTGTGCCAGTGGCAGTAGCCATTACCAGTAACAGTAACACTGTATATGTGTATATATGTGTGTGTATGAGTGAACGGTCTCAGGCTCTTCCTCTTCCAGTGCTTGCCTTTTTCGTGGGTCACCGCCGCCGCCACCGCCGCCGCCGCCGCTAAAATGCAAAGAACACGCTCGAGAAACGTAAATGGCGCCGCGCTAACCAATGGAATTGGAATATCAAACAGTGCCCCCCAAGCCCCATAAATCGGCGACCAAATCGGAAGCAAAACACGGCTAGACCTCCGGAGTCCGGAGAGAAAACCAAGCTGAATCTGTTGTTTTTTTTTTTCGGTGTATGTGTGTGTGAATGCCAGTGGCCAGTGTGTTGTGCTTTTTGTGGAAGAAACAGACCACAGAGGAGTTCGGAGCATACCACAAGAAAAGGTAGAGGAAGCTGCAAAAGCCCCCCCCCAAAAGAAACACATCATTTATTTAAGAAAGTTGCTTCATGTTGCTGACCCCCAGATCCCCCCAAAAAAATCAGCTGCGCGAGCGCGCGCCTTTTTTTTCTTGCAGTCGCGATCGAAACCCGAGAACCTGTGGCAGCACTTCTGCTGCTGGATGCTCGGCGCATTCGATTCCCGAATTCCCAGTAGTGCCCAGTGACTGACAGACCCCGAAAATCTGCTTAGCCAACATTAAGAAACAGACACTGAAAAACAAAGACAGATACAGATACAGAGACAGAAAAGCAGTCACATCGACACAATCAATGAGGCAAGACAACAAAAAATTAACATATTAATGAATTTCCAGTTTCTTTTTTCGGATTATTAAATTTCGTTGTCGTTTGTTGATCAAGAATATAGCCGACTCTTGGCTATAACCCCAAAAAAAAAAACCAAGCCAGATACCAACCAACCAACAAAAAAAAACTAAAAACCCTAAACACTAAACACTTTGTATCTTTAAGATCGAGGCGGCAGTAGCTGCTGCTGGTGGTGGTGCTCAGGGTTTCGGATGATTTACGGGGGCCGTTAGGTGACTTGGCAACATTTCAACGCCACTCTCGTAACCATAGCCCCTAATAATGTATCTATCATATTTTCGGATGCCAAACTCTCGGATCGGAGATCAAGGAGTCTGGAGAATCGAATGATATAGTAGATATAGTATATAGTATCTCGTAGTTTGTGCCTCAGAGACACCCTTGAACTGCTTGGGCACTCGAATGGTCATTAAAACGTTACGATACTTGTGATGATTATGATCATAATGATGATAATGATGATGATTATGATGGAAGACGATGATAATACGCGCCATAATAAAAGTTCATAAAAGTCGTCAGTGGTATTATATTTTTCCATTTTTTTTTGGCAACAGTGTTTCCAATGATTTACCCACCAGTTCCGAGTTCCGATCAATAAAATAAAAAAAACGTTTTTTTTTTTTTTGGCTTTGGTTTTTCGTTTTTTATTATTTTTGTTTTTTTTTTTTTATTTTTATTTCATTTTTTTTTTTTTTTGAGTTGTTTGGTTGTGCCGCTCTCAAGGTTTTCGTGGCTGTGTGGCTTATTTTTATTATTATTTTCTCTGTCAGTATTTGTTACTTGTTTGTTGTTGTTATTGTTGTTGTTTCTGTTTGTTGTTTTTGTTTCATGTTTGATAATTAATTTCAACGTCGAGTCTTGGTTTCTGTTGGCATTTCAATTGCGACTCCAAAACGACTGTTAATAACACTTTCGAGATTAGAGCCATGCATCAATATAATTTATAAACGAAATGAATTTTTAAAATTTAATTGTTTAAATATATATATATATTTATATTCGTGTGTGTGTGTGTGTAGTATTTGTTGTTTTTGTCGCCTTTATGAAATTTTTGCTGACGTCGCGTCTGAGAGCAACGTCACGTTTCGGCTGAGCGGAAGAGCAACAGCGAGAGCATAGCGGGAGCGGGAGCGTACTGGCCTGGCTCATGGGAGAGCGAGCTGAAAGCTCAATGGGCGGCAGGCGGCTGGCGACTGGTGCGACAAAGACAGCCGTATGTTGAGGGAAAAGGAAAGCCGAACTTGTACTGAAAGCGGACCTGAGGCAGCAGCGGCAGCAACGGCAGCTGATAACCTAACCTAGACAACAAAAACGCTCACGAGCCGCTGGCCAGCCGCTGAACACTGGCGCCCGCTTCTTGGGGCCTGCATTTGTTTCCCCACTTTATGGCCACAAAATGACAGACCCCCCATCACTCATTGGCCAGTCAGGCTTGAAAAATGTGTTTCCGAACTGGGTTTCAATTAGTATTTGGCGTTTAATTAATATTTCAAAGCCAGAAACGGGCAGAAATTTTACTCAGAAAGCAGAAATTTGTACTTTTTTAGAAAACGTTTTTATGAAATTTTCGAAAATAATGCTGGGAAACCGCTTGCCCAGTGATCGGGTAATAAATTAAGATCGATCCGCCAACAATGTAGACTGGCCGAGCACAGACGTCTATCGATAAATCGAATCTTAATTGGCGTCGAATCAGCATGACTGATTGGATCGCTGGGAATCGTAAATCTCGTAGGGATTGGGATTGAGGGACGGGAGAGGGATGGAGGGGCCATACTACGCACTCAGAGTCGAGATAGCTTGACGCCATCTTAGGCTGCCCCGCTAATTAAATCAAATTCGGTTTAGATCAGCTTCAGCCCGTTCGTCGGGGCTTACGGGGCGTATGCGCAATCTTCGTGGGCACCACACCACACCACGCATACGCCCCGTTGTACGCCACTTCGGGGCTAATCTACGGAGTACCTTGTAGTGTGGCAACTAAAAGAAAACCTCAACTATTTCTCCCGGTGGACCATTACGTCGGCCTGTGTTATGGAATGTTATGCAAAGTGCACTGGGAAATCTTCGTAGAACGTGCTCCAGCGACCACGTTCTTCGGCCCCTCGCGCTCTCTCTCTCTCTCTCTCTTGGCTCCTGCTTTGCTCTTCTCCCGCTCCCGCTCCGAATGCTCTGCTATTTTTGGTTTTTGCGACAACTTTTTGCCAGCCACCACCTGATGTCGACGTCGTCGCTGCCTCTGCCTCTGTCGCAGTCGCAGTCGCAGCTAGCGTCGACTGCGAGCAGGAGCCGCGTCTGAGACGGACTCAGTGGGCTGATGGGGAGCCAGAGGAAAAGCTGAGGCAGCAAGAGCTTCTGATTTTTGTTGTTTCTTTCTTTCTGTTTGTTTGTTTGCCGTTTCGGGAATGGCGCGTAATTCTCGTCGAAGGACACGGCCAGCCCTGCCAGGGCGACCTGCTTGTCGCAGCAATCCCTACGCCCGTTAATATTCCACTTAACGAGGCACAAATTCCATATAAAAGTTGAATGGAACGACCTGCAAAGTGATCCTCTCAAATGATCTATTAGCAGGCGATACACTGCCTCTAAAAATAGTTGCCGCACAGCGGTGGAGAGCGCGAACGCTGCGTATACGTAATATTGCGTATACGCCGGGTGGGTCGGGCACAGTCCAAGCCGTGTGGGAAGGGGGTGGCTTGCGATGTAACTCCAACTATTGGGAATGTAAACAAACCGCAACTGAGTGGGGGGCGGGGGAGTGTGGCCAGCCCAGGGGGTGGTGGGACGTCAAACGTCAAGGCAAATTATATAATTTATTTATTTTCTCGGTTTTTCGCTCTCCCCCCGCCCCCCTCCCTTCGCCTCCTCGGCTCCTCGGGTGTCGTTTGCTTTTCGTGCTCACGCTGTTCTTTTGTTGTTCTTTTTGATAATCCCCCGTACCACCCCGCCCCGCCCTTAGGTTCGGTTGTCTGGCAAATGGCTTTCTGCCTTCTGCTCGCCAATTTCTGCCGTTCTCATTTTTTTTTCGCCTTTTTGGTTTTTTTTTTTTATATTTTTTGGCTCGCTTTTTGACAGAGCACTTGAATTATTTTTTTTTTTTTTTACTCTGGCTCACTTGCTCTGGCGTTTTTTTTCTACGTCGCGTCTGAAATGCAAATAAACCAAGTGCAAAATGGAAATAAAAAAGGAACAGATAGCAGAAAAGGTTTTTTTTTGTTTTTATTTTTTATATTACACTTAAATGTTGTTGTTACTTTTTCTCCCGCCGCGAGTGCTGGCTGGCTTTCTGGCTTTTGCTTTTGTTTTTTGCAATTACGAGCGCTGGCGGGTGATTGACCCGCGAGGCCCCAGCCTCGGACCTCCCAGCCCGTTTCCAGATCCGGAGGCACTGCAGCTGTATGCAGGGGTAGGCCAGGGGGCTGTCTCCGAAGGGTGAGAGAGTGTGATGTGGTGGCAGTGACAGTGGCTGCGGAGCGTGTGTCAACCGCAGAAAGCAAACAGTTTGTGGAAAATGTTGGCCAGGATTTGCCGCGTGCGTGACAGGTCTCTGGAAAGCAAAGTCCCTGCCAAGGATATAGGCATCTGCAGTGGTAGAGTCCCCACTCCCAATAAAACAGTACACCTTTAGTAATCATATTTGAGTTAAGGACCCCAGCCACACAGCCAGTCTTCACTGTGCACACGCACATCCAGGTGGGCCTTACCCATGATGTCCTTGTGCCTGCCTGCAGATACACATACACATGCCACACACTCCTGCTTTCGTGCCAGAGCCGCACAAAGACAAACACAAACACAAACAGAAACCGAAACAGAAACAGAGACACTCGTCGGAAAGTTTATCTTCTTATATGTATGTTTGATTTAGACTGCCAGGCAACACTTGAGTTGAATGCGCGCAAAATACCAAAATTTATGGGGCCCACACTCGTTAGGGGGAAATTCAAGAAGCTGGAGCCAGCAGCTAGCAGCCAGCAGTCAGCAGCCAGGATCTGAAAGATGAAAGGTAGTGATAGAAACTAGACAGACCACAGCAGGACCAGATATCCAGAGTCACAGCAGTTCAGGTGGCGATGGATGGTGCTAACTTTTGGGTCGGCTTTAACCGGTTTATATTTTCACAAAAAAGCCACAAAGCCAACGAGATAACAAAGAGTCTAAAACAAAAGGAGACAATCGAGCAGCGCACAGTTCGGCTCAGCGGCCGAGCAACAGGTGACAGCAGCAGCCCAGATCCGATCAGCGTCCATATACTCGAAGAGTCGCGTATTCGCATACTCGCATACTTGAGTATTAACATTTTTTTTTGTTCGCCGCCAGCTAGTGAGAAATACAAATTTAAATATATAAATTAAAGTATTCATTTAATTAGCAAAAAACAACCGCAAAATCGACAAAAACAATTTTACATTCAGAGTTGAGCCATAAAATCGACAAGAAGAATGCGCGAGTCTGAGAAAGACGAAGCTTAGATACGCTACCTCTTTATTTTATTGAAAAAACAAGGCCTACTGTGCGTATACTTGATGTTGCGTATACGCACTGTTGGCTCGCTCTCTTCAAACATGGTAATTTTGTTAGAGATGGAATAGGTGCAATAGAAAGATCTTTATTTCTAAATCTAAATCTATAATTTGTCTTGAAAATTAGCTCAAAAAATATTAAACTTTTATCAAAAACCATAGCCAACTATGCGTATACTTGATATTGCGTATACGCACTGTGGATGCTGGTGGACATACATTCTGAGTATATAAGCGATGGGAAAGGAAGATATTCAGCCTTAGAGCTCTGTTTGTCTCGAAAACTCTTCCAAGCCTCGTATAGAAAGTATAGATCCTACTATGCGTATACGTGATATTGCGTATACGCACTGTGGGTGCTGGTAGACATATATTCTGAGTATATAAGCGATGGGAAAGGAAGATATTCAGCCTTAGAGATCTGTTTGTCTCAAAAATTCGCCCAAGCCCTTTATGGAAAGTCTAGATCCTACTATGCGTATACGTGATATTGCGTATACGCACTGTGGGTGCTGGTGGACTACTTTGAACATATATTCTGAGTTTTTAAAATATAGGAAAGGACTTTATTCCGCTCTAAGCTTTGTTTGTCTCGAAAATTCGCCCAAGCTTTGTATGGAAATTATAGATCCTACTAGGCGTATACGTGATATTGCGTATACGCACTGTAGGTGTAAGTGGGAGCTCTCAAAGCATAGTTTTTGTGTATTTTGGATAGGAAAAGGAAGTATATTCATTCCTAGACTTCATTTGTCTCAAAATCAATGCAAAAAGCAGTAAACTTTTTGCAAAAAAGAGTAAAAATAATAGGACCGAAAAAATTCCATCAAAACCACAAAAAATGCAATTTAAATTCAATTAAAAAACTATTTGGAAAGTGTTTACCATTCTAGAAGACGTTTACAAAGCCCGTAGACACTGGATACCTTTATTTTGTATTTTTTTATGCTTTTTTTTTTGCACGTGTGCGAATATGACGGAGGAGGAACAACACAGAAAACATAATAAAAATGATTTTTTTTTTCCTTTCTCTTCTCTATTCTTCAGCAACAACGAGCGAACACTTGCTGTGGAAACTGAATGGAAGTCCAGCAAGAGCAACAAGAACACAAAAAAGTGAAACAACAACAACAACAACAACAACAACAACAAAAAAGTGTAACCACAACAAAAACAACAACTAAATACCTCCAGCTGTACAAATATTCATTGATATTTAAAAACTAAAGAAGAAACAAGCACAGTACCAAAATAAAAACAAAAAACATTAAAATAAAAAAATGAGTAAATAATAAAAGTGCGCGAAAATTGGTAGAAATGTTTGAGAAAATACTGCGAGAGACTTTGATTTTCAACTCGTCAACAAAAAAATACACAAAAAGAAATACCTAAAAGGAGAGCTTTAGGTAGAATTTGCAAAAACATTTATTTTTTTTATTATTATTTTTATTGTTTTTTTTTTGGAAAATAAAGTACAAAGGATCACAAAGAAAAAGAAAATAAAAAGCAGACAACAAAAGAGAGTCGCAACTGCATAAACCGATATCGGTTGGACGGAAAAGCAGAAACAAACACAAAAAGTGAAACAAGAGCAGACGAAGCAAAACAAAGTAATACAAAATATATAATTTCGCCAATATACAACCACCCTAGCCGCCCAGCCACCCAGCCACCCATCCACCCAGCCACCCAGCCATCCCCTCCCGCCAGACGGAGCGAGACAGCGAGACGCGGGAGAGCAGGCGAAATAAACAAACCGCAGGCGGTGCGAGTACAAGTGTGAGCGGGAGAGGCAGAGTGAGGCTAGCAGGCTAGCGGGCTAACAGGCTAACGAGATACCGTTGCCCTTGGCCAACAGAGCGCCGAGCAGGAGGAGAGCGAAGGAGAGCCAGGGCGAGTGAGCGAAAGCTTCATGCAGAAAAACAAGAAACAGCGCAAAACATGTAAGTGAAATTGATTTTTCTCTCTCTCTACTCCACTCTACCTTCTCCACTCTCCTTTCTCCACTCTCCTTTCTCCTCTCCACTCTTCCCTCTTTTGATTGTTATTATTGTTGTTATTGTTATGGCCGAGCATTAGACGTGAATATTTCATGATTGATTTATGTGTGCCCAGGGAGAGCTAAGGTGGTGGTAGTGCGGCTTGGAGAGACCTTAGATTTTGGGCCAGGAGGACCTCAAGGGCAGTATCTTATCTGGCAGGTGCTCTGCCAGCTCATCGTGTTATTGCAGTTACTGCATCACCATGGCCCTGATAGTAGCCCACCTATATGCAGGCAGAGGTGACTCAGTCCTGGGAAACATGGAGTGACTAACGGGGAGGATGAGTAGCCGGGATTAGGGATAGTTTCGGATGGCAGGAGTATTATATTCATGCTGAACAGCTTGTATGGAGATTATAATTCCCCCACACAGTCACATCTCCATACTATGGTTGGACAAACGATTATTTGTACATCGATGCGGCCAGTCGGGGGCCTAATGGAGCAAGACCCCCGATCTGAACTCTAATAGCTGAAAAATTATACCCGAAATTGCGGCCAGAATGAGAGATTAAAAGGTTTATTGGGATGTCGTACACCCAGTACACCCAGTAAACACTGAGCTGATAAGATTGCGGGGAAACATGGAACGAGATTACCGGCTGGAACTCCCGGGGATCCTGGGGATAGTTCGGTGGGTCGCGCGATAACATAATCTCCATTGTTGTTTGCTTGTAATCCGATCGATGAGACACAGATCCCCGCCAGAACTTTGGGGGAGGGGAAATCTAAGAAGAGACGCTGGAGGCCCTGGTTGGAGGCTCTGTGTGTTTATTGAATTATGGACAACTACCAAGTGTCAATATTGGCAAATGGCATTCGTCGTAAACACGGCGAATGGAATATTCACGGAATCGGGTGAAAAGTGCTTAACTTGCCCACCCCCCTCCCGGGCTCCCTGGCCAGCGCCCTCTCCTCCACAGCTGGCGGTTCCATTGCGTTGCGTATACGCCCCATTGCACTGACAGCCAGCCATGCAAAAGCGTCGGCAGTCCGCGCGGCAGTCCAGTCAGCGCTGTCTGGCGTTTTTGGCAGCCATTGACATGACTCCCCCTCATGTACCGCCACTACTTGAGCTACACTCGAAAACAATTACAAAACAAAGTTGGGAAGTGCACCAACAAAATAGAATAATAAAGCTATTCGGGGGGTGGGAGGAAAAACAAAACAACAGAAAACAGAAACGGGCAGAAAGCAAATATTACGGCAATCGCCGATGATAACAACTAGAAAACACAAAAAAAAAAACATGAAAAAGAGCTGGATTGCATATTACTTACTTGCCCCGTCGTCACTCGAGTGGCTGTCGTCTTCCTGGTTGTAATCGCAGATAGCACAGTGCCCTCAAAAGGTCTATTTTCGGACGGCGCAGGGTGATAGTTGATAGTTCGATAACCATTCTGAATGCAAGTGTATCCCAAGACTGTCGCCCGGCCATCACCCAGCCGCCGCCAAGTGAAATAGATTCGTTTTTGATTGCCCGGATGACCAAGACAACACATTCATTAAAGTCTCTGCCTCCTCAAGGATAGATTGTCTATCGAGGCATTAGCATTAGCATTAGGACTGTCACACATATATGTAGACTCCAATTGTCCGCCAGCAATCGCCAGAAAAATAAAAACAAACGATGATGATCGAGTTCGAGGGCAAAAAATACGAAATTTATGACTGCGAGGCCCTCCTCCACCTCCACCCCCACTGCCACTGCCATACAGTGTGAATCAGAGGAGGTATTTATGGACATGTATATGACAAAGGAACGGAATGGCCCAAGCGAGGAGTAGATATAGTTCGAAGATAGCCAAGATCTGTGCGTCTATATCTGCGGCGTCGGTATTATTTATAGGCGGCACTTGGACAAGATTCGCATATAAATAACACCCAGCATATCTCTGGCCTCTGGCACTGTCACTTGTTGGCCAGCCGTCCTTCCGCCCCCCTTTGGAGAGCCTCCGCCCCGGCGCCCGCCACTCACGCCAGTTTATGGCCGAGTTCGATCGTAAAATCCCAGGAGCCTCGGGTCCAATTGCGACCGTTGTGCTCAGTGTCTGATGTCGTTTTATTCCGATCTATTTATAAAATATTCAAATGCCGGACAATAATATGGGGAGCCGAGAAAAAGGCGGGAATGTCGCATAGTTTTTGTGAAAAAGTCAGCAACACCTGACTGGCCTATTTTGCAATAGATCCGAGTGTCGATTGGGATGTGGGGTGCCAATCTATCGGGGCCTCCTATCAGGCAGGGCCCATGATGTAATGATAGTTCCTCAGCTGATCTCACTATCACCCTGTGTCTGTTTATACTTTCCAGATGGAGAACATGGAGGGTGCGAGTCGCAGAAGGAACTCCTCCGTTACGAGCCAAGGTCACGGTCGCCAGGGTCAGGTCGGCCAGGACGTTGAGGATCTCAAGCCAGACATTCCCTACTTCGACGATCCCCCAGCAGAGGGCTCTGCCGCCTCCGTTTCCGTTTCCGGCCCGGACTACGACACCGAGCTGTTGCCCCTGGAGAAAAATGAATGCGATCTGGACAGTCTTGCGTGGGACGCTGCGGCGGACACCGATTTGGACGCGGATGCGGACGGAGAGACCCTGACTCCGCGGCTGAAGAAGGTTCGGCAGTCAGACATGGACGAAGACAACTTCCCGGACGAGAACGAGAGCTCGGTGCTGGGCAGCGACTACGCCCCCAGCGGGAGTGGCAGCGGGAGTGCCGCCAACAGCTTCTACCTGTCGCCCACGCCCTCCGCCTCGGGCTCCCTATCCGGTTCCGGTTGCGACCTGATGCTCCGGCCGCCTTCGAGCTCCATGTACCTCTTCAACTACCGCTCGCCGAGCTCCATGCCGCTGGCGATGGCGGGCTCGGGCAACGGCAGCTCCGGTTCCAGCCCTGGAGGCGGACGCATGTACGCGTACCCACATTCCCCGGCACCGCCACCGCCCGCCTTCTGCCCGAACATGTGGTATCCCAACGCCCCGTACGGCTCGGCTAGTGGAGGGGGCGGCTCTGTGGCCGGTGGCCGGTTCATGGGCTACAGCGGCTCGGGCAACGGCAGCGTGCCGGGAGCAGGCCCTGGACCCGGGCCCTACGGCAGCCACCCGACCGGGCACATGCACCCGGCGATGCACCACCAGTATCCGCCGAGCCACCCCCACGGGCATCCGCATCCGCACCTCCACCAGCAGCACCCCCACCATCCGCACCACCAGCATCCGCACGAGACCATGATGGAGATGTTCCAGCTCTCGAACAGGTGAGTGTCGCACATCCTTAAGTATTCTCATCGCAGATATGGAAGCGCTTGAAGCCCTCGAGGAATTATCACTTAAAGCCATGAGGCAGGTCGCCCGCCGAGCTAATGGGGGCGTCATGCCACTCGCCGGGCGGTCCCAGCCAATTTGGTTTCATTCAGAGCCGGCGAGGAGAACCCTTCTGGGTTCCTCGATTCCCGCATTCCGGGCGGAATGTGTCTGGCCGCTCGCTGGGCGTCTGGCCTGATTGGCTCCCTCCAATTAGCCGTCATCTAGGGCCACTTGTGGCGGCCACTGGGCCCCAGCTACTTGATTAGGTCGGCTGGTGGGTGGTGGGTGGGTGGTGGTAATGAGGGGGCTTGAGTATTTTTAACACAATATTCTGATTTATTTTCGTCTCGGCGACGCGACAACATTCATTCAGTGCCCGCCATTGAGCTCCTAGCCAGCTCTGTGCTTTTATTTGTTTTTCAACGGAATCGCCATTCATCAGCTCGGCCAATTGGCCTGCGAACGCTGCAGGAGAGCTGCACACGCCTGCCACCACCCTGCCACCCCCCTGGAGGCTCTTCCTTCCACCCCTTCCAGCCCCTCCAATCCCTCCAGCTGACAGACCATAAACAGAGCACCCTAGTTCGCTGTTTACTTGGCCATATTCCGCCGTGGCGGGGGTCGGCTTTTGCCGTTGCTGTACCGTTACTCGGGCCTTAATCCAATGCGTTTCGATACGTCATTAACATGGCTTCAAGGTCGCCGCTGAGAGGGCGGGCCTGAGTGAGGTATGGGGGGGGGGCGTGCAGTTATCGATACGCGCGCACTCTATACATTGTAAGCTGCAGCGGACGAGCAGCGGCGGGAAAGAGACAGAAAGCGGAAGCAGAGGACGGCCAATCGTGCACTGAGAGAAATTAGTTGGCCGAAATAATCATGGGCTAGGGTTTAAGGTCAAAAAGGTTAGGATCTTCCCGCTGGCCCACGTTGCGTATGACTGATTTGTGGGTCTTACCTTTTGGAGTGGAAAAAAGTAGCATCCCCGTTTTTTGCAGTGCACTTTCGCGATCGCTCCTTCATTCAGCGGCAGAAATGCAACTAGTTGAGTAAACAAACAGTCGAGCACCACCACCACCACCAGCACCCCGCCACTCCCGGCCAGATAACCCACACCGACACACGCCGGGAACCAAACAAAAAAACACTCGAAATTGGCTAAAAAGTAGACAGCTCGAGTGGCCCCAAAGGGGCAACAACAAGTTGACTTTGTGGGCGGCAAGGGCGACAGAATCAAGGATCTCTCAGCCTACATGAATGGATCTCAGAGCCTGAGCAATATTCTACATTCTTGTTGGGCAGTTGTGGCAGCTGCCCCTCCAAAAGCATACAATTGGAGTCGTTGTTTATGAATTTCACACCGCTTCTTGTTAATATTTGTTGTTTTCAGCTATTTTTAAACCCAGAATGCCATCACAAGCATAAATGCAGCTGTGCAGCTTTAAGTACGCTTGGTAGATAGCACCCATGGAGCTCTATGGATCCTTGAGGAACTTCTTTCTAGTTTCTCCCCACACTCGTGGTATCTTTGTATCTCAAAGTATGCAAATATTGTCCAAAGTCAGGGCTCTGCAAATGAAAATGTATCTGGTTTCATGGCCAGGGTATGGGTTGGGTGTTTACTTGTCTGTTGCGCACTTTCCTCGCCCTCTCCAGGCATTGGACTTTTTGTCGATTTTTCCTGCTTTTCCGACCCACTCGCCAGTGCAGCTGCTCTGCTCGGGCTCCTGCACTTCGTCTCCCACTTGCCCACTTGCCTGGCTGCCTGGTGGCGGCGCCCGTGTGTGCGTGCGTATCTGTGTGTATTTTGCGAACTTGTTTTGCAATTGCGTTTTAAAATAAATTACATCAATGGGGAGCCAAGGGTCGGAGGGTGCTTCAAACGGAACAGTGTGCACAGCGCGGCCCGGAGGGGAGGGGAGGGGGAGGGGGCTTGGAAACAACATTGTGGCCGGCGGTAACTATTCCTAATCGAACGCAGCGATCTCACATTTCCGTATAAATTACTCATGAGCTCATCCCCCCCATACACCGAAAATAATTACCAGCCAGCATAGTCCGTGTTTCGGTTCCAACACGCCATCCATCCACCATAGAACCACCATAGATGGCCTGATTTCTCGCAGTGTAGATCTTTATGCAATCGCCCCGAATGGGGTGCAAGACATTGGCGCCGAGTGATGTGAGCCAACAGCCAGAGCCAGCGAGCCTCAAGAGAACGTGATCATTGCACTTGAATCGCTCGAGAACCGCCTCTCCGGCCCCGCCCCCTCCCCCCAATACAGGCACCACCGGCACCCATGCAAGCTGATAATTATTGACGGACTGGCTGGCAAGAAAATACTGAAAAGCCAAACAAACTCTGGAGTGGAGTGGAGAAGAGTGGGGCGGGGTGCCAGGGTGGCAGTCGAGGGGCACTTTGTTGTCATCGTCTAGCCGGGCGGGCAGGCCCTATGCAATACTTGCGACTGCGTAACCGCCTCGCAAATGCCAAGTCATGCGCCATATACATACATTAGGTACATATTATATAGGAAAGCGAAGCCGAGCCATGCCAGCCGTTTAGTATCGCATATAGGAAGAGTATGTGGAGCTTTCGAGTGCCCGGCGGACTACAATGTCGTGAGCAGATTGTTCGGTTTGTTCTGGAACACTCCCAACGCCAAGAGTGACCTTCACCCCACTGGGAGTAGTTCGACTGAGAGGAACTATTCCATCTCAATGGAATATAATTCCCATTGATCTTCAGATGCACTTCCCCCGCGTAGTTCCTCGTAGTTTTCATAGAGTTTGTGGGACAGATTTAGTATCCATCCCATCACTTGGGCGTTTAATGTCCGGCGCGACAGTAATGGCCGCAACACGAGGCTGTTGCCAGACTTCAGTGCCTGCCCCAACGGCAAGCCAATTGTCTCCATCGCCGTGAATCACGCACTTTTTCGCTGACACTTGCAACTCACTCGCGATTTCAAGCTATTTCAGGCGAATACTCTATACGCTTTTCATTTTGAATCATTTCCGCATTTCGATGTCACTTTTATTGCCAGAAACGCCAGAAGATCTCTTCTTGGAGGGCTGAGGAAGTTTCCAAACGGATCGTACTAGAGTTGCCATTCTCTCAACTAATTTTGAAAAATGTTGAATAATATCCCCCACTTCAGCAGTACCGGTTATCACAGCTCTTCACATTCAAGTTCCACGCCGAAAAGGCAAACCTTTTCGAGATCTGAGCTTCTAGCAGGTGAATTCCTTATATAAAAAATTCCCTGAATACCATTTTCAATTTTTTCGAATTTTTCCAAGGGGCCGAAAAAGGGGTACCCCTTGAAAATTTCCGATTTACGATTTTCCGCATTTTGCTCCCTTCCGATGCTCATAGCTCCTCCAATAGAAGTCAGATCGGCAAAAGGCACACCTTTCCGAGATCTGAGCTTCCAGTAGATTAATTCCCTATATAAGGGGTTCCCTAAATACCATTTTCAATTTTTTCGAATTTTTCCAAGGGGTACCCCTTGAAAATTCCCGATTTACGATTTTCCGCATTTTGCTCCCTTCCGATGCTCATAGCTCCTCCAATAGAAGTCAGATCGGCAAAAGGCACACCTTTCCGAGATCTGAGTTTCCAGTAGATTAATTCCCTATATAAGGGGTTCCCTAAATACCATTTTCAATTTTTTCGAATTTTTCCAAGGGGTACCCCTTGAAAATTCCCGATTTACGATTTTCCGCATTTTGCTCCCTTCCGATGCTCATAGCTCCTCCAATAGAAGTCAGATCGGGAAAAGGCATACCTTTCCGAGATCTGAGCTTCCAGTAGATTAATTCCCTATATAAGGGGTTCCCTAAATACCATTTTCAATTTTTTCGAATTTTTCCAAGGGGTACCCCTTGGAAATTCCCGATTTACGATTTTCCGCATTTTGCTCCCTTCCGATGCTCATAGCTCCTCCAATAGAAGTCAGATCGGCAAAAGGCACACCTTTCCGAGATCTGAGCTTCCAGTAGATTAATTCCCTATATAAGGGGTTCCCTAAATACCATTTTCAATTTTTTCGAATTTTTCCAAGGGGTACCCCTTGAAAATTCCCGATTTACGATTTTCCGCATTTTGTTCCCTTCCGATGCTCGTAGCTCCTCCGATAGAAGTCAGATCGGGAAAAGGCATACCTTTCCGAGATCTGAGCTTCCAGCAGGTGAATCCCTTATATAAGGAATTCCCTGAATACCATTTTCAATTTTTTCGAATTTTTCCAAGGGGTACCCCTTGAAAATTCCCGATTTACGATTTTCCGCATTTTGTTCCCTTCCGATGCTCGTAGCTCCTCCGATAGAAGTCAGATCGGGAAAAGGCATACCTTTCCGAGATCTGAGCTTCCAGCAGGTGAATTCCTTATTCATAGAATTCCCTAAATACGGTTTTCAATTTTTTCGAATTTTTCCAAGGGGTACCCCTTGAAAATTCCCGATTTACGATTTTCCGCATTTTGGTCCCTTCCGATGCTCGTAGCTCCTCCGATAGAAGTCAGATCGGAAAAAGGCATACCTTTCCGAGATCTGAGCTTCCAGCAGGTGAATTCCTTATATAAGGAATTCCCTGAATACCGTTTTCAATTTTTTCGAATTTTTCCAAGGGGTACCCCTTGAAAATTCCGATTTACGATTTTCCGCATTTTGCTCTCTTCCGATGCTCATAGCTCCTCCAATAGAAGTCAGATCGGGAAAAGGCATACCTTTCTGAGATCTGAGCTTCCAGCAGATGAATTCCTTATATAACGAATTCCTTAAATACCCTTTTCAATTTTTTCGAATTTTTCCAAAAATTTTTGTTTTATGATACTCCCCAGCATATGCTCGTTATATTTTATTAAAAATTTATTTATCTTTTCAGCGGCCGCGAGGCGCGAAACAGGGCGGAGAAGAACCGGCGAGATAAACTGAACGGATCCATCCAAGAACTCTCCACCATGGTGCCACATGTGGCAGAGTCTCCGCGTCGAGTGGACAAGACGGCTGTGTTGCGCTTTGCCGCCCATGGACTGCGCCTGAAACACGGTAAGGATGATGACAAATCTGCACTTGAAGACAATATTTATTTTGGGTTTCCTTTGGTAGCCTTTGGAAAAACGCTGCAGCTCCAACGACCTCAGGTCACGGACACGCTGATGAGCATGCTGGACAGCTTCTTCCTGACCCTCACCTGCCACGGGCACATCCTGCTCATCTCGTCGAGCATCGAGCAGCACCTGGGCCACTGTCAGACGGATCTTTACGGGCAGAGCATCATGCAGATCACACATCCCGAGGACCAGAATATGCTCAAGCAGCAGCTGATCCCCACGGAGCTGGAGAACCTCTTCGACGCCCACCCGGATGCGGATGCGGAAGGGGAGCCGCGCCAGAGGAGCAAGGCCGAGGAAGACTACATCGATCGGAAGCTGCGCGAGGACAGGCGAAGTTTTCGAGTGAGGTGAGTGGGAACTGGAGTCTCAGTTGCGACGAACCAATTCTCATTTGATGTCTGCCCCTTCAGGTTGGCGCGGGCCGGTCCAAGATCGGAGGCCACCACCTACGAAGTGGTGAAGATCGACGGCTGCTTCCGGCGGAGCGACGAGGCTCCGCGGGGTGTGCGGTCCAACACCTTCACCTCCAGTCTGCAGCTTATCAGGAGGACTAGGAGCCGCGACGATGCGACGATTCCCCTGCACACGATCAGCGGAAACGATATAGTAGGTGCTCTGTTTTACTCCCCACTCCAATCTAGCGAGTTGTTCGTTTCAGGTTCTTACTGCCTGCGCCCGGATAATCCGTCCACCGAAGATCGCCAGCCGGCAGATTGACGCCAACACCCTGGAGTACAAGACCCGCCATCTGATCGACGGCCGGATCATCGACTGTGACCAAAGGATCGGCATAGTCGCCGGCTATATGACGGACGAGGTGCGCAACCTCAGTCCGTTCACCTTCATGCACAACGACGATGTGCGCTGGGTGATCGTAGCCCTGCGGCAGAGTAAGTGATCCCTATCCCAGCTCCTAGCCATCTCCCACTCATGTCCCTTTCGCCTCATCCACAGTGTACGACTGCAACAGCTCGTACGGGGAGTCCACCTACCGACTGTTCACCCGGAACGGAAACATTATCTACCTGCAGTCGAAGGGCTACCTGGAGATCGATAAGGAGACGAACAAGGTGCACTCGTTTGTGTGCGTGAACACCCTGCTAGACGAGGAGGAGGGCAAGCGGCGGGTGCAGGAGATGAAGAAGAAATTCTCGGTGATCATTAACACGCAGATACCGCAGTCCACGGTGGACGTGCCGGCGTCCGAGCACCCGGCCCTCCTCGAGAAGGCAGTCCTGCGTTTGATCCAGAACCTGCAGAAGTCCGACCAGGAAGGAGCCCACATGGGCGAAATAGAGGACGACGAGTACGGGGACGAGGAGGACGATGACGAGGAGGAGGAGGACCAGGACGAGGGCCGATCCGACTTCGGAGACTCGTATTCGGCCCACCAGCAACAGCCACACAGTCAGCACCCGCATCAACCGCAGCAGTTCCACCACGTTCGCTCGCATCATAGCTCCATGATGGCAATATCCTCGCACGGGCAGGGCAGCTCCAAGACGCCGCCTCTGGCCCTGGTGCCCCCTGAAGCCGCCTCGGTCAAGTCCTCTATATCCAAGAGCATCAGCGTAGTCAACGTGACGGCGGCAAAGCATCTGCGGGGAGCCCAATCCGGTTCAGCGGCCAAGTCGCCCAGCTCCTTAGGGAGCTGCACTTGCAGCGACGCTCGCTCGCCATGTGACTTCTGCCAGGGTCCCCTCACGCCCGATCCGGCCATGCCTGTTGGGTCCTTGAAGAGGAGCAGCACAGCCCTGGCCGAGACCGAGGAGATGAAGGGTACCAAGCGGCGCTTCATACCCAGCACAGGTGAGACCTTTCGGCGGTTTGGTAATGATTGATTAGCATCCTGGCATTGTGATTACTTCGCAGAGATCGAGCACGTCCTGAACACTTCTTTAGACCAAATTGGGAAGACGCTGACCCAGCAACTGAATGTGGCCAGAAATCTGCAGGAGCAGCGTCAACGATACGAGCTGTCCCACGCCGATCCGAGATTCGACGAGTTCATGGTAAGTCGTACGTCTAGTGTTAAGCTTTGTTGCAGATGTGAAGAAGCTGCTGGGGAATGCCACCATAAATGTTATTCTATCCCTGCAGCAGGAGCACCAGAAACAGAGCGAGCTGTATGTGAACATCAAGAGCGAGTACGAGGTGCAGCTGCAGAACAAGGCCAGTACCAGGAAGCCATCGGAATCAGAGGATAGGGACCGGGAACGAGATCAGGATGAGAGTACGGACCAAGGCTAAGGAGGAAGAGAGAGCAGCTCTCGACTGAAGGGTTTCATCGATGTGATAACTGTCCTGGCAGCCTGCTCAGTTCCCCACAAGAATACCTTGAAAGATGTGCTGTAATAGAGGCACTGATTGCAGACACGAGTGCAGATTGATAACTATAACCCCAACCTATGAGTGAGCCTGAGACAAACATACTTTAGATGCCCCGCCCGCACACACGCACACACACACAGTGTTTGTTCAGTTTTTGTTTTTAAAATAGGACTTTTACATGCATGTAGAACTAGTTACGCGTACGAGCGATCGGGCAGTTTCCGTTTCCGGTTGCGCCCCAACTTTCAACTCAATGTTTAGGAGAGTGTTTTATTTGGTAAACGATTTGATGTCTATAAAGGGAGCTGTAGCTAATGTAAGACACCGCCCCCGAGAAGATTTTAACATTTTGGTACCGATATTGATGGAAAGTAGTTGAAGGCGGTAACGGAAACGGAAAGAAGGCGGATCGTTGGGCCGGCAAATCGGAGTGAAGAGCAGAATAAGAAAGTCTAGCATAAATGGGAGGATATAAACAATTATTAGGCTAATTGGATTATACATTAAATATACTATATACCTACGTACCATATGTTGTGCGCCATGTAGCGCATAGCCCCAACTAAACGTGATAAAAGACTGTTACCAACTACATACACACACATACTACAAACCTCGATACACACGCATAAATCTTACTAGTACCGATCACACACCCACTTGTGCGTTTGGCATATAGTTAAATTAAATTTACTCTACGAACACTTTTTATAGATGTTTAATGTTGTTATGCTATAAGTGAGAGATAGATCCGGGAATCGTATTCCCATCCGGATGAAACTATAGATTTCGGCCAGCACGGTGCCCCAGAAACACAGAAAGCGTAGTTTGCAGTGAGCCAAGTACAATTTACACTGACGAAAACATATATATATATACACTTAGATGCATATATGGTTCAATGTAAACTAATTCAAATCGCTGCAAGAAACCCTTACACACAGAAAACAACTGAAAATCTACAGCAAGAAAAAGAGACGAGAACTCTGTTAAATGTTTGTTATGCATTTGTTTTTTTATCTAAATTAATCTTAAACTAATGTATTAATGAATAAACATGTGTACCTACATACAAAACAATGAAAAACCGCGATTGTGGCTTTTTGAATTTCCAGTATTGGAAAACTGAACCGGGCCTTTCATAACACTACTATCGATAAATACCTTGGGTAAGTACTTATTTTACCATCTCTAGTTTTTACAGATGGGCAGTTTCGATTTATCGATCTTTTTAGAACTCTAGTGATGTAAAATGGTTTGAGTAATGTGACCACACTGTAAATATCGAATAAGGTTGCGATAGCTTATTCGATAACAATAAAGGGAATACCATCATCCTTGATCTGGTAACTCTAATTTATAAAAAAACACCTAATTTCTAATTTCGAGTGTCGGTTCTGTAAAGTGTCGGAAAATCTACTTTATCGCACAGCTTGGTGGATGCAAATCGCAAAACGCACCTGCATCGAGCAGAAAACGAGCTCGCATTTGTATATCGCAAAAAAAATCATAAAACCCAATCAAGGAAACAGTGACAAGTAAATAGAAAAGAAAGAAACACCGCACTGCCGAGCAAAAGAATTGTGCAAAATGAGTGGGGATGTGGCTGCCGAGAATGTAAGTCCCAAAAAATTTATTTAACTATATCGTCTCGCATTTTCGGTGGGCATTTTATGTAATTTTCCGGGGGCAAAGGAGTGTGGCCAGGAAGTGAGGTCGCGAGGAGGAGACGGCGGCGGCCAAGAAGCTGGCAACTGGCAAAGAAAAGTGCAAACGTGTTGAATATTGTCGAAAATTGCCGCAAAAAGAGTCAAGTGCCGCTGCCAGCGTACTCGTCGCAGTCGCACTCGACGGCGGTGTTGCTGGGCTGAGTGCGTAAAACGTAAAATGGACACAGGTTGCATGCGAAGAAAAATACAAATTTTAGCAAGCAGGCAAATAATTGACGAAAATGGCGACAATGCAAGTGGTTAGGGTGCAGGAGGGGTTTCGGGGAAATGGGGAAGGATGAAGAAGAAGCAGGCGAGCGACGAAAATGTATTTGGCACAGTGTGACCGATCTGACGGCGTATTCCCACAGACCCCATTATTGGCTCCATTTATCGTTTCACCCTGCCTTAACTAAACCCATTTTTGTTAATTATTCAACCCTTGCATGCCAATATTTTGTATGCCATGTTCGCCATATCGGTTTCTTTATTTACCTCTTTCCCACCACTCAAGATGATCCGACACTTCTTCCCTCCCGAGAACTCGGTCACACTGCGTAAAACGAGAAAATCACATGTGTTTGTTGTTGTTGTTGGTGCAGATTGTGTGTACATATGTATGTAATTGTAAGTGTCCCAGTTCTTCTTTTTCGGTTCAGTTTCTTTGCGACTAAATTGACTGGGCAAGCCTTGGGCCGCCTATTCTCCTGATAAGCCCCGAATGCAAATGTGAATTTGCTTGGTGGTTCCGCACCAGCCCAGAAGCTACTGCAGCAACAAAGCCATCAACCCCAACGGCGTCTGTGTGTGTGTGTGTAGTCTCTTGATGCAGTAGTGCCCACGTTGGAAAAATTATGCTCTAAAAAAAAAAGTTCAAGTCTTTTGCATTGTAGTCGGTTTCAAGTACACTCTTTCGAGTAATTTTCTTTAATGAATTTTCCTAACCTCGTGCAAGTAGAAATAGTTTCCTGTCACATCTTCTTCTTCTTACACCAATACAAATTTTTTTTAACGAATTTTCCTACGCGGCATTTGTTAGGGTTGATTTTCACCACGTGGTGAGCGAAGTAGCAACAAAAAGACTCAAAAACACAAAAAAGTGTCAGAGGAGGAAAACGGCGATAAAGCAGACGAGAATCCAACAAAAATGGAGAATTTTTTCAGCCCAGAAATGATGATGGATGCACAGGTTAATGTCCAGAAAAGATAACTTAAAAAATCGGACCCCCTCCCTCCCCCCGAAAAGACAACGTTTTTCACATCTCCTATCTCTCTCGTTTGCCCCTTGCAGAATGTCCACGTACAAAATGGTGGCAGCTGCGGTGAGGTGGTGCAGTCGAACGGGGTGACCACCAACGGGCACCACCATCACCAGAACCATCACAGCAGCAGCAGCAGCAGCGGCAGTAGCAGCAAGCATAAATCCTCCAGCAAGGACAAGCACCGTGATAAGGACCGGGAGCACAAGAGCTCCAGCTCCTCCAGCTCGTCGAAGGAACACAAAAGTAGCAGTCGGTAAGAAGAGTCGGTCTGAGCAATTGGCCTAAACACCAAACTAATCATAGTTCCGTCTCCCTGCAGCGACAAGGACCGACACAAGAGCAGCAGCAGCAGCAGCTCCTCGTCAAAACACCGCGACAAGGACAAGGATTCGCATCGTAGCAGCAGCAGCAGCTCCTCGTCCAGCCACCGAGATAAGGATAAGGATGGCAGCAGCAGCAGCAAGCACAAGTCCTCTTCGTCGTCGTCGTCATCGTCGTCTGGACACCACAAGAGCTCCTCGAAAGACAAGGAACGACGGGACAAGGACAAGGAGCGCAGCAGCAGCAGCAGCAGCTCATCCAGCCGCCACAAGTCATCTTCGTCGTCCCGTGATAAGGAGCGCAGTAGCAGCAGCCATAAGAGCTCCTCGTCTTCCTCGTCAAAGAGCAAACATTCCAGTTCAAGTTCACGCCACAGCAGCAGCTCATCGTCTAAAGATCCGCCCTCGTACGATGGTGTGTTCGTCAAGCCGGAGCCCGTCTCGCAGGCGCCAATGCAGGATTCCCTGGATCCATTCCAGATGCAGCACCACCATCAGCAGCTCGGTGGCTACGAGGCCAACTGCAATGGCAACGGCGGAATGGGAGCCTCTAACTACAAGAACGGCTACGAAGACTCCATTGTGGACATCAAGAAGGAGGACGAAAGCTTCAACAATCTCTCCCAGGCCAGCTCTTGCGACTACTCCATGTCCCAGTTTCGTTCCGATGAGCCGCCGTTCGAGCTGAAGAACGAACCGAGCTACGCTGAAGAGGACAATACCCTAAACGACGATAACGACGACGATGACGATAATGAGAACGACAACGAGGAGATGGACGATGACCAGGAGGACATACCGCTGGCCATGCGTAAGCGCAAGCAGGAGCCAATGGACCAGGGCGAGGATGACGACGACGATGTACCGCTGCTGGCGCGCAAGAAGATCAAGAAGGAGCCCAAGGAGAAGAGCAAGAAGCGCGTCAAGGAGGAGACCGAGGACGACTACTCCAGCGCAAAGCCCAAAAAGAAGAAGATCAAAAAGGTAGGCATCCAACTAGTTGACTTGGCTTACAAACGCCTCTGAGAAGTTTTGCTGACCGAACTCTTTCTGTTTAAGGAATCCCAAATCAAGACCGAGGCCACTGCATCGCCCACCAAACGCCAGAAGGTCAAGGAGGAGGAAGAGGAGGTCTGGAGATGGTGAGTGCCAGTTCCCTGCTGCAGCGGATCTAAGTGTGGTGTGGGTTTAGTTTAGAACTCTGGAGACTAGAGTTAGACCCCTTCCCCTGCTGATCAAACACTGATCTTTTGTTTAGTCAGCAGGATTGTTGGATTATCGAAAGGTTATGGGAGGTGAAAGGCCTTTCGATCGGCCTGTAATTGAAACAAATGCCATCAAATTGAAGAGGGGAAAGTGTTCGGGTTTTAAGCACCGGCCACCTGAGCACATCGTTATTGGTGTGTGGTTGTTTTTGTTGTTGTTACTTTTTTCGCTGCGCCATGTGGGCTGGCGGCTGTGAAGTTTTAATGTCACTGACCTACATTTTGAAAGTCACACTCGTGTCGCACAGTGGGCACCAGCAGTATCCATACGCTGGCAAGGCAGCGTGCGACCCCCCGAGCACTGAGCATGTAGGCGGAGACTATCTGGTGGCACTGTATTCGATGGCATTCGCCACGAAACGCCCGAACTTTGGGGGAAAAAGAACAAAACAGCTGAGCGCACCCCAAGAAGCACCGACGACGACGACACACTCGCGCACCGACTTTGAGGTTAGTTCGGCTTTGCGTAATGCGATAAATAGAAATGGGAATGAGAGCGCACTCGTTGGCGGCAGTGCGTCTGTTCGGGAACCGGAGCGTGTGTCTGGTCTTGAGGCAGCAAATAGCTGCTCTAGCCACAGCCTCCGTCTCTGCCTCCGCCTCCGTTCCTGTGGGGAAAAAGAGGAACAGCCGCCGAGGCAAGAGCAGTGTCCAGCAGGGAGCGATAACAGTTCGATGGTGGGGCTTCTTTCGGGGGGGATGCATAGATTTTTTTGGGCAAATGACTATATCTTTTCCTGACTTTAGTTTTATTTATTTGCGACCTTGCTACTGATGAGGATTATGGACTTGGATTATTTTTCAAAATCAAACTAAATTCCAGGTGGGAGGAGGAGAAGCGCGAGGATGGCGTCAAGTGGTCAACTTTGGAGCACAAGGGTCCTGTTTTCGCACCGCCCTATGAGCGAGTACCTCGCAACGTGCGCTTCTATTATGACGGCAAGCCGCTGGAGCTCTCCGAGGAGACGGAGGAGGCGGCCACCTTCTATGCCAAAATGCTGAACCACGACTACTGCACCAAGGATGTGTTCAACACGAACTTCTTCAAGGACTTCCGCAAGTCGATGACCTCCAAGGAGAAGGAGATCATCAAGGACTTCCGCAAGTGCAATTTCCAGGAGATGCACAACTACTTCCAGGCGGAGTCCGAGAAGCGCAAGGCTGCCACCAAGGAGGAGAAGCTGGCCAAGAAAAACGAGAACGAGGCGCTGGTCAAAGAGTACGGCTTCTGCATGATCGATGGCCACAAGGAGAAGATCGGCAACTTCCGTCTGGAGCCGCCAGGGCTGTTCCGCGGCCGTGGTGAGCATCCCAAGATGGGCATGATCAAGCGCCGCATTCAGGCCAGCGACGTGTCCATCAACTGTGGCAAGGAGTCGCATGTTCCGTCACCGCCACCGGGTCAGCGCTGGAAGGAGGTGCGCCACGACAATACAGTCACCTGGCTGGCCTCCTGGATCGAGAACGTGCAGGGCCAGGTGAAGTACATCATGTTGAATCCCTCCTCGAAGCTCAAGGGCGAAAAGGATCACATCAAGTACGAGACGGCCCGCCGCCTGGACAAGGTGATCGATAAGATTCGCGCCACCTACCGCGACGAGTGGAAGTCGAAGGAGATGCGCGTCCGGCAGCGGGCGGTGGCCCTCTACTTCATCGACAAGCTGGCGCTGAGAGCGGGTAACGAGAAGGACGAGGATCAAGCCGACACCGTCGGCTGTTGCTCCCTCCGCGTCGAACACGTCCAGCTGCACAAGGAGCTCAACGGTAAGGAGAACGTTGTCGTGTTCGACTTTCCCGGTAAGGATTCGATTCGTTACTACAACGAGGTCGAGGTGGAGAAGCGTGTCTTCAAGAACCTCGAGCTCTTCATGGAGCACAAGAAGGACGGCGACGACCTCTTCGATCGCCTCAACACCCAGGTCCTCAACGAACACTTGAAGGAGTTGATGGATGGTAAGTACACATGGGACTCTGATTTCCAGCTGGGATTCTAGTAGAGCTCTCTGACCTTTTCCAGGACTCACGGCCAAGGTATTCCGTACGTATAACGCATCGAAAACACTGCAGAGTCAGTTGGATCTGCTCACCGATCCGAGTGCAACGGTGCCGGAGAAGCTGCTGGCCTACAATCGCGCCAACCGAGCCGTGGCCATTCTCTGTAACCATCAGCGCTCCGTGCCCAAGGGCCATCAGAAGTCAATGGAGAATCTAAAGGAGAAGATCAAGACCAAGCGCGATGCCATCGACGATTGCGAGGCCGAATATCACGTGAGTATACCGGCTATAGTTGTGGTGCTGGCATGGTACTGACCTAATGGCTCGGGCTTTGCAGGATTTGAAGAAAGCTGCCAAGCGGGGCTCCGTCAAGGAGAAGGTACTTGCCGACAAGAAGGGCAAGCAACTGGAGCGCCTGAAGGAGCAGCTGAAGAAACTGGAACTACAAGAGACTGATAGAGACGAGAATAAGACCATTGCCCTGGGCACATCTAAGCTAAACTATCTCGATCCTCGCATATCGGTGGCCTGGTGAGTATATCTATTATTTTATTTTAGAAATTAAAGTTCTAAAAATGATCTTCCTGTACAGGTGTAAAAAGCACGGAGTGCCGATCGAGAAGATCTTCAACAAAACGCAAAGAACCAAATTTCTGTGGGCCGTGCACATGGCCGATGAGGATTATCGTTTTTAAATGGATTCTCACTGCCACGCCCAGGAGCTCCGCCACAGACACACTTAACATAAACCACACACAGGCAGTGCAGGTGAAAACAGCAAAAACTTAACAAGTAACCAGAATACACCCACCACAAAAGTAATCCGGCTGGCGGATCCCCAGCTTCCTTCCTTCCTCCCTCCCGGGAAAGTTTATGCAATTGGTAATGCATATGTCCAGCTTTCGCGGAGCGTGCTTAAGACAAGGACGGAAGACAAGAGACGGAGATAGAGAGAGAAGAGCCCGGGATCTGCGGCCTAATGCTGTGTTGTCTGCTTTGAATCGTTTAAATATATCAAGTGCGCACTAAGCTGAAGTCTAACTTGCGAAATGTACACACTTTCACAAATGCCCCATTCTTTAATCGTATATATATATATATACGATATAATATAAATCTTATAAATTAAAAAAAAAAAGGAAAAAAGCAACACCAGCAGATGAGTTGAAGGAAATACGACTTCGTTCGCCGCCGCCGCCTAAAAACAAAAACATAATTTTCTATGTTACCATTCAAATATTTTCAAATAGGTCGTATACACTATTTTAAGTTTTAATTAATAATTAAAACAAATAATGGAAAGCTAAAGCAAACGCTAAGCAATCAAGATACAAACAACAAAACAAAACGCAAGCAAACGAAAAAGTAATAGGATTAAAGTTTTTTATGTTTACCTGTAGTTGATTTTTGTTTAGCGAAAAATGTCTTTCACTATTAAATGATAATTTATATCGTACGGTTACGTATTTAAGTGCTTACTGAACACAGAGAATTATATTTTAATAATTTAATTCATCAATTCAATATCGGATCCAGCGCAACTATCTCCCCGCCCAACGGAAACATAATATAATACTATATAAAGCAAAAGCTAAGCGTCTGCTGATGCTGCGCGGTACCTTATGATTTTAGTTAAAATTCTAATTAACAAATGCTACCGTTTTTTTTTTTTTTGATATATATATATATATATACAAACAAATATACCTTTTTTTGTTTAAATAAAAATGTTTATATGTTAAGAACGGCCTGGTTTTGTTTTCGACTCTGGTTTGAAGCGAGTAGAAAACCGAACCAGGACATTTATTCATAATTTTGTATACTATATAGACAGGTTTCAAATTCTGTTGAGTTTAAAAACAAAACAAAAATTGCAAATCAATCAATGAATCAACCAAAACCACAGGCAAAAGCAGTCGAAACGAAATCTTTAACTAAAAGAAAAAAAATTACAAATAGGATTCTTTAGTACATTTGTGCAATTAGGTGGCTAAAAAAAACTATAACAAAAAAAAAAAACTAAAAACTGTAAAAAAAACAAACGTCCATTTATGGCCAACTCTCGTCCTGATATTTTTTTTAATATTTAAGTTTGCATTCGTTGTAATTTGAACGATTCTGAACTTGGCCCGATTTTATTCAGAACGTGCTGGGGCGAGAGTCGGCTCTGGATTGGACATATAATCCGAATGGGAATTAAGAACATAACATTGGCCCATCATATTATATAGCTGTATTTTTACCAACACGAAACGAGATATGTAGATGGTTAAATGAGAGTTCTTTGATGACCCAGCCTCACACACCTTAGCATAAATTGCAAAAGCGCATTGCAAATAAAGATCGGTCTATATATTTATATATATATGAAATATATGGAAACAACCTACACATATGATAATTAGTAACTTAAAATAAACAAACACGAAACATTTGCAAACGTATGTATGTTGTGGACGCACAGGCCAGGCATACGGGCGGAGTAGGTTCGCATAAGTGACAACGCTTTCAAAAGGCAAATAAAATAAATAAATCGTGTAGACTCCTTTTAATCCCTTCTCCCTTAAAAACAAAAAAAAAGCCCCTCACTCACATATAAACTTGGCATATTACAATATTGATATAAGCGAGGAAAAACATGAAACGAAATGATAAGAAAAAACTATTTTAAAACGAAAACAAATTATATATATAAAAAAAAATTAAAAATAAGTTAAAGTAATTGTAATGGAATGATGCAAATATACATACAATATATATTTAATTTTTAAAACGAAATCCTGTCTTGTTTTTGGTTCGAGAATGAAAGGAACTTGAGATCAACAAAGCGAGCTTTTGGGGTTTTTGAAGGACTTGGAAGTATCCTGGGGCTAATGCAGGGTCAGAGGATATTAATCCTCGATTTTATATTGGAATTCCGTTTCCGAATCGGCTGAGAAATGGCCAGGATGTCCCAATTCCAATATTCCCATCTATGGGTTCCGATTTTTCATTTTCGTGTTTTGTATATAGCGTATATCTCGGCCATTTCTGGACCGATTAAGGAACGGAATACCATTTCTGAATCAGGACATCAATATCCTTCGATCTGCATCAAAAGATTGCCGAAATCGATCAAAAAAAAATCGACCCGATTTTCGCAATTTTTGACAGGGGTAACATCATGATTTTTTGCAAAAATCGACTTAAATTTTTTTGTTCGATTTTTAAAAACTTTTGATGCAGATCGAAGGATATTGATGTCCTGATTTCAAAATGGTATCGCTTTTTGAAATCCGTTCGGAAATGACCAAGATATGAGCTTAGATCCGATCCGTGACGTCATGATTTTTTGCGAAAATCGGCTCAAATTTTTTTGTTCGATTTTAAAAAACTTTTGATGCAGATCGAAGGATATTGATGTCCTGATTTCAAAATGACATCCCTTTTTGAAATCCGTTCAGAAATGACTAAGATATGAGCTTGGAAAGATCCGCCTAGGCAGCCGCCTCGCGCCGAAAATTTCTTGAAATTCGTATGGGAGCCCATCTGAAGTACCAGGCGAACAGAAATCAGCAGAAGGTGGCCGAATTCAAGCAGTGTAAGCAGTCCAAGCAGTTATTTCTGCATTAACCAAGTGTGCGAAAGGGAGGACGACCCCTATGGTTGCGCTCTATCCCCCCATTGTCCCTTATGGAAAGACGATCCCCGCATCACACTCCATGGGGGGGAACGGGATGCTGCTACCCATCATTATTAGAGGGGGAGAGGTAGACAAATTCGGCTGTAACAGTGATGGGAGAACAGGAGTGATTTGTAACGGCACCTGGCACGCCAGCTCAGCACGATAGGCCGCTCCCATACATTTTCGCTCACGATAGCCCCATATCGTGTCACGCGCAGAAAATCAACGAGTGCCACTTTGGTTTTGCCATCATTAGGTGGAAATCACCGTTGTGGATCGCAAATTTGGAGGCTGTGATTGGCCATCATGGACCATAGTACCGTTTTACTGCAAATTACGACGGTTAACCCTTCACTTGTCTTTACATGTATATATTTAATAATTATTTTAATTTAGCCACAAAACTGATAATTTAGGATTATAAAACCATCAATAAGTGAAGTATAACGTATAAAAAATTCAGAAAACATAAAAGGAAGACGGTGGGGCCACTATTTACTGCCATAACAATTAAGGCTCTCCTGAGAAACTTGCATGGGCGTGTGAGGTCCATGAGGCCGGATAAGGGACAATTGTGTAATTTTTCTGTCGAAGCTAGGGTGAGAGGGGAGGTGAAACTGCTTGCACTGCTTGAATTCGGCCACCTTCTGCTGATTTCTGTTCGCCTAGTACTTCAGATTGGCTCCCATACGAATTTCGAAAAATTTTGGCCGCGAGTTGCGCGCCAAGGCGGATCTTTCCAAGCTCATATCTTAGCCATTTCTGAACGGATTTTTAAAAGCGATACCATTTTGAAATCAGGACATCAATATCCTTCGATCTGCATCAAAAGTTTTTTAAAAATTGAAACATAACTTTTCGCTAAAAATTTTACAAAAATAGTTTATACAGGAAATAAAGTACCATTTTGTAATCAGTAAACCCAGAAGGACTTTCCTCATTCAAAACATTGCTGAAATACGATTTTAAAATTTTTTGAATTTTTTCTGATCCACCTTCTGCTGATTTCTGTTCGCCTGGTACTTCAGATTTCGTTCCATACGAATTTCAAGTAATTGGCGCCTGGGTTTTGGACGCCGCTTGGTTCGCTTGCCAAGCTTCTTTTTTGGTTAATTGTAATCGGATTTTAAAAAGGGTGTTGAAAACGATATCCAAATGGATCAAATTCCTTTAATCTGCCTGTTGAGGGTCATACTAAATTAGATATTCAAATTAAAATTCTAATTGACCTTTCCAATATTTTCAAGAACTTTATCTCTATCTTTTATCTGTTTTATTGTTTATAAATCATTGTAGAAACAATGTTAAAATGCTTTATAAATGGCTTTCTGAAACATATCATATATATTTTTTTTACCAACATTCAAATAAAGAACTATAAAAAACACAGGTGGCGTCTTTGTGCCATCTAGTAGGCTTTGGAAAAGTGAACTGTCATTAAAAGTGCATGGTCATTGACATTTCAAAGCACTGATTGGCCACTCTAGATCATCGAAGAAAACTTTTTCATTGCTCTTGAAATTTTTTCATTTCTCTGGAAATTATGGACCCAAATAAGAATAAGAAACCGAAGTACAAGCTTACCGAAAAGAAGCTTGAGGTTATGAATGATATGGTGTTTGTTCGCAATATTCTCAAGGACATGGACGTGGATTCCGATCCACGAGCACGTGGAGTACTTCTTGACCTGGCTTACAGTATGTATTTTATCCTTTCTAATGACTCCACACTATATAAAATTGCTTTCAGCTTTAGCCAGGGATCACCTGGTTGAGGCCGACCGTTATTCCAAAATGGATGGTCGCACAACCATAAGTGTTGAGGACATCAATATGTCAAAGCAGGTGGAAGTGCCTAGGATGTACAAACCTCCGCCACCGGACAATGGGCCGAGTTGCTCCAACATAAAGGTTAAGGACATCGATATGGAAACCCAAGTGCCTGTGAAGAAGATGGCCAATACTCCGCCACCGGACGATGGACCGAGTTGCTCCAACAGAAAGGTTAAGGACATCGATATGGAAAACCAAGTGCCTGTGAAGAAGATGGCCAATACTCCGCCACTGGACGATGGGCCGAGTTGCTCCAACATAAAGGTTAAGGACATCAAAATGGGAAAGCAAGTGCCTGTGAAGAAGATGGCCAAAACTCCGCCACTTGACGATGGGCCGAGTTGCTCCAACACAAAGGTTAAGGACATCAAAATGGGAAAGCAAGTGCCTGTGAAGAAGATGGCCAACACTCCGCCACTGGACGATGGACCGAGTTGCTCCAACACAAAGGTTAAGGACATCAAAATGGGAAAGCAAGTGCCTGTGAAGAAGATGGCCAAAACTCCGCCACTGGACGATGGGCCGAGTTGCTCCAACATAAAGGTTAAGGACATCGATATGAAAAACCAAGTGCCTGTGAAGAAGATGGCCAATAATCCGCCACTGGACAATGGTCCAAGTGGCTCCAAGATAATGCATATGTATGACATGTCTATGTTAAAGCAAGGTCTTGTGAAGAAGGTGGCCAATACTCCGCCACCGGACAATGGGCCGAGTTGCTCCAACATAATGGTTAAGGACATCGATATGAAAAACCAAGAGCCTGTGAAGAAGGTGGCCAAAACTCCGCCACTGGACAATGGTCCAAGTGGCTCCAAAATAATGTATAAGTTTGACATAAATATGTTAAAGCAAGGTATTGTGAAGAAGATTCCCAATACTCCGCCACTGGACGATGGGCCGAGTTGCTCCAACATAATGGTTAAGGACATCGATATGAAAAACCAAGTGCCTGTGAAGAAGGTGGCCAAAACTCCGCCACTGGACAATGGTCCAAGTGGCTCCAAAATAATGTATAAGTTTGACATAAATATGTTAAAGCAAGGTATTGTGAAGAAGATTCCCAATACTCCGCCACTGGACGATGGGCCGAGTTGCTCCAACACAAAGGTTAAGGACATCAAAATGGGAAAGCAAGTGCCTGTGAAGAAGGTGGCCAAAACTCCGCCACTGGACAATGGTCCAAGTGGCTCCAAAATAATGTATAAGTTTGACATGAATATGTTAAAGCAAGGTCTTGTGAAGAAGATTCCCAATACTCCGCCACTGGACGATGGGCCGAGTTGCTCCAACACAAAGGTTAAGGACATCAAAATGGAAAAGCAAGTGCCTTTGAAGAAGATGGCCAAACTTTCGCCACCGGACGATCCCAAGCCGAACGCTGAGCTTCCGAGCACTAGCCAGCGTAAAGGAGACCACACCGACTCCTAACTATTTGACATTTCCAATCATGTGGCGCCTCGAATGGTCTCAAAGGTGTCATCAATTGAGGGCCCATGGCGCAACGAATGCCTCTTTCGAATATGACGGCGCCTTATCCTGTCGTCAATATTTAAAACCTATTATCAATTTATCAATCAATCAAGATCGACGACTCTCGCACACTTATAGGGACTTTCTTCTGTCCCTTTGCTCAAAATGTAAACGATAAAAAAGACAATAAATTACATTAAATAATATAAATGAATTTAAGTAATAGTGCCTTCCTCGATACGAAAAATAAAAATCACCAAATTGAAGGGCATTCCACCTTACTTTATGTACATTTGTACTTTTACTTAAGCAATTCTTCTAAGTGATATTGTTAGGATTTGCGCCAAAAAATAGACACTATTTTTTGCTTGATATTTAAGACATGTTATTGCAGATCGAATAAATTTAAATATCTCCTAATCATTTATTAACCATTTAATAAAATCGGTGTTTTCAGTAAAATTCAAGAATCTAAGAATATTTTTAAAATTTTAAAATAACCAGAATGTGACTATCGATTAAAAAGTGCGCGCCTTGCCATCGATAGTTTAGAACAAAATTTTCAATATCCATTTTATGTGTTAAAATTCTATAAATACAGGTAATACAGGCTAATTTAATTTTTACTATATTTTTTAGGAATATTTATTTTCTTTATGTTAAAGAATAGTTATTTTATACATACAATAAGACAGCTGATCCTCGATTATTACGCCTTGGCGTTGCCACCTTCCTTATAGAAATTTGACTTTTGCGCTAACGGAATCAAGAGTCCCTGACGAAGACGCGGCTGATAAAAAAATCGCATTGTCTCATATTATTAAAATAATACTCGTTTTGTGTCGTCCTTTAAAATGTCTGGACCACCTCAGCTTAGTAAGATGCGGTCCAGTGCCGAGGCAATGGCTTCATTGGCACGTAACAAGGGATCCTCCCAGGAAAAAGTGCAACAAGTGGTTGGAAAAAAAAGCAACAACAACAAGGACTTGGCAACCATTATAGATGACCTGCAGATGAAGTACGGGAACTACAAATATACGGTTTATAGATGTGCCAGCAAATTTGTAGCGCTCCAAAAAATCTTTCACAGTAAATATACATAAATACCCAGTAGGACAACATGTGGTAAACACTTACCTTTGCAGCGGGGAAGGTTCCATATAAGTTGGTCTTAGCCATCCTCGAACGACATGGTTTGCGAGGCAACCTGGAGCTGATGGTACCTCCCTTTCAGTTGACCTCCCTGATCCACGATATATACTTTGCCTGTGAAAAGTTGGGTCACTTTGCGCAGGATTCCAGCTTTCAGCTAGAAGCAGCATCAGGGTTGCTAGCCAATTTCTTTTGGAATGTCTATGATCCGTGGGTTTTGGTTTTTTAAATCTTACTGAATCCTTTGCTAATCACAAAACTCTTTTAGGCAACGCCGTCACTCAATATCACTCCTAGAGATCAAGATCACACTGATCTTGTTCTGCAACCTATATAGTAGTGAACAGCTGGCTGGTGACTTCTTTGGTTTGCTAGCGGATCCCAAGAACCAAGTGATTTCACGCTACGCTTTTGAACAGCTCCTGGCCACATTGAGTAAGCTGCTTAGCTACCTGGGCGAGGGTAAGGCTTATGGTTCACACAATCTTCCCCTGATGATGGAGCAGAGCTTTGCGAGGTGCCCACACGGGGTGGCCGGCCTAGCGGAACAACAGTTTCACAAACTATGGACAGGGGCCGGGGTCCAGACTCGCTTTTTAATCTATGGGAACCTCCTAGCTTTAATTAAGCGAATCGAGGACACGGAACATTTAATACACAGCAACTCATGCGCTGGCTGCCGTAAGGAGCGCATTGTAGGCATTCGTTTTAGGTGTCAGGTGTGCCGCGATATCTCGCTATGCCTTCCCTGCTTCGCCGAGGGATATGCTGGCGGTCGTCACGAGCCCGGCCACCGAATGTGTGAGGTCTTTGTCGAAGATCAACCTCCCCAAAACTGGACTCGCCATCTGGCCAAGCTTTGCGGCTGGTTTGTAGTTGGCCGCAAGAGAAAAACACAGGAAGAGGATCGACGGGGCTTCTGCGATGCCCAGGAGAGTGGCCCAGCGTTGGGGCAAAGCTCGGCCACGCCTATTCCCGCTGAGACTCGTAGTATACAGGAAAGGGAACGGGAAAGGGAACGCGAGAAGGACAAGGAGCAAACAGTAATTCTTCAGCAGCAACAGGAGCTTTGCTCATTGACGGGACTGGCTAGCAAGGCATCCAGTCAGCTGCAGTCCATTATAGATCGTCTATTACTCCAAAATATGTAAGCTAAAAATCAATATAATTTATCTCTCACTAATTTTATTCTTGTTTTACCTTAAGGAAACTGGAAACCCAGCTTAAAACGGTGTCCACATCTTCTAGTGCTGAGATATCGGAGTTTCTCAGCGCCCATCAGAGCTTTCTGTTGCAGATTATCGAGGACATGCGACAGCTATCGGTGAGGCTTTGTGTAACTTACGTACCTCAGGACTATTCCTTAGTGTTGATCTTTTTTAGTGCTCTCCAGCGGCTGCTCCCGTGGTTGCGGACGCCCATGTCGCTGCGGCGCCTTTAGTTAGCTCCACTTTCCTAAGCTCCAGCACTCCCCAGCGCCAGATCTTCGATATGTATGGGCCAGTGGGAGCCAACCTAACGCACTCTAGTAAGGGTTAAACACATCTATCTTAAATACATTTACATTTATTAACACTTTTTTTAGTTAATGGCGCTGATTTAAATCGCAGCTATTTAGAAGCCAACAAGTCAGATTATTCGTTGAATGATATCAGTCTGTGGTTCGATCAACGGCGATCAAGCCTGCAACACCATTCGCAGCAGGCTACTGGTTCCACTCCAGCTCCCCTTTCCCTACCCATGCCATTGGGAGCTCTGCTGGAACACCCAGCGTCCAAGGATGGGTCTATGCGTGACACAGAGATGGTCAACTTTAAATTACTTTTGCACAAAGTAAAGGAGATTGTGGAGGACTCGTACAGCGACAATGCCGAGCTTTCTGCAGCGACACAAAATCTGGAGAACGTCCTGGATAGCATTATAAAAAGTGAAGAGCAGCAGCGCCGCATCAGCTCGTGAAGAGGTCCAAGACACCTTTTTCCAAATCAATTCCCTCCAGACGAAGTCTTTTTTAGGCCAAGATAAACTTTAAGTTATAAGTCTTTTAAGTGTCAGGACAAGATCAAATGGTCATTTATGCAATAAAAAAATGAAATATAATTGACTAAAAAATTAGCTTTGATATGGGTCGTAATGTGCGATCCGAGGATTTTCAGGATATAAAAATTCTAGGACATGAAAAAAATTATTTTTTCACAGCTTCCTGAGATCACAACTAAGCTAATAGAAGTCACATCTTAGAATGGTATACCTTCCCGATTTCAGCACTTCGAGTACTCGCATTCTGCATCAAAAACTGGCAAACTAAAATTTGATCGATTTTTTCAAAATTTTCCTAGGGATACCATCATAAAAATTCATCGAAAATCTTAAAACAAATTGTTCCTCATATTTTAATGCAGATTGATGGTCATTTTTTCTAGAATTACAGTGGTATATCCCTTTCAAGGATAGCTTTAAAATTCACTAAGATATGGGCTTTAACATAGGTCATAATTCCCGATTCGAGGATTTCCAGGACTTGAAATATCTGACCACGAAAAAAGTGATATTTTTATAGCTTCTCAAGATCATAACTCGGCTAATGGATGTCGCATGGAATGGTATACCTTTCCAGGAATGATATACCTTTCCGATTTCAGGATTTCGAGTACTTGCTTTCTGCATCAAAAACTTGCAAACTAAAATTTTTTCGATTTTTTCAAAATTTTCCAAGGGGTACCATCATAAAAATTCATCGAAAATCGGAAACATTTTTTACTCTCAGATTTTGATGCAGATTAATGAAGATTTTTTAAACAATTACAACGGTGTATGCCTTTTAAGGATAGCTTTAAAATTGAAGATATGGACTTCTACGGGGTTCGAAATCCCGGATCGAACGTCACAATTTTTGAAACATAAATTTTATTCAAGATACGGTCTTTTCTTGGGCAACAGTTAATTTAAAAGTGTTCAACACAGAAAATGGATTTAATGTCTTTCAGAAATGCTCTTCCTCCTGCATCATTTCATGCTCTTCATTACTTATTTTTTGAATTTCAGTCGTGAATGAAAAGGATTTCAAAAGGTCCTACCTAAGAAGATGCATTGGGTTCTTCAGTGTCCGAATCGTGAGCATCTTGGCTCCTTAACATTGTTACCAGGACATCGCTAGTGAATTGCAGCCTGTGGATATTAGATAGCTTCGATTTGTACTTGTCCATCTTTTCTTCTTCATCATCCTCCTCATCTTCATCTTTGTTTTCCAGCAGATCTTTCCACGCCAGCAGCTCTTCGCGCAGACTGTTCTCCAACTCGAGAGCGACATTGTCGGGCTCACTGATATATTCGTTAATATCCATTAGAGTGACATTACAGTTCAGCAAAAGAAGATCGCGCTTCAGGTGATGGACCAACAGCTGGAGGCGAGTTTCCGTTGGGGCATAGATGTGCCAGTAGTGGCCGGGGTCGTCGCGTAGGATGAGGATGCCAAACCATTGCGAATGCGGTTTGCGGTTGTAGAAGATGCGCTGGACGGGAGTTGAAATTTGGGGACGTGAAGTAGAAAGAATTGAGGCATCCAAAATATCCGAATCTGCCGAGTCTAAGGAGTTTATAGATATATTAGTTTTATTTTTAGAAAAATACAGCAGTTACACTCACTCATTTCCTGATCCTCTTTTTTATCCTGTACCTCAAATAACTCAAAATGCATTTTAGAAATCAGTTGCTCCTCGAAGCTCCCACAATCGTGGGCCTCCTTGAATTTTAGCTTAAGGACGCATTGCGCCTCTTGTGTCATAATCACAGTTAGGAAATCCTGATGCAGGCTTTTGGGTAGAAACGTTGGAGTCAAAGTTTCCAGCTTCGCAAGTAGTTGGGGTACATCTACGGTAATGAGGTTCAATTGGCGGGACTCAGAGTCTTTGGCATCCTTGGAGCTCTTGATGTCATAAATCGCCATTAACTGCAACTTCTCCGCATCGATAAGATCACTTAGGGATAGGCGTACTAACATTACGGCAGAGCGTTCCGGGGGCAGCTGGCCATCCTTGGAAACGGCCCGCCACTTGAATCTTCTGCTTTGCTGCTCCTGGCAGGCCCAGAACTGCGCGATCTTGTCAAAATCTTCTGGTGGCTGTCCATCTGGCTGCACGGGAAGCTCAAACAGGCGGTGATGCATCCTAAAGCTCTTTGGTGGCTCAATCCTGACCAGCGGCTTCAGATCATAGACAATGTTAAGCCTATTGATGCCAGTTAGATTGATAAGCAGAGTGCCACAGATCAAGAAGTCTCCGCATACCCTCATCCACACCTCGCCAAACCGATGAACCACCTGCTTCTCCTCCAGGAGCAAAGAACGCTGGGCGGGCGACCCAAATAGCTGCTGATCCTGCCAGAGGGCAAAGTCCTTCTGTGTCTGCTGTCGCGCGGCAGACAGCTCTGCTTCTAGGGTATTTATTTGTTCAAGCAACTCTTTAAAGCTCTCTGTGGCTTCTGGCGGCCCACCAGCGGAGGTGCTGGGTTCATCATTCTGGGTATCGGTCTGGAAGTCCGTTCGCATCTTCTTTCCATTTTCGAACTGCAGTTCCACAATAGCCTGATATGGGATGGGACCGATAACCATCTTGAAGGATGACACTGCTTCGTGCTCGGCGACCAGTTCGAAGTTTGCTCCGTTTTCCTTGGGTCTATAAAGCACCAAGAGCAGCTTCCAGCAGTGGACAAAGACATATACTTTTTCTTGCATCCAGATGTACTTTCCGAACGCGATCTGCAACTCTTCGGGCACGTACAGCATTGTACAGTCGAGCTCCTTAGAGGAACCGGCTTCATTGGATGTCGCTTCCTTTCGCAGGAAGCTGCTAGTTGGCCCCTGATAGTCCTTGAGCTCTGTACTTAGATTTTTCAGACGGGAATCTTGCAAGTTAATGAAGTGAACAAGTTCCTTGCGCCGGTACTCGTACACCTTCATATCTTTGGACAGCACCAAGGTGGAGTTGGACATTTCCTCGTCCCCAGGAAGCCTCAAGTGCAGATTCGCGTAGAAGGCGAGCCTCGCGGGCTGCAGTAGCAGTGTCGGTACATTTTCTTTCACGAATGGCAGCATTTTGGGATTTGTAAACTGACATGTGTATCACATCTAGATTCTATGAAAAGTAAAGTAAAATTTAAACTTGCTTGTGCTTTCCCGGCTGCTAAGTCGAGTGACTTCTGATAACTAACTATGTTGAATGTTGTAGGAGCTATGTGGGTCTCGTATGGAATGATTTGTTTACTCAAGTTTTAGAAAAACATTGTATTGTTGACATTTTTTAAGCTTGTCCTGTCCTACTATTTCTATTCGGTCGGTAAAGAGCGCGCTTTTCTATTCGATAGTAAACTGCAATCGATAGTCATGTAAACTCTCTTATCACTGATATCGATAGTTTCACTTTGCACGTGTTGAGCGCATAAACAAATTGAATTTGAGGACAGCTATGCCGCCGGACATCGAGATTATTGTTGGCACCTATGAGGAGTTTCTGCTGGGCTACCAGCTGGTGGCGCCGGAGGACGCCTCCCAGGACGAAAGCCAGTTAAAACAAACTTTTGCAGACAAGTCACACGCCGGCTCCATCAAATCTGTGGCAGTTCAGGGCCCCTGGGTGGCCAGTGGTGGTAGCGATGACCGCATCTTCATCTACGATATGCGGACACGAAAGCAGGCCCAAATCTTGTTGTCGCATGCTGGCACAGTGAACACCCTGGTCTTCTCCCCGGACCTGACGCACTTGCTCTCGGGCAGCGCCGATGGACACATGATTGCCACGCGCGTGGGCAGCTGGACCACAGAGGGAGACTGGCGCAAGGCGCACGCGGGTCAGTCGGTTAGTCACATCAGCTGCCACCCGAGCAGCAAGTTGGCCCTTTCCTTGGGTGGAGATCTGGTACTTAACACTTGGAACCTGGTCAAGGGACGGGTGGCCTACAAGACCAATCTGAAGAGCAAGCGTACGCTGGGTAGCAGTCCGGAGTGCCTTTCGTGGTCAACGAGCGGAGACCATTTCACCTTGAGCGGACCTTTGCTCCTAGAGGTTTGGGACATTAAAACCGCCAACGTAGTCAGGCGCGCCAAGACGCCTTCGAAGCCGATCTGCGTCGGCTGGCTGAACAAAGACGACTGCCTAGTGGGTTTGGAAAACGGGAGCATTGCCTGGATTTCTATAAAAGATGAAACAGAAGCGGCGGTGAGCAGCTGGACTCTTTTTGATTTAAAAGTGTACTTAATCTTATTTCGTTGCAGCCAAAGGTAATTCCTGCCCATGCAGCTCGTGTTAAGGACTTGGCCTATTTAAATGGATATGTAGCCACCGTTTCCAGGTAGGTTGACGCGTCGATTTATAGTAGCAGCATTTAAAGATTGTTTAACTTCCAGCTCTGGTGAGCTCAAGGTCTGGAAAGTCAACGTAGAGAGGCGCGAGCTTGAGGAGATTGCCAGCACAAACATTGACTGTCGCCCCACCAGCTTGGGACTGCTGGATCTCAGCCAGTTTGGAAACGCGCGTCCTCAGGAGCAGCGCATCAAGATAGAGGCCAAATCCAAGGGAAAGGCTGAGAGCAGCGATGCCGCCAAGCCAGCAGCACCCCGAGGATTCGTTACCATAGAATATGAACAGGACGAGAAGCAGGAAACAAAAGTAGAAGCCACTCCCAAGAGTACAAATAAACAGAAACAAAAGAAGCAAAAGCAGCCAGCACCACAGGAATCCTCTGAGGAAACTGACTCGGAGGAGGAAGACGACAGCGATGATTTCTTCGAAGATAGTGATGGCTCCAGCGCCGACGAGAGCAGAAAGAGAAGGCCACAGAAAAGGAAGCAGCCAAACGCGTCCTTCTCCTCCAAGCGGAAGCAGACCAAAAAGAAATAATTAAAACTTAATACTTTAATAAAATTTAAACAATATAATGAATATATTTCACTAATGACCCTGCTTCTCAGGCATGATAAGGGCATCCTCCAAGAAGTTTCGGAGCTGGATACTGAAAAAGAATTGGTTCCAGGTACTAGGCGCAAGGTTCTACGTACTTTTTAGTAGTCATAGTCTAAAACACTCGAAATCTTTATTAGATAATCATTAGTTAATAACATTAACAATTTATATGTACTTGTATACATTAGCAGAGCCAGCTGGCAGCTCCCAAGTGAAAGTTAGTTTCTTATATTCTGTTGTCTATTCTATGGGGGACGGGATCGGGCTTGGGGGATGGATGGAGTCAGTGGTGAGTGCGATAGCTTGGGGAGGGGACCATTAGTTGGCCAGGAAGTAGTGCAGCAGGCTTAGGTAAATACGCTCAACAATTGGCCAAAGGTGCTCGGCCAGGAACTGGAGGAGATGTCTGAGCGGCGGACAGAGCGTGCATATATAGTCCGTTATTCCGTCCAGCACGCGTATAGCCAAGGGTCAGTTGTTTTGGTTGCGCTCCAATTGAATGCATATATTGCTGCCACTGCAGCCTGCGGCACTGTCGTCTTCATCCCTCCCGTCCGCACCCATTGGATAGCAGCCGTCGGCGCGTTTGGGACACGAGTACGTCCAAGCCATGGGTTCGCGGAACTTGTCCAAGTGAGCAGCATTGAGGAAGGCGTAGAGGCGGGGATGATCGATGTAGGATGAGCAGGCGTAGCACCAAACGGACAAGTCGCGGAGGCTCATTACCAGTGGATGCTCGCTCTCGAAGCAGTGCAACTGCATGTGCTCGTTCACATAGCGACCGCAGGCCACCGTCCGACAGCTGAGACACATCCAGTTCTCCACGCACGACTCGCACTCGCTGCACGCCGCTCTTGTGTTTATTGCTGTGGAAGAGCCGAGAAAATTGAATTAAATTCTTATTGAAACATGTAGGATAGAACATTATTTAAGCAATAAAATATCCAAAAACGCAACTAAATATTTTGCAAACAAGCCAAGCAACTGAACTCCAATGCCACAAAACAAAAAGGAACTTAAAACACATCCAGCAACCTGAACGTTTCAAAAAGCATAGGTAGATTGGAAGGAGGAGCTGAAGAGCCAATACTGGACATGGAATGGAGCTTACATTTCGGAACCTCCTCGGGACGCAGGAGGCTCAAGTGGGGGCACGTCTTCAGCGGATACACAGCAAACATCTCGTTGTTCTCAAGGGCCTGCTCGTCGTTCACAATCCCCACCAGCGGATGCGAGGGAGATGGATGGATTATGTGCCGAAATGAGTGAGATAGATGCATGGACAAGTACGGGAACAGAGAGAGTCGAAAGATTAGGATGGGGATCGATTGAATGGTATGCTAGTGTCTCTCGTACCTCCTTATTCTCCTGCAGATACTCGGTGAGCGTTTTTACCTTGACTTTGGGCTTGCTGCCGCTGGGCCGCTCCTCGCCGCAGTCTGGTCGATCGCCGCCAGAACCGCCCGGGGCGGCCTCTGGGATTTGATCACTTGAGATATTCAACTGCCGCAGGGAAGCAGTAAGAAAATCCTCGTTGTTATTCTCGCCCACCAGCGGATCGAAATCAGTCGGCAGCCGGCGGCCGGCGAACTCCAGCGACTGCCAGTGCGTGCGCTGGACCTCCAGGCAGGACTGTAGCGTTTCGATGCAGCTCTGATAGGCCACCGTGGCTGGCTTCTGTAGCGATGTGGCTCCCAGCTGCGGAGTTGGCACTGGGTCGCCCAGCAGCGTCTTGGTGCACATAGTCATCGCGTACGAAATGGAGTTCACGTTGTAGCCCCCTTCCAGGCACACGATGATCTTTCCGCCGGCCAGAGCTGAGAGCCAGTGGGTGAGCATGCCGTAGCCCTCGGGAGTTACCTTGCAGCCGCCCAAGGGGTCGCCAATGGCTGCGTCGAATCCAGCGGAGACCAAGACCAGTTGTGGATTGAACTCGTAAGCAATGGGCATTATCACTTGCTGGAAGGCAAGTGCGTACTCCAAATCCCCCATGCCCTTCTGCAATTAGTGATAAATCGTGAGAGAAAGGAAGGGAGAGGTTTCCCAATAATGCTTACTTTGTTCCAGGGAATGTTAACGTTGAAACCTCTACCGGCGCCCTTGCCCACAACATCGAAGTTTCCGTCCGGGCCCTTCGGGAAGAAGGCGCCGTGTTCGTAGCGATGCACACTCACATACAGCACCTTGGGGTTGGACTCGAAAATGTGCTGTGTCCCGTTCCCGTGGTGCACATCCCAATCGACGATGAGGACACGCTGTAGTCCATAGTCCCTGATAGCATACTGTGCGGCAATAGCCACGTTGTTGAAGATACAGAATCCATGCGGCTGATCCGGTTCGGCGTGGTGACCCGGCGGTCGTACGTTGCAGATGCCACTTCGGGACTCGCCGCGCAGCACACTGTCTACCGCCTGCAGCACTGATCCGGCGGCAAGGGTAGCGCAGTCAAAGGTGCGTGGATGCAGATAAACCGAGTTATATGTGGCTCCCAGCTGGTTCAGCTCCTCTGGATCGCGTCCCAAGAGACGACGCACCGAGTTCACATGGGATCGCGTGTGGGCGAGACAAATTTCATCTGTAGTGGCCGCCCGGGCTGAGAGCTGCTTCATCCGATCCAGCAAGGCGTAGTCCTTGTGCATCTGGTGGATGCTCTCGATGCGAAAGGGTTGTTCCGGGTGCCCGCCATCGTGAAGATTGCAGTGCTGCAGCATCTGGGTATCGTAGGCGTAGCAAACCCGAACTGGCGGCACCGACAGCTTGGTTTCTGTGCGGAGCACTTGCAAACGGGCAGAGTTGGTGGCAATTTTTTCGGCCGGCAGTGGGATAGCTGTGTCCCGTGTGGGGTAGCGGTCGACCGGCGGCGGACCTCCGATCCAAATGCGCCTAACTAGATGCAGATCTTTGGGATGCACTGCGTCGTTTGCCTTAAGCTCGTCAATTTCGTAGGTTTTCTGCATCTGAAGACACCGCCAGTGCTGTCGATGGGCACAAATGCAATTGAGAAGGGCATCGGCCAGTTCCTGGCGTGGCAGGGCCAGCTCCTCGACCAGCGGCGGGCAGGGATCGCCGAGAAGCGACCGCAGGGTGAGAGCAGCACCCTCAGCCAGCGAGTCCAAGCAGTAGCCGCCTTCCAGAATCACAGCCACTTTAGAGTCGGCCAGACGCAGGAGCGGATTCAATAAATGCGGATAGCAGGCTGGTGTCACTTCCATTTCACCCTCCGGGCAACCCAGCGCAGCGTCGTAGCCAGCGGATACTATGATCAGCTCCGGCTGGAATTCCAGCGCCACCGGCAGCAGCAATTGCTGAAAGATGGCCAGGTAGTCGCCGTTCGTCATTCCTGTCCTGTTCAAGGGCACATTGAAGGTGTAGCCTGTGCCGGGGCCCGAGCCAATGGCGTGGTAATCCGACTCGTCAAGATGCGGCCAGAAGCTGCCATACTCAAAGCGGTGGATAGAGAAATACAATACCCTAGAAAGTAGGTAGATATTTAACTCGAAATCTGGGCTTCATTCAAGGCGGTCACCTACCTCGGATCATTGTAGAAGAACCGCTGCGTTCCCTGGCCGTGGTGGACATCATAATCGATGATCAGGATGCGCTGTAACTTGTGAATGTCCAGGGCATGCTGGGCTGCCAAGGCTACGTTGTTAAAGAAGCAGTAGCCATTGAATTCGGCCTTCATGGCATGGTGGCCGGGTGGTCGGATGATGGCCATGCCATTCTGGGCGCTTCCAGTAATCAGCTGGTCCACCAGCTCTATGGTGGACCCACTGGCCAGCAAAGATAGCTCAAAAGTGGACTGCAGGGGAGAAGAGAAGACGGAGGTTATCAATGTTATGAACGTAATCTCGTCAGAGCTCCCAGCGAGCAGTAAATCGTATGATAGACTATAATATATACCCATCACAAGGCATGTGAGACGATTTACAGTGAGAGTCGATCATGCATGGTGATTTACATTGAAAGGGTTTCCAGATGGAAGCCACGAAGACTGGGAATCATAAATAAATAGGTGGCTATAGGTTGGATTACTAAAGAGCCTCAAATTTGCATCAGATTTAAATACAATGAAGATATGATTCCAATAAAGCAACCATAAATATTCATAAACAGATGGAACGGACTGTACTGCCTGGTACCCATTTGCAGCTAATCTAATCTGTTTCAATTTGCAGCTCTCAGCCTAATCTTCTCGGGCACTCAAGCGCAGTAAACGCAATCTATCTGGGCTAATTGGGATTGGTCCTATGGATTGCCTCTCACCGGATGTATGTAGATGGAATCGTAGCGGGAGCTTAGCTCCTCCATGCGATCGTCGTCGCGGATTCCGGAGGTCGCCTTCAGCCGCTCGAAGTGCTCCTCGGTGTGCAGGCGCAGGATCTCTGCCTTGGTGGCTATGCGGGACGGCAGCTCCAGACAGCGTTCCGCCAGGTTCAATTCCCGGCATCTTAAAGGGAAAATAAGTAGTAACATACATTTTAAGGACATGCTGGCATGGACCTTACCGCTCTAGGACGCGTGTAAAGCGTTCAGGACATTCGTAGTGTTCCTTGTCCCACAGGCAGCAGTGCTGGCTCATGGTCTCATCGTAGATAAGGGCCGTGGGTTTCCGGACCAGACCCTTGGCATTAACTGCCTGCGGATGAGGCGGGAGATCAATCGGATTAGACTTGTCCTAGTACTGGGCACAAAGAGGTACTTACATTCTGAAATATATCGGTGACGCACTCCTGGTTGGACATGGCGTTGTTCTGGCTTTTCATCAAATTGCGCGCGCGACGTTTTGCCTCCAAGAGGGCTGCACTCGGTTTGCTCGATTTCCGCGAATCGCCGCTACCGCCGCCGCCGCCGGCTGCGCTGCCGATTACTCCCGCTGCGGTTGCGACCGACGTCGTTCCGCCACCTGTAGAAGATTTTGTTTTGTTGACCATGGCGCGGGTCTGGATCTTCGCTTGCTGGGCGCCGCGTCGCGTGACGATGGGCGGGCTCTGTATATGTACGTATGTATATTATGTATATGGAAAATATATATTTCGGATTTCAAATGCAGTGGAGTGGATTGGTGAGAGGCTTCTGGACGATAGCCTTTGTTTGAAATAGTACTAGTTACAACCTGAATTTATTTAAAACTGACTGACAGCCACAAATAGACTTGAAGTATGGAACTCATGGCACTTTTCGATCGGAGATTACAGGCTGGTTGACATACTTTTAGTCCCCAGAGAGACCAAGATTTGATTACGCCATGACCGGCAGTGCAATTGGGTCACCCAAACAAAGTACTACGAAATAGTCTCTGTACTTCACCTTATTGTTACCATAAAGATGGAACTTCGTCTTACTTCTTAGAGCACCAACAGTGCTTGCCTTCAGGTATTGCTTGGATGTGTCTCTTGAGAATCTCCAAACCTTAATCCCCCATAGGCGAAGCCATCTGCTGGCCACAAAGCTTGGACGGAAACTGGCAACGGCATCAGTGGAACATGGGCAGCGAGACCATGGATGCAGGCTTGTATACATGAATGTGCATGGGTGTGTGCGTGGGAGCTGTGGCCCAGCCGCATTTGGTCAGAGCCACTTCGCTCCACTCCAAAGCCGAAAAGGCGGCAACTTACCATGTTGTTATTGCTGTCGAGTCGAGCCGATAAACTGGAAGCTGGTTCTGCTGTTAAGACCAAAGCTGGAGGATTAGACGGCGACGACGCGGGGTCTGATTCACAGCTGGGTGGGCGTCAGGCGTCAGGCGTCGGGCGTGCGGTGTTGGGTGTCGTGTGTCCGTGCGGTAATACTTTCTAGGCCTATAACCACCGCTCCTGGTAGTTATCGATTTGAATAACACACTTTTCTCTTATAATTAGCTGGCTATAAATTATGCCCGATTTGTTGCCTTCTCCCTTGCACAGCCAATACTCATCTAGCTCCCCTCGTGTGCGCGTGTGTGTGTGGTTGTGTTTCTGCTTCAGTTGCTCAGCTTTTGGATGTTTTGTTGCTGCAATGCAAAACACATCGAGCCTACACTGAGTAACAAATAATACAATATGCGTAACCGGAGGGGTATGACTCCTTCCAATATTTTCTTCTCCGATTTCGCTTTTCTTCTGGACCCACTCCCGTTTCACGGTTTACAGTTGCATTCGTTGCAGCGGAGATTGCAGCCAAGAAGATGCAGCCAGCAGCAGTAGAAGCCACGGGAAAAGCAAGAGATATAGAGCCTCGGCCAGAACCTGAACCAGAAATCGCACACACACACGGCGCACTCTCTCACCGCGGGGGCAGGGAAATGGGGCCAATGAGAGGTGGAGCAAGAACCAATGATGCGCGGGCGGAGCGGTGGGAAGGCGGCAAAACGAATGTTTGTGTGTGTTCTTCTTCTTGCCGTTTACATGGAAACAGCTGCTTCGCCGATAGGTATTACTTGTTGAATAATCGTACACTCGATATATCCTGGAATAAGAAAAAATGTAATTTAGAAAATTCTGATTCGTAAAAATCTTCCATTTTCCCCTAGAATTCGTAAAACATGTCTTAAATACACGAAGAATCTACTCTAATTGTGATGGATAAATAATAATAATATTAAAAAATATATTACAAATATTAAAAACGAATTAAAATTTTGGTGAAAATTTTTAAAAACTATACAAAACAATTAAAAATTCTTAAACGCAGATTTCGGGGCTAAAAATTTTGAATTTAGTAACGGTAGCGCCCAAATAGATATTATCGATATATATATATGGGTCGATATACCATCCCACATGCATCCCTGAAATAATGGATGCCGGATTTTCGACCGAAAACCAAGGAATTTCCAGCTAAATCTGTATTGTGTGGTTTTGGGTTATTTACTAACTGAAACAAGCCCACTGTGCAGCCTTTGACGTCGCTCTTAATTCGAGCCAGAATACAGAAAATCCCATAAGAGCACAATGTCTAAGGGTTCCGGGTAAGTTTGGACTTTTCCGGCTTTTTGGGGTTACCATTAACCACTATTCTTTTTTACAGGCGCGACCGTGACAGGGAGAGGGATAGGGACCGCGACAGGGATAGGGACCGAGACCGGGATCGGGATCGGGACAGGGACCGAGATCGGGAAAGGGATAGAGATAGGGACCGAGACCGGGACCGCGACCGCGACCGTGACCGTGAAAGCCATCACGACAGTCGGAGCCGCGACCATGATGTGTCCAAGTCCAGGAATGGAGGCGGTGGTGGAGCCAGCGGCGGTGGAAGCTTTCGTGGCGGTCGAGATGATAGAAAACGGACGAAGGATTTGCCCAGCGACCGCGGCAGGCGGGATGAGAAACGCAGGAAGCGTTCAAGATCTAAAGACTATGAAAAGGATAAGTAGGTGATAAGTTGCAGCCTTCTTGAAATGATATTTATATCCCTATTTTTCCAGACGGCTAGATAAGGAGCGGGAACGCGATAGGGATCGCGAAAGACAGCGGGAAAAGGACCGTGAGCGAGAAAAGGAACGCGAGCGAGAGAAGGATCGGGAGCGGGATCGTCAGCGGGACCGAGACGCGGACAGTCGTCGTCCCGCTGCCTCTGCTCCGGTAGTGATACCCGTGCCTTCGAGTTCCTCAGACGAGGAGGTCGAGGAGATCGACAAAGAGGAACAACAGCGCCGTCTGGAACAGGAGATGATTAAAAGACGCGAGCGTATCGAACGCTGGCGAGCAGAACGCAAGAAGGACACTAAGCCGGCGACGGTGGTGCCCACCGCTGTTAAATCTGCCAAAAAGTGGAGCCTTGAAGACGAATCCGAAGAGGATGACAGCAATCATGCCCCATCACTGGACAGTACCAAAAAGGACACGGAACCGGACTCCCCGCCTTCCAAGTTCCACAGCATTCGAAAGCGTCACGATGACGACGTCGTAGAGCCAAAGTTCTCGCCGGTGAAGCGGCCCAAGTTTGGCGCCAAGCTGGGTATGGGGCTGGCCAAGACCGAGGCTGAAATTAAGAAGGAAGCGGAAGAGCAGAAGGTAGTCAAGTCCGAGGAGAAACCCATTGAGTCCGTTCCAAAAGCTGAAGTCAAGGAGGAAGTGAAAATGGAGGTCAATGAGGAAGTGGCGATCAAAACGGAGTCGGAGCCAGAGCCGAAACCCGAACGTGAGCCCTCCCCCGAAGATGACATAGATCCGTTAGATGCTTATATGCAGGAGGTTAATAACGAGATGCGAAGAGTTAATAACTTTGTGAGTCCAAGCTCAAAAGCCCAGGGTGTGGTGATTCTCACCGGCGTGGCCAAAAAGAAGACTGCGTCCGTGAAAAAGGGCGAACTGATTGAACAGAACATGGACAGCTTAGAGTATTCCAGCGAGGATGAGTTGGAGGACATCCGGGACACGGCCAACAACCTGGCGATGAAGCACCGCAAAGAGCTGGCCAAGATTGATCATTCCTCAGTGAGCTATGCCCCTTTTCGTAAGAACTTCTACGTTGAGGTTCCGGAACTGAGTCGCATGACGGCCGCCGAAGTGGAGAAGTACCGTAGCGAACTGGAGGGCGTCCAAGTGAAAGGAAAGGGCTGTCCCAAACCCATCAAGGTGAGTCCTTGGACCAGTTTGTTTTAAAACCTAACCAAACATAATGATGTGTCTTCCAGACGTGGGCGCAATGCGGCGTCAGCAAAAAGGAAATGGACGTGCTGCGCCGGCTGGGCTTCGAGAAGCCGACGCCGATCCAGTGCCAGGCTATTCCGGCCATCATGTCCGGACGGGATCTGATAGGTATTGCTAAAACCGGCAGTGGCAAGACGTTGGCATTCATTCTACCAATGTTTAGGCACATCCTGGACCAGCCGAGCCTGGAGGATGGCGACGGTGCCATCGCAATCATAATGGCGCCCACTCGCGAGCTGTGCATGCAGATTGGAAAGGACATCCGCAAGTTTAGCAAGTCGCTGGGTCTGCGTCCTGTCTGTGTCTACGGCGGCACCGGCATATCCGAGCAGATAGCCGAACTAAAACGCGGCTCCGAGATCATTGTGTGTACGCCCGGTCGCATGATCGACATGCTGGCCGCCAACTCCGGTAGGGTCACGAACCTGCGGCGGGTCACGTACGTAGTCTTGGACGAGGCGGATCGCATGTTTGATATGGGTTTCGAGCCACAGGTGATGCGCATCATTGACAACGTCCGACCGGACCGGCAGACCGTAATGTTCAGTGCCACGTTTCCGCGCCAAATGGAGGCTCTGGCGCGCCGCATCCTAAAGAAACCCATCGAGGTGATTGTGGGCGGTCGATCTGTGGTCTGCAAGGATGTCGAGCAGCATGTGGTCATTCTCAACGACGACGCTAAATTCTTCAAACTATTGGAGCTGTTGGGCATTTACCAGGAGGCTGGCAGCATCATTGTGTTTGTGGACAAGCAGGAGAACGCCGATATTCTGCTGCGTGACCTCATGAAGGCCTCGTATCCTTGCATGTCGCTTCACGGCGGCATTGACCAGTTCGATCGTGACTCCACCATTATAGACTTTAAGTCGGGGAAGGTGAGGCTGCTGATTGCCACCTCGGTAGCTGCTCGGGGGTTAGACGTCAAGGATCTCATTCTGGTGGTCAACTACGATGTTCCGAACCATTACGAGGATTACGTGCACAGGTGAGTTTGTCTTCCTACCACTGGGAGGTGACTGTCCTTACTTTTCCACTCTTTCCGGCAGATGTGGACGAACAGGAAGGGCGGGCAAAAAAGGTCGAGCCTACACGTTTATTACTCCCGATCAGTCCCGCTACGCCGGCGACATCATCCGGGCCCTGGACCTTTCCGGCACGCCGATACCCGCCGAACTACAGACCCTGTGGACGGAGTACAAGACTGCCCAAGAGGCAGAGGGCAAGACAGTGCACACCGGCGGCGGCTTCAGCGGCAAGGGCTTCAAGTTCGACGAGCAGGAGTTCAATGCCGTCAAGGAGAGCAAGAAGCTGCAAAAGGCCGCCCTGGGACTGGCAGACTCCGATGACGAGGAGGACATTGAGCAGGACATTGACCAGCAGATCGAACAGATATTTGCGGCCAAGCGGACAGTGAAGGATACATCGGCCACGGCCACGGCGACCGCTGCGGCGGCGGCGGCTGCTGCGGCAGCTGCAGCAGCGGCGGCATCCGGAGGTAATCCTGCCCTGGCCTCGGCGGCGGCTCAAGCGGCGGCTGTGGCCGCTGCTGCCAATCTGGCCATCGTGGCTGCCAATGCCTCAGCTGCATCGGCTGGTGAGTTAAAATCATTTCAAATAATAATTATAATTTTAAATCATAATCTTCTTTAGCGGCAGGAGCTCTCAGTTCAGACAAGCTGGAGTTGGCCAAGCGACTTGCCTCCAAAATCAACAGCACTATGAATCTGGACACAAAGGTCAATGCTGTTACCGTGGAGCCTATGCTGAAACCACAGCACGTGCCAGGCGGTGTTCCTCCGCTCCTGACCGCACGAACGGTGGCCGAGCAAATGGCCGCCAAGCTGAACAACAAGCTCAACTACCAGCCGAAGGAGGACGAGGACGGCCTGGTCAGCATCGCGGGCGTCAACAGCAATTCGTTCACCAAATACGAGGAGGAGCTGGAGATCAACGATTTCCCGCAGCAGGCGCGCTGGAAGGTGACCTCCAAGGAGGCTCTCGCCCAGATCTCCGAGTACTCGGAGGCGGGCCTCACGGTGAGAGGAACATACGTGCCCCAGGGCAAGAACCCACCGGAAGGCGAGAGGAAACTCTACCTGGCCATCGAGAGCTGCAGCGAGCTGGCGGTGCAAAAGGCCAAGCGCGAGATTACGCGGCTCATCAAGGAGGAGCTGCTGAAGCTAAGTTCCGCTCACCACGTCTTCAACAAAGGACGCTACAAGGTGGTCTAGACCCGTTCCTCGTGGAGATCAGACTTACTTTAAGATGGAAATCGGACGAAGAGAGAGTGTTGTAAACCCAATAAACCCAATGTTGGAGACGTGTGATGGGTTTTTATTCCAGGAGGTGGTGGTTACTGAAACGCTAGATGGGGTTTTGGTATTTTTGTCGCTTGTCTTGCTGCATTTTTATTGTTTACTTATATTTCTCCGCCAGCACTCGAGCGCTGCAATCAATTGATTTTCATGCTACAGTATTTCTTGTGTCTAGAAACTACTAAAATTAAATTTAAATGTAGTTATGAGCTTGGGCATGTCCTTTATCAATGTTAGTTGTATTATAATTTTTTATAATTATTATTATGCGCTTCTGGGTTCGTTCTTTGGGTTTAATTGTTTGGTTGTTCGAAAAAAATGTTCATGTGTGTTATCCGAAAGTTATCCACTAATTTGTCGGCCAAATGTCATTTCGTTTGATACAAAACTATGTGTGTATTATTATTATTATTATGTTTTAGCTTGCTCCGCCTTAGTTTTGTTTAAAATTATTATTGAATTTTGTTCGGCGCCTGTCTTGATTTTAGGTTTTTTTTTTTCGGTCTTCATTCTACGCATTCAAAATCACTCACACACGCTCTATATTTATGTATATATATATATATATATATATATATATATGTGTATATATATATCCTCATCAGTATCCTTTAACGTTAAGTTTCCTTTCTGTTATGTACAATTCTAGTTAAAACTATTAAATGTGCTAAATTATACAAAAAAAAAACACAAAAAAAATTGTATGTATAGTATATAATTTTTTAAAATTCTTTATATATATATATATATACTATATATATTTATATGTAATCCATAGTTGTCATAGAGTTGGTTTTTATTTATTCGCTTTAGTTTTAGTTTAGTTTGGCAACATTTTAAATTCGTTGCAATATCTCCAGTTGCTGCTAACATTTTTTTTTATTTTTTTCGATTTTCTTGATTTATTTCTTTTTTTTTTTGCATTAGTTTACTTATAATTAGACAAAAAAAAATTAATTATGCATTTAGTGTGTGTTTGTGTTTGTGTGTGTCATTGTTTGAGAGAGTGTGTATGTGTGTGTGTCTGTGTTTAAGGAAGCATCTTGAGGGGAGGAGGTTGTGGGTCCGGGTTCCGACTTGGTTTCTTTGGCTAGGTCCTTTGAGAGTTCTACTGTAAGCGGCCAGAAAATCATTTCCCATTTATTTTTTATCTTTGGTTTTTTTTTTGCCTGTGCGGTATTTACAATCGATTCAAAGTTTGTCTATATATGTATATAGTATATATACAGGGGGGCTAATGCATATCTCTCATTGTCTGGGCTAGTGTATGTGTGTGAGTCTGGATGTGTGTGTGTGTGTGGGCTGAATTGCTGGTTGCTAGTTGCAACATGCAACATGCAACCCATGTTGCTGCTGCTGCTGCTGCTGCTGCTCCTTCCCTTAGATTTATAAGCTTAGATTCTTATTATCGGATCACTTGAAGCAATTTCTTGGCATTCTTTTGGTCTTTGTCTTTGTCGTTGTGTGATTGTAGTTGTAGTAGTAGTTGTAGAGTGTGTGTGTGTCTATCCTTGTGTATCCTTGTGTATCCTTGTTGTTGGGCAGTAGCAGATTGGGTTTCGTTCATTTGGTATTTGCTTTGCTTGGAGGGGAAGGAAGGCCCGTGTTCAATTGATTTATCATTTCAATTTGTTCATCGTTTTTGCTCATTTTTGTTCTGCAACAGACAGGATATAAAGTATACGGTTTAGGTTTAGTTTCAGGACTAACATATATGGCGAATGTGAATTCCCAGCTTACCTTTTCCTCTTATACAATTCAATAAATTATTGCATTTGATATGTTGGTCCATTGTTTCATTATTCGTTCCTAAAAAATTCTTGTATTTCTTGGTTTTCATCTTGATTTCTCATTTTTGTTTCGATTTATTATTACTTTTTTATACTCGAGAGTATCTCTTAAAATGGGTGGTGGGGAATGGGGGGTTTAGGATTTAGGAGCAGGACATGGGCTAGTGGGTGCGGGGATAAATGGCTTTAGATTTGTATAGTTTCTGGTGTATGCTGCTATTTGTAGTATTATTTTCTGGCTGTTTTTTATTAAGTTTTTTTTTTTTACTGATTTTATTGCTGGCTTTGCTGATTATTGAGTGAGAGAGAGAAAGAGAGTTAGAGTTGTGAAGAAGGATCAACGTCGTTGTGGTTATTGTTGTTGCAGATGATGCTGTTGCAGATGTTGCAGATGTTGCTGTTGCAGATGTTGCTGATGTTGTTGTTTCGTTGCTGCCGCTTCTGGATCTTTTGGTTTCTTTCTATATCTGTATATATGTATACTATATACCGGAATCGGAATCAAAATCGGAATCAGAATCAGATTTAGAATCACTATAGGTAATAGTCGCCCGGGAGGGGGCCGGTTGCTGATGCTGCTGCTGCCGCTGCTGCTGCTGCTGCTGTTGCTGATGATGATGACGATGATCCGACAGATCCTGCTGATCCTGCCGCACCCTGCATCGTTACCGCTCCTCCGCCCGCTACCGCTCCCGCTCCCGCTGCCGCCGCCGCTGCTGCTGCTGCTGCCGCCGTCATAAACGACTATCAGTATCCGAATCCCGCCGAACCGTGGCCAGTCATTGATGGTGTTACACTACTAACTATACCTAATTGTGTGGCTGTATTATTTGATTGTCAGTGTTGTTGTGCGGCAAATTTCATACGTTTTTGTTTTTGGCGTTGATTGCAGAACCAGACGCGCACCACGTTTTTCTTCAAATCCAGCTTTTCGGCAATGGCAGCGATTTTCTCACCGGATGGTCTCGGCTGGACGGCGAAGTAGGCTTCCAGGGAACGCTTTTCAGGTGCCGCAATGGAAGTCCTTTTTCTTGAAAAAAGACTCGATATAGATTACTTTAGAAGCGGGTCCCTAGCCTGAACGGACGGTGAACGGATTCGTTATTGGAATCGGTTTCGGGAATGGAGTGATTATAATCGAATCGTCAATATCTTTATAGCTAGATCGAGTTCGGTTCCAACACCTCTATTATATTTACCCCACTTTATGAAATAAATTAATTAAAAATTAAGAAAACAATAGAAAAACGGTGCCAAACTCGATTCCAGGTACTCTATATTTTTTTGTCCAATTTTGGCTCTCTGAATCTGAGAAGGGGGTGGGTGGCTGAGGGTGGTGTTTTTAGGGGGTGGGGTATGGAGTATGGGGGGGGAGGGGAGGAATGCGGTTACCGTGGCAATTAAAACACTTTCTACCTTTTCTTTTCGCCCGCCGGCAGGACGCTGGGCGCATCCGGGTCGCGCCTCTTGTTTTTCGCCTGCGCCTCGGCCTCCTCGAGCCACGCCTGGAGGATCGGCTTCAGGGCGATCATGTTGTTGTGGGACAGTGTCAGGCTCTCGAACCGACAGATGGTGCTCTGCGACAGCGCGCCGACGCCAGGTAACTTGAGATTGGCCAGGGCCTTGCCCACGTCGGCCTGCGTGACACCTGCAAGGATTCAAAAGACCAATAACATCAGAAACATAGGAAAATCGTCTAGAATTACAACGGTGTATGCCTTTCAAGGATATCTTTAAAATTTACTAAGATATGGGCTTCAATATGGGTCATAATTCCCGATTCGAGGATTTCCAGGACTTGAAATATCTAACCACGAAAAAAGGGATATTTTTATAGCTTCTCAAGATCATAACTCGGCTAATGGATGTCTGATCCAGGAATGGTATACCTTCCCGATTTCAGCACTTCGAGTACATGGTTTCTGCATCAAAAACTGACAAACTAAAATTTTATCGATTTTTTAAAAATTTTCGTAGGGGTACCATCATAAAAATTCATCAAAAATCTTAAAAAAAATTGTTCCTCAGATTTTAATGCAGATTGATGGTCATTTTTTATAGAATTGCAGTGGTATATCCCTTTCCAGGATAGCTTTAAAATTGAAGAAGATATGGGCTTTAATATGGGTCACAATTCCCAATTTGAGGATTTCCAGGACTTGAAATCAGTGGTGTCACTTTTTTCTGAGCAAAAAAAGCTGGATCAACGAAAAAAAAAAGCTAAAAAAAGCGGAATACCAGAGAAAAAAAGTTAAGAAAAAAACTGATTTTTATAAGGCAATGTACTGCATGTTATTCACTAATAAGCCCTCAGTTCCACTTAACATAAAATATATGGGTTAATTATCTAACGGATATCATTACAAAGAAACCAAAAAAAAACAATAATGTACAAAAATTAAGATCTATATTATATTTAAGATGTCGTCAATATTATCATCATCATCAGTTGGATAAAATTTCTTGTCTTCAATTGTAGATAGGCAGCTGGGTGGTATATTATAGTTAAAACAGCACATATTGTGTCGACGCAGCCCGTACCTCAAATTTTAAGTAAATTAATTTATAATTTTAAGATACAAATTAAAATATGGACCTTATACTCAGTATAGCGTTTAACGTTTCAACGCTCATGTTATTTCGAATTTTCGTTTTTATTAAATGTACTTGGCTGAATAACCGCTCGACGTCGGCATTCGACCAAGGCAGGACTGCATTTGCAGAGCAACTGAAGCCAATTCCTGAAAACGGCAGTTTCCGCCAGAATCCCGATATTTAAGAACTTCAGCCCAGAACTTAACAGTATCATCGACATTTTCCCACTCTACCATGGTTATGTCGTTGTACAGTCGTTAAATTTTATCTATATTAGGAGTACCAAAATAATCAAGGATTGGAGAGATTTGTTTCTTTTTGAATGCATCAAAAAGTAAACAAAAAAAAAAAAGCTGCGTAAATTTGCTCAAAAAGCCAGAATTCCCGCTGCCCGCTGTTTTCATATTTTTCCCGCAATCACGCTTCAAAAAAACCCAGATCTGACGGGAAAAAAGCGGAAATGACACCACTGCTTGAAATATCTGACCACGAAAAAAGTGATATTTTTATAGCTTCTCAAGATCATAACTCGGCCAATGGATATCTGATCCAGGAATGGTATACCTTTCCGATTTCAGCACTTCCAGTACTGCATCAAAAACTGGATATCTAAAATTTTATAGATTTTTTCAATATTTTCCAAGTTATGGGAATCGACATGAACTACATTGGAGCTTTACTTCTTCACTTAATAGAGTACAAAGGATAGGAACAAAATACTTACCCAGCTTAATACGCCGCTGCTTGAAACGCTCCGCAAACGCCTCGAGCTCTCGGGGATCGGTGTCGGTGTCAGGATGCAGGCCAGCGGCTGCCACTGCCGCCGTGATAACAGGATGATGTACCGCTGAGTGTCCATGGTGCCCTAGAAAGCGGAAGGGGGTAGATATATTGGGTACAGGGTACAGAGAGGATGCTCCATGGATTTCCAAACTCACCCGCCGTGTGGCCACTTAACGTGCCCGGATGGTGGTGGCTCATCATGTGATTCATGCTGTGATAGGAACCGTGCAGGTGTTGGTGTGTTGGCGTTAGAGGGGACTCCGAGATGGGCGCCAATGTGGTCATCGAGCCCGTCGGATCCAGCATGTCCAGCTGATCCATGGAGTGGTGCATCTGAAATACCAAACAGAAAAATAAATAGAAATTAATCGCCAAATCAATGGAATAATTAGAGCTTTGCATACAATTATCCTTTGGTTATTATCATTATTATCGGGCCATCCATTATCCTCCCCAAAAAGAGGTATCCTTCGCACACACACACCCATACACACTCGCTTAAGCAGATAATTTATAAAGTTTTCCACTCACGGCACAGAAAATGTATTTAAAGTTACCTCTAATTAAAGTCCTTTGCTCCCCCGTTCCATTTATTCACCTGTCGACCCGCCCCCCAGCCCGCCGTCCCCGGAAACTGACAACCCTTTTTGCAGCAAGTACTTGAGTTGCACTTGCTACCTTTCCAGGGGCGAGTGGGGGTGGCGGGCTGGACAGGAGTTTAAGGATCCCTCTGTGTGTGCGTGTGCTGGCAGCTTTAATTGAACGGGAAATCAGGCTCAAAACACAGAGACAGTGTAGGACAGAATGGTAGAAGTCACATATCGAAAATGTATTTATCATTTTGTTAAGTTCTGAGGCTAAAAACTGGAAATAGCAAAAATGAGCCCAAAGCAAAACTAATTAAAAGACTGTCTGATTAAGGCTGTGACTATTATTTCTCCCTCAGGTGTGTAGGCTGCTTGAAGCATGGATCCTGGAAAGGAAACGCCATGAAATGAAACGGATACGGATACGGATACGAAGGCGCTCACAACTCTTTTGTCTAGCCATCAAATATTTATAGAAACGTTCAATTATTTATACAAATATGAATAGCAACTAAAAAGCTGGAGCAGCAGTTCTGTCTCCTGCTCCTGCTGCCCCTCCTCCTCCTCCTCCTGATCCTGCTCCTGCTCGTGTATTCCTATTTCTGTTTCTATTCCTATTCCTGGTTCCTGCTCCTCCTCCGGCTCCACCTCCTTCCTTTTGCGTTGCTTTGTTAAGCATTTAAACTGATTACAGCTGAAAAGTATGCTACAACAAAACGCCAAACAGCCTTTCTCCCTTTCTCTCCCTACGGCCACCCCCTTCGCCACCGCCTTTCTCTCTCTCTCTCTCTGGCTCCCTATGGGCTCCCTCTTTGAATGGGTTGCCAGCGCGGGAGTGAGTGAAAAGGCGAGAGGCAGAGGCGTCCGGGGGGGGGTCACTCATATTTATTTATCTTTTTGTGAATGTGGCGCAGTCGGGCGGGTAAAACTAGTGTTTAGAGCGCTGGAGAGGCTCTCCTCGCATTTCTATGTACAGAGGATACCACGCCCCCGCTCGGCCAACAGCCGGACAGTTGGATAGTGGACTGTAGGATAGCCGGACGGCAGGATACCCGGACACCAGGATACCCGTGTGCCAATTATGTAAAACTCTAAAATGATAAGCACTATGGAGGCCTATGGAGAACAATAAGACACTGGCCGTATGTATTTGTGAGTGTGTTTATGTAGATGGAAAAACTATGTAGATGCTAACACCCTCCCCCTGCACCCCCTGCACCACCGACACACACCTCATCGCCCATCCGGCACCCTTCCCCAGGACAGCCCAAAAGGATGCAGCCGAAACACAATGGCAAACTCTTCAATTATAAACCAATCCCAAAATTAGTCTGACGGTTATTGGTTTGCACCCTTGGCGCTGGCTCTCTCTTTTCCACGCAGGCCGTCCTCCTCGCACCCGCAGCGCCGCATCGCCCCGTCTCTGTCCGGCCGGCTAGCGCCATCTCTGTCGTCGCAGAGAGTACGGATCCACCCTGCGCATACACAATAAACGGAATCGGAAACGCTGCCAAAACCGGGCCAGAACGAGAAGGATTCTTCCAAGCGAGAAAGGACGAGAGTGGGATGGGTTAGGGTGAGAGAGCGAGAGAGAGCGTAAGGATTTCGGATGGAAGAGACTTGGCCGTGGACCCGTGGAGTCCTGAGTCCTCCGTAGCCAAAAAACCCGTAGCGCTGCATTGTGGTTGGCTGAAGCTAATGCAAAATTCATGTGGGCAGTGCCGATGCCGATGTCGATGTCGCTGCCAGCGTTAACTTTGCCGTTACCGTTAACCACCACCCACACACACCCACTCACGCCCCCGTGCTAACTAAGCGTTAGAGTCCCCCTGCTGGCCACTTCATTAGGCGCATAATTTGTAATTAATAAAATTATTTAAAGGACACCCGCGCTCTTCTGGGGGGGGACCAGGATCTGGCGCCAGGATCTAGGACTTTGGTAGAAAAAGGCTTCTAACTGGCACAGAGTGAGACGGTTGTGCTTCGGGGGTGTGGCATGGACGCTCCTATTGCGCTCCTGCCGCAGGACAAATCAAATGCAACAATAGAAGACAATTCCCCAAAAATGCAAACAACAACAAAAAACCAAACAAAGCTCACTGAGAGGGGAAACTGAATGGAAACACTGTTTCAAAATTGCCGAATTGTGTCCGCATTGATTTTCTCAGTTGCAACATATAGTTGCAACACACACACACACGCACACCCATGCAGGACCTGCATATAGCTGAGTGTGACTCTGCAGCAGCGACGTCAACTGAGCATCACCCACATACAGACAGGACGCTTCAATACTTGCATGTGTGAGCCGTATCTGTGTGTGTGTGTAAAGACGCCATTTTAAATGAGAAATAAACTTAAAAGTAGCGCTAAATGGTAATTATTCAAGGAAATTACTGGTGGAAATGGAGCTAATGGTGGGATTATATGATTTAAGGGGTTTATAGGACAATAAAATGTAGTATATTATATATTTTTCAATATTTTTTTAAGACTAAGACCTAGTTAAGGATGTAAACAAGACTTAGGGAGTTTGTGTTTTTTAGAATTACATTTTATTAATTATTTAGGATCACGGGGTAAACTCTCTTGAGAAGTAGTTGGCCTGCTTCATAATTTATTAACAGTTATCAAGGATAATTTATTTATTTGCCATTTGTTTATCAGTCAGCTCTCTCTTCTCATGCCTATGGTCCTCCCGTCTTGCTGTCTTTCTTCCGTCGTCCTCGCTTTTCTTCTCCAGATTGTTTTCGCGCAAATGACCTCATTATATAATACAGATTATATATAAAGTAATTTGTTGTTGGGTTTCATTTCTTTTTTGTTGTTTTTTGTCAGCCTTGTTCGCTATTTCCCTTTTTTTTATTCCTGTTTTGACATAATAAAGCGTTTTTGGCGCAATTTGTTTTTGTTTGTTGTCTGTCTGCCAGTTCCTCCCACCAGCCCCCACGTGTGTGTCCTTGTGTGTGTGTGCTTTGTTATTGTTCATTAATTTTTTAGCAGCGTTAATATATTATGGCGGTGACTTTTGTCACCGAGCAGAGACAACTAAATGGAGAAAACTTTCGGACAGGAACATGGCTTGGGTGGGTGACTATTCGTGGCACACTTTGGCCGGCTCGGGAGCTTCTGCCAAGGATATGCAATGCCCCCCCAAAGTGAAGAAAACACAATAGGGGTTCTAGTTGGTAAGGCCATTAGAACACGTTTTTTTAGACTTCCAAACTCGTCGAATATAATCAAATCCAATTGCTTTATGAATACAACCAAGCGCGGAGTAAAACCATCAGTACATCGAATCAGTACCCACGGCCATGGTCGGGGGCTGGAGGGCAGAGGCTCTCCTTCGAAAAGATAAATCTAGTAATCAGGACATGGTCTAGTTCCGATGCTTACAGCTGAACCTCAATCTAAAAGGCAAGTATGTATCTGAAGAATGTTTTAAAATTAGAATAATGATGATGGAGGACCCAAGTGGATGCGGATGTGTTGCGAGTCAGAGCTGCATAGCTCTGGCCTACTTCTTGCGCTTCTCGACGGGCTTGAGGATCTGGAATGAGCACATGAGCGTGTCGTCGACGGACATCATCGCGCCGGCGTTGTCGAACTCGCCGCAGTAGTTCGGGGCCGAGAAGAGGGTGACCAGCTGGCGCTTGGCGAAGAACTCGTACCCGTCCTCGACCACCTGGTGGGCGCGGCAGATGAGGTCGAGGTCATGCTTCTGCAGGAACTTGCCCACCACCTCCGCCCCAAAGGTGAAGCTCACGCCCCGGTCGTTCTCGCCCCAGCCGATCGTGTCCTTGTCCGGATCGGACCAGAGCAGGTCGCAGAGTAGGCCCTGGTCGGGCACGTCAGTGGGACGCATAATCCGGCGAATCTGCTCCATGGAGGTCAGGTCCGGACTGAGCCCGCCGTGGCAGCAGAAAATCTTCTCGTCCACGATCGCCACCACGGGCAGGCAGTTGAAGCAGTCCGTAAAGGTCTTCCACAGCTTGATCGTGTACCGGCGCTTGCACTCGTCGTAGAAGCCGTATATCCGGTTTATGCTGGCGCACTCGTGGTTCCCACGCAGCAGGAAGAAGTTCTCTGAGTACTTGATCTTGTAGGCCAGCAGCAGGCAGATCGTCTCCAGCGACTGCTTACCCCGGTCGACGTAGTCGCCCAGAAAGAGGTAGTTCGACTCGGGCGGATAGCCGCCATACTCAAAGAGACGGAGCAGGTCGTAGTACTGGCCGTGGATGTCGCCACAGATCTTGAGAGGAGCCTCAAGCTCGAGCAGAATGGGCTGGGCCAGCAGGATCTCCCGCGACTTGAGGCACAGGCCACGGATCTCACCTTCCGACAACTGGACGTTTTTGCCAGGCCGTGCCCCACGCACCTCCAGCAGCCGGGAGATGATGCTGTCCAGGTTGAGCACCTCCGCCATGGACTCTGTGTTACGTGCCGCCGCGGCAACGTTGTCCGGCTGGGTGCGCGGAACCGCTTGGGACGCCGTTGGGCCTGTTTGTGTTGGACGCACCCACTGTCTAAACCAACTAGGCACTATTGACTCTTCGGTAGAGATTCTAGCTTCCTATTGAGTAGATATGAAGGTGAGTATTCCAAGTTCCAATCTTTTGGCTCAATCTTTCTGTCAGTTTCTTCCCCGTCACTCGCCTCGGAAAACAAGAAGGGTCCTTTGGCACTGTCTTCCTCTCTCAACCGCAGTCCTTGCGGCCACCTCTTACGACTTCTGGGCTAGGTTCTCGGCGAGATTATCATGGTGGTTCGGCACCAGTGAATCCTTCCGTATAATGGATGCTCTCCAGATGAGAATGAGAACTCTATAACTGGATATCGACTATATTCCCAAATTCCTGGAGGTCGGCGGTGGAAGGCAGGTAAGGTTGGCCTGATCGGAACTCTTGGAACTTGTCGGGGAAACTGTGTGGATCTGCTATATCGGAAAGTTTGGATATATCTGCACTGCGCTTGACACTGGACTGGATTATTGAATGTCGTCGTCACTATTGCGGTGGCGTACAAATTTTGAATCAAATTTTGAATCAGGGATGCGACCTTTTTTTTTTAGAAACTAGCCGAATGAAAACGTCAGGTTGACTGTGCTAGAACTAATTTGTATCACCGGGCTTGTTTCTCCAGTAATTTGTTCTTATTATCTCTGATTGAGTGGAAGACTCGAGAGTTCTGGATCTCCCTCTTGGGTGTTTCGCGTTAATTAGCTGCAATTTGTTAGTGCGGCTTGAAAAATTGCAGTGTAAACAATGTGAAGTTGAAGGGGATGCATTGGCCCATGAGGAGTTCGGAATCAGCACCCTTGATTAGAGGTTTGGGTGCACCTTAACAAGCACTCTATAGTTCATCCCCACTATGAGAGCTTCAACGTTATTTTTCAATATTATATACCCTATCCCCACTGTCCCCAAACAAGTTGAAGTTGAAGTTGAAGCTGAAGAGGGTGCATTAGCCCAGTAAGTACCACCCTTGATTAGAGTGTTTGGGCACCTTAACGAGCCATCTATAGTTCATCCCTGTAAGAAAGGCTATTTTTCAATATTATAGACCCTATCCCCACTGTCCCCAGCATATCCTTAACCACATTCTTGGTGCCTGCACCGCAAAAACAAACAACAAACTGCAAACAGCAAACAGCAGCAGTAATGGCAATAGCAACAGCATCGTTTATTTTGGGGAAACAAAGGACCTCATTTTCCTCCATTTGTTTAACCAGAAAGGCAAAGGACAACAACAGTTCCTGAACAGGAGCAACAAAAGTTTTATAAATTGCCCGGCCATTGTTGCCGGCCACTGACGCTGTTTGTTGAAATTAATTGGTGTTACACAAATGAGTAATTTTCAATGTACATAAATATTTGCACAAATTGCAATTTACCCCGGCCCGTGCACAGAACAGTGTCCTGTACATAAATAGAGGACACAGTATATAGTATGAGTGCACCTTGCTGGAGTGCTGTTCAAATACCAATTTTTATTGTCAAGCGTTAATAATTTTAACAATGAATAATAAGAACGGTAAGCATCTGTTATTATTCCAAACAAATCAAAACAAGTGCACCCAAGAAAGCAAACCTATGGGGCGGGGCCATCACCCCCTTTTTGCCGTTCTTGAGTTCTGATCCTTGAGTCCTTGGTCCTCGCTTCCCACCCCTGAGCCCGTCGTCCTTCCTCCTCATTCTGGCCACACACAAATCTTCATAAATTGCAACTGCCGGGCGACAGTTTTGGGAATTGAGACAAAGTGCGAGGCAGCAGCTTCCGAGGCAGGACCTTCCTTCCGATGTCGAAAAGGGGTCGACAAATGGGAAAATGATACACTTCATCCACACCCCCCCACACACCCATACACAGACTCGTAAAAACCCATACACAGACACAATCAAGAAACAACAAATTGCCGCATAAATGTAGGGTGGTTTGCCACGTAATAGATTTTATTTTATTTTTATAACCGACAGACGCGCTGCCAGCGGCATTACGTGGTGAGGTCCTGCCGCGTCCTTATTTACTTTTACTTTTTACCTTTTCTACCTTTCAGCCAGGCGATCGGAAACACTGAAAAAGCAAGGTCCTTGGGGGGACTAGCAGGAACTCCCATTATATTTTTATTGGCCCAAAGGTTAAAAAATAAAGAAAAGATGTTTAAAAAATGCTTCTAAAATTATTGAAAAAAATCCCCTTTACTATAGTTTTAAAAACTCTAGACTATTATAAGGCTTTAACAGTCATAATTCTACAGAATTTAGAAATACTGTATGCTTTGCAAAGGATATAGTTTATTATATCTAAGAGTTCCATCCAGCTCCAGCTAAAAACTCTTCTAAAAGTAGTCCTAAACAGTCCAGCCCCTTCCGTTGTTGGCAATCTTGTCTAAGTGCATAACTCCTCAAAGACAAGTCATAAACTTGGCCAAGAAATAGGTACAGGTAGGACTCACTAGCACGCACAAGTGCACTAATAAGTTTCAGGGTTAACGACAGCAGCAGCAGCATATTGTTGCTGGCTCATCATGCGTGGCCCGAAAATAATGAAAGGACTCGCCCTGGTCTCTCCGTCCGTCCTGCGGCAACCACCTGCCAATGTTTCCCGCCCACACCACTCCACTCGGCCTGCTCCCCCTCTTTTTGTCTTTCTCCTGCTCCTTGATCCTTGTGCTTTAATTTTTCCCTGCTTCAATGTTGCTCGTAATTTTTTACACATTGCGGTCCCAGGCTAACGCTTCTACCGGCTGTTTTCCGGCCTTCTCTACTGGGAGACATATCAATATAACTGGGAAAGTTGCACAAGCACGCATGCACTCGGAAAAATTAGGGGCTATAACTTGGAAGGCTTGAAACTTACAGAGAACAGGATTATACTACCGTAAAATCTAAATATTATTTCAGAAAATATTTTAATATTTTTATTCATGAAATATTTCTCTAAGTGCGTCACCCTCTCCGTGTGTTTTCATGTCACGCACACGGCGGCGGTGGCGGAACAAGTGCAGCGGTGGACTCAGGTGAGGGGAGTTGAAGGACAACAGCGGGGCGGCGAGGAAAGCCAGAGAAAAGCGAAGGAAAAGCGGGGAAAGTGGCAATCACACGGCTTGCCTGCCTCGCAAGTCTGTGCAATAAAAACAACAACAAAAAGCACAACGACACGCTGCACAGACACACACAGGACACACAGTCACAGAGAGACGCACAAGGACATGCAGGACACACGGGGGATTCCTGGCCCGCCCAAGGGGCAGGGGCTGGGGGTGGTAATAGAAATTACATACAAAGTAGCAAGTAGAAACGGCGGCTCGAGGGGCGGGCGCTGCACAGGTTTCCTGTCAGGTTCCGCCTCCGTCCCCTCGTCCTTGATTTCCCCTGCACTTCCATCCAGTATTTTTGGCGGTGCGACATTAATATGTAGATGCATTAAGTACATTATCCGGGGTTACAACCTCCAGGATACGCAGCCAGCATCCCGAACTCTCCGGCGACAAAAGGCACAGTGGGCCCAGGATACAAGTCTGAATTTTTGATGAAACATTAAACACTATAAAATACGTCTTAGTCCTTGACTAAATTCTTAAAGAGTTCCTTAAGCTGCCCATGAAGTCCCAATCAAAACTCAAAACCCAATCAAAAACCATAAATAGCTAAGCCTTCTCTCCGAGTTCGTATATTTAGTTGCATAAACAATGAGTCTGAGCCCACTGTAGGCAGGGGCGTGCTGCACGAGGGGTGACTGCCAGGAGGGTGAGGGCGGGGCGAAATATTATGATTTATTTTTATTATAGCGGGTAAAGTGGTCTTTACAAGCATCAAACAGGGCCACGCCAATCGCCCACAGACGCGCCAAGTAAAAAGGCAGTTAGCTGGTTTTAGCCAAAGGATCAGGATCAGAGGGCAGGGACGTCGTGGATGGGGGAGGGGGAGGGGTAACAGTGAGGGGGTGGCAGAAGTTGTTAAATGGACGGGTGGATTTGCACTTGCCGTGCTGACTGTTATCTTCATTTTTGCTTTCAGTTATATTGCCTGGGAATTCCTTTGGGAGATGCGATGGAACAGCACTGTAACAAGACGGAGGAGGTCCTGGCCGAACCCTTGGCAGCTAAAAACAAATTGTGCGATGTGGGCACGGGCATGGGCATGGGCATGGGCATGGGCATAAAAACAAGCGGATCAAACATCGCAGGTGGATATGAGACTGAGACCGAGCCGGGGGCATATGTCCCTTCGGGGGAATGGATTCCTGCCAGGATCTGGGTGGTTTTCACAAATCGAAAAAGAGTGTTCCACGGATTTTGTTATTCTTGTTGTTCCTCGTACTCCGTAGTCCTTGTTTTGACCGTAGTTCGGGTTTAGGGTTCATTGAAATTGCATTAATGTTCCGTTTTGGCTGATAGATAACCCCCATATCCCTGCCCCGTCTCCCCGATGGCAACCCTCTTAACCTGCCAACCTGCCACCCCCTTTCGGCAAAATATTGTGTAATGGAAATCTGCGTGTATAATCCGCTGGGCGGGATAAACTAGTTACGGGCATTAATACGATCAATTTGATGCTCACTTCGCTGTAAGCGAATAAAAGTCTTATTGAAAGCCAGCCCTCTGAAAAAATAAACATATTTTCTCCCTTCGTCACAGTTGTAACTGATAATTGTAAAGTTTTTTTTTTGTGCCCGGCCAGGAGTTGAAGGAGGATGCGGATCCGGCATCTACATATGTCTCATATTATACGGAGTCTGAGGGGTGGTTTTTTTGGGTCAAGCGATGCGTTGATGTGCATTTTAAGCAGGTTAACCTGTTAACTGTCAGGGAAACCCTTTTCAGGACATTTAAGGAGGATTCAGATGGACGGAAGGGAAGGGGGATTCTATTACTTGTGCTCCCTCGGCTTTTAGTTCGAGTCCAACAATAGGTTCACCCTTGTAGACAATTGTAATCTCCCATTTGGACAATCAGTCAAGTCAAAGTCGTACTAGCTCTCCGATCAGGGCCAGAAGTAGTTTTAACCCAAAGTGCGCCATTAACAATTCACGAGCTGCAGGGAAAGTGCAATTTGGCCGGGGGGTTCGGGGGTGGCAGCCATTAAGTTGCAGCCAAGGAGCCAACTTTGGCGTTTCACCTGGCGTATGAGTGATGTCCAGGACTCGGTGTCTTCGATTGTTGTGGCCATAAAAAAAAGTAGAAAGAAAGAAAGCATGGCTAACACACACACACACACACACTGCTGTAAATAATTGATGGAGAAAAGGAAACTAAATAAATAAATAAACGAAAAAAGAAACAAGGAGCAAGGAACAAGGCACGAGGGGGAAATGGGGACAGTAAATTGTCACTGGATGACACAAAGCTTTCTGCACAAACCCAATAATATAATAAAATAAATAAAAAAAAAATGTACAGACATGTACAGCCAGACAGAGACAGACAGAGCGAGAGAGAGAGGTAGAAAAAGCATTGAACTTTCACCTAAATGGACACCAAATAAAGTTAATGCATTAATAATCATAATTTCTTCTATATTTGATGAGTTTTTGCGGCCGGCAGTCTCGTTTTTATTGTACGGTAAGGCATTAAATATGGTAACACATTTAATTATGTCAATCAATCCGGGCGATAAATGACAGCGTAATCGATAACCGGACATTTACCCTGACGACTGAAAATGGGATTTGAAATGGGATTACGGTAAAAAAAAAAAAAACCGACATGGCAGCCAGACGATAAACAAGGCGGTAATCGATAATTGGGCGATTGTTCTTGGCTTGAGATGGAAGCTTTTTAGGGGCACATCGAAATAGTACTTGTTTTAGGCCAAAAAGGTACCTGTTTTAATAGGAAAATTAACATAACGAGAATCTCTTTGGGTGATCAACCCCAATGGGAAATTGTAACGGGCCACCCTAGTTAACGGTAAGTTGTTTCTAATGTGCACAAAAGACAAATATTTACCGTTGTCGCCTGTCGCCGCCGGGCAACAAAAACAAAGAAACGCCGCCAGGACATTGTGGGCGTGGCAGTGGCAAGTGGAGAGTGGAAAGTGGAAAGTGGAGTTTCCGGCCCGCGATTGCGTGTAGAGTGGCAATGCTAAGTTAACGATATTTACAAAACAATATGCCAACCGCACATTCAAGTTTTGGACAAGGACCGGGGCCGGGAGCCGAGCCAGGACGTGGGCCAGCACGGGACAGGAAAATCAAACAGGTGCACTAAATGAATTTCAATACGATAAACCACTTGTGGTTGAACTCGAAAACTGGAACTAGAGCTTGGGTTCAAGCTGCACTCAAAGAAATGGAGGCTGTATATGGGGCTTCAAAATAATAGATATCCATCCTAACCCTATTCTTGAACTGTCTTTAAAATCCTTCAATGGTTCCTCTACAGTAGCTGGCAAGGACTCCTCTCCTCTGCATGCTCCTTATGTTTATTAACACTTGGCACAGGGCATATCCAAACATTATTATTCCCTGTGTATCCCTGCGGGCTGTGCGTGCTCAGAAAACGATTTGAGGGGAAATTGAGCCATATGTTGCAAATACTAATGGACAGGATACGTATTCCCCGAGTTCGCGGTCTCGCCGGAAATATGTAAGTGTAATTTAAATTGAATTAAGTGTGCTTGCTGTTGCTTCGGGAAAGGGGGTTGAAAAGTTGTGGAACTCGTACCGATCGGAGTCCTCGAGAAATCTGTGATAAATGCCAGCAAAGTGGCCAGTGCCAGCATCCTGCCGACAGCCAGAGGTCCCTGCCAGTAACCATTTCGGGATGAAACTGATAATGGATCTTTGCTGCTGTCGTAATTGTTACAAATGTTCCGACAACCTGACAACAAGCCTCCGAGAAACAGCGAGCACGGCAGCGAAACCCTCCCCGGGAAGGCGGGTTTTATGATGGATATGATTATTTTAATTAGCATTATATTTACTCGTGTTTACCCTTTCGAGTCTCTCCGCATAATTGCCTTTTCATATGCTCGGAAAAGGCAATGGAAACCGGAACAGGAACTGGAACACGGTAGCAGGACCAGCAATCGGCATCATAATCATAATCAGAGAGACAGCCAGGACCTGCCAGGCCCTGGGTCCTGAAAGGATTGGGGCTGCTCGGCTGCTCGTAAATTAGTTTAATTTAATGAGTTTTTGTAACGTTCTGGGGGATGAGGGGCTTCTGTCTTTCGGCATAACGATTATGACACATGTTACCAGACTTTCTGACAGCCCACCCCACCCCACCCATTACGCCCTCTGTCCTTTTCGCTTTCGCAAGGGGTTCAGGTGTCGGGATAGCCTGCAGGATGTCCTGCCAATTTTCAGGCACAATTAGCTGTTTGAATCGCCACTAATGGAGTTTTGATTTCGAGGGGCTTGCAAAAGAGTTTCTGGCCATGTTAGGCATAATTAATGTTTTGTTAAAAAAAAAAACTGAAAGCAAAGCAACCCGGCTGTTGTTCCATTTTGGAAGTGTCAGTTTCGTGTGGAACTTTCCCTCACTTCTAACCCGATCATTGTAGTAAACATATGCCTGTGTAAGGTAAAAATAGAAAAAATGAAAAAATTAAAAGTGAAAAAAAATTATTTATTTTTTTGAAAAAAAGTGAAAACTAAATAAAAATTATTTTTCTTTTCTCTCGTTGGTAGATTTCTGGATGCAAAATTAATAAAGCTTTTGGTAAACAACGAAACATGCTGCCACGTCGTGCCGGTTTCCGTGCCTGCTACTCCTGGCCGGATTTGAGTCAACACGGTCTTATAAGCCGCCACCGCGTGCCACGCCCACAGCGCCAAACTGGGGAAACTCTTGGGGAGAAGTCCTGGAATAAACCGGGGCAGCCAGCCAGGAAACACTTGTCAACCCAGTGGGTCACTCCAAAGGTGACGGTGAATAGGACATACCACTTTCCGGGGAGCAGGATGACACGGTCTATTGCATTATCGGGATCGGAGAAGCCAAAGGCTAAGGTAGCGCCCCAAGTTGAGGATCAGCATGTGGATGGACACGGCGTGGGGAAACTGACGTTGCAGCCCAAGGTGAGGGCGGCTGTGGCGCGTACGAATCTTCTCGATGGCAGACAACCTGAAACACAATGCCAGTTTCAGGAATCCTCTGACTCAGACTCAGACTCTGACCCTCAAGACGTAACAAACTATCTAGACTCTGCGGTAGACACCACAGAGACTGTAGTGGATGCGGTCCTTCTTGACGTTGTGGACACTCTTGACCTTTCAGACACCCAAGACATTACAGACTCCAACTTCGTAACTGATAATCGTGACTTTGTGGACGTTACTGTAGAAACCACAGAGCGTATAATCGCAGGGGTCCTTCTTCACGTTTTGTCCACTCTCGACCTTTCAGGCACCCACTCTCTAGACTTGACGGAGACACAAGACCCTACCAACACAGACACTGCAGCTAACTTAAACGGACTTGAGGACATCGACGAAGAATCCATGGAGCAATTGGAGAATGGGCTGAATCAATACCGCGCCAACTTCATGATTCGTCAGCTTCAATACGCTGCCATCCATCGCGAAAGTCGGGCCCTTCTCCAGGAGATAAGAGGCATCTTCCAGGGACTGGATCAACTGCGTCAGCAGGTAGACGAGCGTATGGGCAGTATCACTTGTCTTGAAAGCAGCCAAGCCGATTCTTCTGATGGATGGGAGGATCCTGCTCCCGATCAGCCGCCAAACTGATTCTATCCATCTCACTGATATGATCCCTATGTTTGCATTTTAATAAAACGTTTTTCGGTGTGCAAAAATTTAAAAGCAAGAGTTTTTTAAATTAAGAAACACGTTTAAATTATGAAAAGTAACCGAAAACTCAGATGGCGACATTCCCACATGGCTGGTAGTGGCCGAGGGTCTCAATATTTGATGTGGGACTCGGGGCGTGTGGTTGGATGGTTGGATGGTTGGGCGGGTCAGGTGACGAATTTGTCTGCGGTTAACGCAATGTGTCAAAACTCCCACTAAAGGGTTATTACTGGGGCACATTTTTAAAGCCACAACCGCTCCACTTTGATTGGCTTTTTGTTTAATTGTAATTCTAGAAGTTTGGGAATTTTGTTTTGGGAGTCCATCCCCTCCCATCCCGAAAACCATAAAAAGCCAATTTGTTAGCCATCGAATCGGAGATTTTGGCGGGGTGATTGAGTGGTTGGTGCTGCCACCTGAGTCCCGAACTCTCCCAGAGTCCTGGGACTCGAGTGTGTTTGCCGAAAATTAAGGACTGCACGCGTTGGCAATTGGGAATGGTTATGGGTTATGTGCCAGGAGGGAATCCCCGCCGGAGGACAGGACGGAGCGCTTGCTGCTACTTTGCCTACGGAGACAGTGTGTGGAAAAAAAGGACTTTGAGGGTGGGCCGCATCCAGAACCACAACCAGAACAACCACCTCGTGCAGCGCGTGGACGGGGCGCCCTTTCGTCATGCTCGATTGTGCCGAAAACAAGTGGCGACTGCAACAGCGGCAGCAGCAACACTAGCACTTGCCACACCAGCAGCAGTAATAAGAGCAACTACAACTAGCTACACTGAAAGAAAAGGGGGGGAACTATGGGGCAATATAAATAATTAGACATCTCCAAATCAATGGAATCAATGGTTGTGAGATCAGGGAGCTTATTGAGATTGTTGAAACTGACATGGCAGGTGTCTGGAGAACCAGCTAGGCCCCGGGAACTATAATATTATTCCCAGTGCTATGGCCGACAAACAGGTTGCTTGTGTAATTTGATTACAATCAACTTCTAATAGTGGAATAGAGGAACAAGCAACCACCTTGCCGCGTAATTCCGGGGCATGTGTCCCCTTTTGGGCGGATTTTTCGGACTACACCCATCGGAGTGAAGTAACGTCGAGTGGAGTTGCGAGTTCCAGGGTTCGAGTTGAAGTACAATACAATTAACGACACGAATCATGATGTGCTTACCTGGCAAACGACCGTCACGTGGCGCGTTCCCAGAAGGCTTACACGTCACAATTTTAATTTTATTAAAGAAACATTTCAAATTAACCGCACGTACATATATGTATATATGCTTGCACATGTTTCGGTATACTATATAGCTATGGACATATATATATCGGTGGGTAGACATGCGTGTGACCACCAAAAACGGAAATTGAAGTACTCCGACTGTCCCCATGCGACAATTCCCATCCTGAATCCCGAATCCTTTTTCCATTTCAATTCCGATTCCGATTCCGATTCGAGTTCCTATTCCCATTTCCCCCCCCAAAACCGGCTTTCATCAGGGAGTGACTTTCATAATTTCCAGCATTCTAGACTGGGTCTAATATGAAGAGGGCGGGGTGTGGGCGGAGGTGGGGGTAGTGATGAGAGACCAACTTCCGGTCTGGTTTCAGGCCCGATTATACAAGGTCCTGGCTCTGAGCTAATCGAAAACTGAACGACGGGGCTGGCTAATGCCCGAGATTATCCTGGGATTACTGGACTGAGTACTGGAGCACTGGGGTATTCTATGTTAAAAGTTTATTTTTAAAAACTATTCGGAGATGGGAATTATAGTGAAGAACTTGGAAAGGTCCTTTAAACAACAGCTTTATAAATAGATCTATAAAGTATTGTTAGATTCTCCCTGCTCTTTTGGGGGTCAAAGGGTTATATCTAGAATCTTTTGAATTAACTCACCTGGAGGGGACGTTGCGGGGGCCCACTCATTGTGTGGTGGTGGTACATGACGTCGTGCTTGATCTGGGAGGGCATTTGGCTATGTACATGCTGGGCTTGGTGCTTCTGGATGTCGACGGCTGCCAGGGCTTCCGCTCTGCTCAGGATCCCATCGTTGATGCCCGCAAAGATATCACCCTGAAGTGTAGAAAGGACATGGTTTAGAGGCATAGGACATAGGACATGGATGCGGAGGCTGGTCCGTCGGCAAGAACACAATCGAAACAATATTGAGAACAACAACAAATCACCCAAATCCAATTGGAATTTTCGATTTAAACAAAGAGTTCGATACATAGATATATAGGTATCTATATATGTATATATATATATATATATATATTGTATACTGTATATGGTCGGTGTCAGAGTCGGCGGTTCCAAATCAGAGAATGCGAGAGATCATAAAGGAATTTTGGGAAAGGAAAATCAATCAAGTCAAGAGAAATCGAATTATTTGTTTACAAGTACATGTATTATATATATTTTTAGTGTGGGATACATAACGTATTGGTTGATGTTGGATGTTTTATTTGGTTTTTGGTGGAATTAACTTACATTCTGACGTGCTGACCACGAATTGCATAATAGGGAAGCATCTTCTAATAAACGACTCTGAAAAGACGGAACAAACATCGATAGTATTGTGTATAGAAATGATTGCCAGTACAGGACACAGGGTTAAGCTATATCCTTAAAGTGTTTCAGTTCCATCTGGCTTTAACCAGGCTCCTTGCTTATTGATTTTTCCTCTACCCCATTTTCCCGTCGCTCCCTCCCCCGCCCCAGCGTCTTGTTAGCTGGTTTTTTTTTTTTAAATAAATAATATCAAAAGTTTTTCGGCACAGGACATCGTCTTGCTCGTCGTCCTCGTCTTTATTATTCCAGTCTTATCGATTTTATACAAATACATACATACATCTGTGTATATTCATATATATTTGTATATGTGTGTTTTTGAGAGGAAAACTCCTCGTACACGAAACTCGCACGAATTTTTCAGTTAATCAATTATTTAGATGCGCACAAAACTTCAAAACGCCGCACAAGGAAAACGAAAGAGCTGGAGACAGGAGCCGGGAGCTGGTAGCTGGGAGCTGGGTGGCAGGAGGAGAGCAACCCACATGGCATCACTCACGTTTCGAAAGGCGTAATTCGAAGGCCTGACAGAGTCGATCCCCCCGTCCCCCATGGCTGGCAGCTTGCCGTCTCGCTTCCACACTGGGGAGAACCGCAAACAGCGGCAATGGCGGGCATTGTAGAAATCAAAATGTTGTGCATTCCTAATGAACGTCTTGGCCATGTCGCTTAAAATTGCTACAAAATTGTGGGTGTGCGACACACTCAAGGGGGCGTGGCAGATGGAGGGCGTCGTGCAAATAATCCAACAACAGGAACAACGGTTTTGTTTGCACTTGCAAGTGGAACTCGGTAACGGGAACCGGCCGGAAGCAGGAGTGTATGGCGAGCGAGAAGGGAGACTGTCCGTTTAATGGCCGCGTTTATGCGTGCTCCCGTTTCACGAACAGCGCAAATGATAGGTTTCAGCGGTGGCTCCAACAAATAATAAAAGTATAGAGGAAAAGGATAATTACATTTTAAATGGGTAAACTAAAGGAATCCAACAAACGATCCAGAGCACAAGGACCTATAACAAATGAGCTTTGAAATTGTTTTGGAGAAACAGGTCCGAGGATTGGCAACAGTTTGTCGGCCAGCGAGGTGAGCCATAAATTTTGCACCGCAACACGGCAGTAAATTAATTTATGAATTAATATGCGCAGTCATTCATCAAATTATGCAACATCTGGCCGTCTCGCTCTGGCCACGACCTAGGGCATTTGCAGGTGGGGATCCTTGTCGGTTGGCGGAGGAAGCGGAAGGCGGCCATTCGAGCTTAACTCTGTCTTGACCTGCTCACACACACACACACACACACACACACAGGGAGGGCGCTCTGCAGGTTGACACTTGCACATAAATTCTTTATTAGTGTGAAAAATTAATCAAGTGAACTGTTATTTTTTCCTTTCTCACTCCTCTCTCGCTCTATCTCTGTCTCTGTCTCTGTCTGTGTGTCTCGCACTTGTTTGTTTGTTTATTTATTTTTGTGTTATTTTATTTTACTCTCCACGTGAGTTTTGACACCACAGTGTGTGTGTGTCCGTGTGTCTTGTATTTGTTTTTTGTTTATTTTTTGCGGAATATAATATTTATGATGTGAGATACATAGATACGCATTGCTGCATGCTTAATTTTATCGATTTGGCCCGCCAAACAAACTTTTAAATACTAAAGCACTGCTGCAAGCCCGATTAAATTCAGATCAATGGACAGACTTTAAAGTCTGATTTAGGGAAGCTTCTTTAATAAGTTGAAAGATTTAGTTTTGGGTTCTAAGGATTTGTAGCTTAAACTTAGGACACAAAATGTGTCCTTTTGAAACTACAAGATACCCGATATTCACGCCATGCTTGACAAGAAGCCTATCTTCATTGTAAAATTTTCGTAGCATACTTTTTCGGGCATATTGGGGACCGGCTTTTGATGACCAGCGGCTTTCATTTGTAAATAGACAAATACTTAGTAAAGTAAGTAAATGGCTTACTTACAATCCCCAATTGATCGAAACATAACTCTTTGAATAGTTTTTCTCACGTAATCCTCCATAGACCCAAATATGGAGATGCTAATCCCCCTCTGAGTAATAAACTCTTTCAATAAATTCCCATCAATTGTTTTCACTTCAATTTCGAATAAATTTGTCGCAGTCATTTAATGCAGTTTATGAATATTTAAATCAAATTAACGCCGCCGCTGTCCATTTAACGCAACTGGTAAACAATTCAAGGACCTTCCCGTGCTTCACTCCCCGCTAATCGAGAATCTCACCCCCAAGGAGTTGGTGTCTCCTGGTTTTTGGTTTCCCAGTTTCCCGGATCGGCGACAAATTTCCATTTAATGGACTGCAAGGCGTTAAGTGTTTTTTTTTTCTAACCAGCTAAAAAGCGCCTCACCCGTCGCGTACGTCCTTTCCACCCCTCGTCCTCGCCTTCGCCGTAGCAAGTCCGCTTTTTAAGACCTCGAATGCCCAGTCAAGGGTAGCACATAAATCCTATAAATCCGGCGCTTTGATCATTCGTCCTGGTCCGGTGGCAGGATGCGAAAAGCCGAAAAGTGGCTAACTTGAGGGGGGATGGGGGTGCCACTCCAGATAAATCCGATAAGCAAATGTAGTTGTTCTCCCCTTAAAGAGGACTATGGTACACTTGAAGTGATTTCTTTTTTCTGTTGTTTAAAGTGCCTTTCTGTCAGATTAATTTGAGCCCTTTCGGGGAAAACTCGGGGATGAAAAGCCCGCCACCCCCTTCCCTCCCTCGAGTTTTCACCTGTTCAGGCAATCACCTTTTTTTTCTGCGCTTCCTGGACATTTTTTCCATTTTCCGAGTCCTTTTTTTATGCACATTTTATGCCCTAGCTGAAGGGTAGAAAAAGGACGAGCTAATTTTCGAAAACTTTGCATTCATAAATTGTGCCAGCATTTGCTTTTTATGGCAGTTTTATTTTTATTTCAATTATTTTATTTTAAAGAACCGATACCTTTAGTTCTTTGACGTTTTAGTATTTTTAGCCAGCTCAGAGGTCAAAGGTCAGTAGTGCAAACAAATAATTGCTGAATAATTAATTCAAATGAAATGAATTTCAAATTAAACTTTCCAAGGTTATCTGGATTGTTTATCAGAATGATTTACTTATTTATTTAGTGAGCACAAGTAGGACCCATATATCTGTATAACTTTGAGGACATTTTCCCATAATTAAGACTAATGAACAAAAAGAAGCAGAAACTTCCGAAAGAATGAGTTTCCGCTTCGCTCTACATCGTCATTTCCGCTTCCTGTTGTTGTTTGCAATTTTTGTGGATTTTTTTCCACCAACAGACTGGCATCAATAAACCTGTCTGAGAACTGTCAGTAATAACCATTTAATGTCTGGCCGTGTTCCCATTAAATTTTTAACTCAGAGCTCATAAAAGATTCAGAGGGACTGGCAAACTCCGAGACGCCTGCCAAATACTCCGAATTATTCGTTATTAATGCATTCAGGCAGGAAAAACACGGTTCCCCGAGCTCCAGGTACACACGGGTCGGGGCTTTTCCATCGCTTTTCCATAACTGGGTTTCCATTGAGCAAAGGAATGCAGGATCCAGAATACAGTGTTCACAGTGAATGAAAGGAGGGCTCGAGTTGCGGGTCAAAGGGCTTATTTGTGCAGCGACTTTCCCTATTTTCATTGTGGTTTTCCATACCAAAGTAGGACTGTGAATGCCTGTGACTTTACTAACCAAGAAAATCGGTTTTATTTAGAGTAGAAAATGGAACATATAAGGAGCGCTTCTAACAGGAAACCCATATGACTTTTATGCGTTGATTGAGACTTTTTAAATCATATATATATTCCAATTCTGTTTGTAGAAGCTGTCTATCCAATCGATTTCAAGCTTAATTTGTTTTTTAGGGAATATATCATAGTGTTTAGGTCTTTGAAACTAAAACCACTCTTAGGGACAAGATACAAGCATGTATTTAAATAAAACACCTATAATTTTAAACATTTTAACTGGCAGTAGCTACAATTAAAGCAACCTTCATTAAAATGAAAGAAAGGATCGCATAAGAGCTTCAGAAACCCTTATGACGCCATTCTTCATAGAAAGACGACGCGTCGTCTTCTGGATTCTAGCTGATGCCAATTGCATTAAATGCATATAGTATATAGATCAATATTGTGTTATATAGAATTTGATGTATAGTATAGTTCAGTGATATTGCTTTATACGTGTGATGTTTTTCTTGGTTTAACTTTAATGTCCTGAGCTTCATGAACATATACCAGTTATGGCAATATAGAAATTATAGACGGTTAGCAAATCTTGAGGTCCTTAGCTTTAAAACTGAGAGACACTAGGGAACTCTAGGAACAGACAGACATGCCGACGGACAAACATTTAAGGATGTGTCAACTTGGACCGAAGTGCTGAAGAGAAATATCCACTATTTCCACTCGAAGATGTCCCCTTGGCATACACGATCTCCCAATGCGTTACTTGATTCTCCCACCAGGGTCAGTGATTAATCCTGGATATACTTACAGATGGATTTGGCATGCAGCGCCGCATCTGCTCCGAACTTCGATAGGAGGGACTGTAGCGTCCTGGAAAACAACTGGGCGCTGACATTTTCATTTTATCCGTCGTCGAGTACATCGACATTGTCATGCAGCCGCCGACGAAGTCCTCCTCCAGCTTGAACGCCCTGGAGGCGTCGAAAGTGGTTGGCGAGTAAATTTTGAAGCACTTACTGGGACAGGCTTAGCGCGTGTCCTGCATGCAGGACATCAACAAATATGAAATGCACTTGGTTTCTACTCTCCACGCCCCGCGATCTCTCGCCCGTTGATTTTTGTTTCGGGCCTTTCTTCTTTTCACTTATTCACTTATTTTCAGCCTTTATCCTTTTTTACTTTCTTCGGAATTTGTTGGGTAATGAGTTATTTGAATTATGGATTTTATTTATTTGTAATTGACTTGGTCGTGTATGTGTGGGGACGCGTTGCGAGAAACTGAGAAAAAAAGCACAGTAAAAAAATGTTGCCTACTTATATGCGTTCCACACTTCTTTGGCTTAGCCGTCGCCTTCGCCGTTTCCGTTTCCGATTTTGTGAATTTCCGGCGGTTATTGAAAATATCACGCACTCGGAACCGTATTCCTTCTTTTTGTTTTTTAAGGATTTGGCGTCGGCTTTACTCTTTTTGGCCAAAAAGCTGAGGGCCAAGCAAGATACTTTGAAATACTTCTTGAAAATATTTAGGAATTTGGAAAATAAAACACTATTCTGTTTTTGATTGATCGTCGCTTGGCTCTCAGCTGATCAGCTGCAGGATCTCTATATTCAGATATCAGTAGGCTTTAATCCAAAATTTTGTACCGCTCCGTACCGCTACCGCTCTACCGCTCCGACTATCGCTCGCCTCTCGTATCCGTATTCTGCGTGAACGTAACCGTAACTCGATGTCTGGGTTATTCCCGATATCTCCGATATTCTCTGGCGATATTATGGCGACTCCCCACGATATGCCCGGTGCATTCAACTATTGTCGAAACTAAACGCGAAAGCGAACAGATTTCACAACTAGACAAGCGCGCGTGGTGTTGTGATAAAGAATTCTATGATGAGTTTCGCTAACTTCAGAGTTTATTTTCAATGGGGCGGACGACATGTTTTCATTATTTATCAGCGGGGGCGTGGCCATGTCCCCTGGCCGGGCCCTGGCCCGGGTCCAAAATGGCAGCCGCATTCCTTATATAATCGCGTGTACCGTTATCCGATTGGCTGCCCCTTGCCAGCCGGCAGCGCAGTCGGCGTCTTCGTTCAGCTGGAATTGGGCAGCGGGCGATTGTGTCTCTACCTGGCAGAGTCCTTCCAAACTTGACGAAGCCAATGCCAGGCGGGCGGCATCCGTACGGCGCCTGCGCAGGATGTGCTGTGCTTCTCTGCTGTCCGCTCGCCCGGGAGGCAGGACGATGGCTTTCAAGCCACCCCGCTTATCCTGCTCTCTCTTCCTGGAAACGTAGCCGGAGCATCGCAATGCCCTGCGTCCGGCATATGGCACAATTTTTTTATTTCTACCTTAACATTTTTTGTTGTTTCAGTTTCAGAATATGTGGGGAAAGGAGAGCCAGGGGTGCGGGCATGGACCTGAGTGGCAGGACGCGAAAAGGAGTCTTAACAAAAGGCACAAAACGCCAACGCGGCCAAAAACAATGCCAAAACAAAACTGGGCGTACATGTCCGGCGGAGTGGAGGGGCGGGAGTCCGGGTGGTGGGAGTGGCATCCGTACTAGGGGCAGAGGGGTCTGTCGGGTGGCGACTCCGGGTCAGTTGAATATTTTTGGGGAAATGGTCGAGGATGAGGCCTAGTTGTTGCAGTCCTGCTGTTAAAAGCATGCAGCATTGCAAATCTCTTAAAGGGTGTTCCCATCCGACCATCCAACCGTAGAGGGTGATTCTTTAAGGAAATAACTTTAAAAATAAGAAAAAAAGGATTAAAATTAAGGTGAGCATTATTTCAAACGCGACGCTATTCTCTCCAAAAATACTCGCTTATTTAAGAGGGGTTTTGTCACCAATCCGTTGAACTGATTGTTTTGGATAAAATCCTTATATTTCCCCACAAAGAAACATAGTATCGGTTTTTTAAGGATTTTAAAACCTATGTCTGCGGGGGACCTACAAAAATTCCATTTTAAAACCAATCGTTTTCAAAAAATTTTCAAAATCAGATGACTGGCGCCATCTACATGTCGTTTGTTAAAAAGGACACGTTTGAAAGCTCCAAAACTTGCACCGAAAAGCATTCCAGGATCTTGCGCCATCTGAAAGCTAAAAGTACATAACTTAAAGCTTATTTCCTTGAAGCTTATGTCCTTAAAGCTCGCTTCCTGTTTCCACACCAACACTCCAATAAAAACACATTAAATTTTAGTTTTTAAATCCATTTCATTGTTTTTCCTTCGATTTTATAGTTTCTTGTTTGTATTTTGTTTGGTGTAAGTGTTTGTGTGTGTTTTATTTGTACAATTATCTAATCTTTGTCATTCATTGTTAATATTTCACAAGCAATTGTTGTAGAATCGTGTATAAAACTTTTTACAAGGATAATCTAATAGGGTAGCTCAATGGGAATGACCAATGAAAGTAGCGAATTTTGAGCTGACAGTTTAATATTCGGTTTCGAGTTGAGTTTCGAGTTTCGAGTTTTTGAGTATTTCAGTTTCGCTTTGTGTGGTTTTTTGAAGGGTGAGCGATGAAGCACAACATGGCCAATAATGAATTTCATAAATTCGTTCAGGAATCATAATACCTTGTTGCAAACGCAAGCGATCGTTACCTAATCATTAATATAATATTTATGTATATAGCCTACCAAAACAATGTGTGTGTATATATATTGTATGTCAATATCAACCTAAGGATACGTCCTAAATTTACTTTTATCAAAAACAGAACAAGGATAATTAGCTAATGTGGCAAGCGAACATCAAAGGATTGGAAAAGATGCGCAATGACTTTTCGGGGGGATTGCCGGACTGCCAGGTTCCAGGATCGGATCCTGTCCGGTTTGAGATCTATGGTCCTACTCGATCGTGTTGGGGGTTGAGGCTAGCTTGAGTCCTGTGCTGCTGCAATTCCGATTGCTTTGTGCCTTGTGTTTGCGCGAGTTGGTGGTCCGGGTGCTTGAATGTTCAGTATCCTGCCTCTCCGTTGCACTATTCTTGGTCCTGCCGCCCCAGCAGGCCGTAGACGATACGCCGACGAGCCTGCACCTCGGCCCGCATCGCCTCCGTGTAGGGATCAAAGGAGAGCAGCCGCTTTTTACGTCGGAAGATACCTTCCTTCCGCATGATGGCGCACCGCATCAGCTGCTCGTCGACTGGGAACTGCAGAAACTCCAGGATAGAGCGTAGTTCCCGCTCGGTGTGGTGGACCAGGTCGTCGTAGAACACAACCTTGATGCTGCCGGTGAAGTTGCGGGCCCAGCTGAGGTTCATCAGCTCCCAGCCCTTGAGCTTATTGCTCACGAATTGCTGCCAATCTGTAGGTCAGAAGGTAAGGTTAGTGTCAGTAGATCGAAGCCAGTTATGACCTACATTTTCCCTTAGTCCTTTTGTAGCGGTCCGGCGAGGCGAAGCCTATGTGGCCGCCACTCTGGCGGTTGAACTCCGCTATGATTGCCTTCTCCGGGTCCCGGACCAGGAGTATTGCTTTCGAGAAGGGCTGCCACGCCTTGCTGCCCCATTCGTGGGTCTTCACCAATAATACTGAGCTGTTGCACACGTTCTCCGCCGGGAAGCCGGTCTTCAGCAGGCCGTAGTCCTTATATATGCTGCCCGTCAGGATCCCCGTCGCCTGTTGGAGCAAGTACCTCAGCCAGGTGTTCCCGCTGCCCGGAAAACTGGCCAGGGCGGTCAAAGCCGGCAGGGATTGAAGGGCGGCACTAAGGTCGCTGCTGGGCAGAGCGGCTAAAAAAAAGGAATGTTTAACTCGAGATATCCTTGAAATAGATGGGTATAACTCACTGAAAAAATCGGCCCTGTAGTCCGTGTAATTTGGAAGATCTCGATTTATATATTTGAGGTCACGACACCAGCGTATCGTCATTTTTCGGCTGGGCATCGGAAAACGCGGGCTATGAAAGCTGGGAAACTGTCCAAGGATCATATTATTCCATATTTCAGAGAAGAACTGGGGTACTTACCTCGGCAAAGCGCTCGATCCTTGGCCTCTTGGGATGCGATCCGGGTATGTTGTTCATGGACAGGAACAGGACGCCGCCTATGTAGATGATGATGGTTGCCGAGACACCGAAAAAGCGCCAGCCTTGCAGTGCCATAACGCCGTCTTTGCATTACTGAAACGCACGTTTAACCACATCGAAATTGGATTATTCTTTGGCAACCACTAGGCACTAAGTATCATGCATTAAAATTAATTCAAATGACGATGTTTGCCTTAATGAAGCCAATTATTTGTAGTCTGTGTCTGCGAGGGAATCAATTTCGGTTTTTTGTTGATTTTGTTATGACAACACAACAAATGGCCAAAACGAGCAACCTTGTCTCTCGTTTCCCGTTTATCATCCTATCTCTGTCTAACTTTGTTTACGGCAAACCCACACCCTGAATCCTCCCTGGCTCCTTCAAAAAATGTGAAAATTTAGGCAAGCTCTTGGCTAAAAGAATTTATTCCCTCCCAACAAAGGCGGTCGATTGGTAAACAGTGTATGGCTTATTACTTTTAATTTCCATATCCTTGCCAAGGATTCCTTGCAGAGGCTATTGACCATTTTATTCTGGGGTGTGCCTTGAGCTTTTACAGTATTCCTGGTCAGAATCCGTCACTCTAGTTTTTCTGACACAATGTAAACACATATAGGACCCTGAATATATAAGATATCCCTTTCTGGAATCTGTTGATAAATGGTTGGGGAATATTTAAACTTATTCGATCTGCATTAAAATGTCTTAGTAAATATCAAGCAAAAAGATATTGTCTATTTTTTGGCACCGATCCTAATGTACTAATTGAAAAATTATAAAGTCTATTGTGAAATGGTGGAAATATGGTTGGGAAAGTGTCGATATTTTGACGGTCATAATTTTGATATGCTCTTTTTTTGTTCTTGAGAATGTCTTAATAAAGGATAATAAACAGTAAATGCCTCTTAAAAGGACATGAAAGTGGCTTAAAAAGGACAAGAGAAGAAAAGCCCTGTCATGCCTTCAACAAAAGTTCCTTGAGCTGCATAAAACGCTAACGAAAGCCGCAAAATTTTATCCGACACCCCTTCATACATACACCAGCAACACACACACATGTGTGTGTATCCTGTGCATGTACAGAGGTGTGTCCTTACACACATGTGCCGGAGACAAGCGGCTAAATGCGAAAATTTATGCAACAGCTGGGCAACGGGGCGGGGGAGAGGGCGCGGATTTGGGGGTCTCGGGACCCTAAAGGGTCTTCGTCCTTGGCCTGAGAGATCCTTGAGCTGCCGATAAACTTCGGCAGGCAAAAACCTCAGCGGATTCCAGCGGAAAATCCGTTAGATGATGATATAAGATATCGGTAAGTGTCCTTCCCGCCATCCTGCCCTCTCCTCAGAGCCCCACCCCAGCGCCGGCTTATCCAGGAACTCTTCGAGCCACCCAAGCCACCGTGGTGGTGCGGTGGGGCTCATGGTGGTGGCCCAAAAACTAGTTCAACGCTGAAACAAGACGCAAACAAAAACCAAGCCAAAAGCAAAAAATTGGAATAAAAATAAAGAAAACTGAAGCTACACTTGAAGAAATTTATTGACGTTTTATACATTAGTAGGAGATTATATACAAATAAAGACTTTAGAATATCATTTTAAATAGCTAATTTATGAATGTAATTTGTATGTTTATTATAAGACTTAAAATGAAACATTTTCTAAGTAAGTCCATGTTTTTCTTTCGGTGTATTCCCAGGCGAATATATAATGAAATAGCGAGGCAGCCGCAGAAGGGAAATAGAGAAATACCATAAAAAATGGGCACCCCAAAGGGGTTGTCTGTGGGATGGGGGAGGGGAGCTACCAGAAGGGGGCGAGGGTCTCCATAAAGCAAGCAATAATTTGATTGTTTTGCGGCATAAATCAGACAAAGGCCATGGATAACCGTTGGATAAATGGTTGCATAGTTGAATGGCACATGTTAGAAGGTGGAACGACCGAACCCAGCCCAAGGGGTTTACATAATGATTGCCCCGGGGGTAACCAGGGCATTCCCCCCTTAATTGAATCCCCTTGCCACCCTCGGTCATTTATAAATATGCAATTTTTCAAGCTTTCCCTCAATAGTCGGTGCAAAATTCATCTCGGGGTGGGGGCTGGGGAAAAAAAAACTATAAACAAAAGAGCCCTGAACAAATATCTTTGATGCTACACGCTACTTGCCACATGCCACACGCCCCTCCCCGTTAGCCCACTTTTCAGCATTTTCTCGCTTTTCCACGCACAGACACAGAAAACAGACTGGCATTTCTCAGAGATGTAAACAAATACATTTTTGGTCTGTTCTGGTTTTGATTGTTTTAGTTTTGTTTAGAATACTTACCGAAACCGATTCCGATTCCGTATCCACACACACACACACACGCGCACACAAAACAAACACACACACACACAACACGCCCAAAAATTTTTTGGGGGGTCCTGCAGAATTGTGCTACATGTCACACATTATTCGCAAATAACTGGGAGTTATCTGATGAATGAACGGGGGGGAATCAGTGTTCCCATTTAAAGTTTCGTATTATAAATACACAATAAAACCCGAAACGTACAAAAAAAAATTACATAAAAAACTGTGTGTTCGAGATAAGCAGCAGCAATAGCAACAGCAACAGCAACAACAAACGGCAACAGCAACGACAGCCGCAGCAGCAGCAACAAAACAAATGCCAAACTATTTATTTTTTTTGTCGGCCGTGTGTGTTCCACACGTCGTATGCGCAATGTTGGGGCGCAGCCGTTGCCGCGGACTGAACTGAATCCAACCGAATCGAAATCGAATCGCACCAAAACCGAACTGAACCGTTCCGTCCTCCGACGTATCCGAGAATTTCTGCTAAACAGCAGCAACAGCAACAGCAGAAGCAGCAGCAGCAGCAGCACGGTAGTACGGCAGCAGAAAAGCAAAGCAAAGGCAGAGCGCCAGCAGGGGAAAAACAGCATCAGCGCTGGGGGATGATACAGAGCTTTTCCAAGTGGCGTTGCCACCATGTTGGGATTCCTTATCACCCTCGTCCGTTTTTTAGTTTATATTCCTATCAGCTGGGCTGGGAATTTCGTGCATTTCGGATTTTCTGCGCAGGTCCCAACAATTAGAAAGCTGCATGATACGCTCGACAGGTAGCGCTGCTGATGCGAAAGGCTTTTGGTAGAACGTTTTTTAGGACTCATATCTGGAAATCATAAACTAATGTAGTTGAGATCAAAAGATAATACATACAAAATAACGTACAACTAGTCGTATACGTGATATTTGAAATGCTTTTTATGATCATAACTCGACTAATAGTTGTCTGATCTAGGAATGTTTTACCTTTTCGATTTCAGTACTTTAAGTACTTGCATTCTGCATCAAAAACTGGCAAACTAAAATTTTATCGATTTTTTCAAAATTTTCCTAGGGGTATCATAAAAATTTCATAAAAATTCATCGAAAATCGTAAAAAAAATTGTTCCTCATATTTTAATGCAGATTTAGGGGGATTTTCGCTACAATATCATCAGTATATCCCCTATGTAGATCGCTTGGAAATTACCAAAGATATGGGCTTAGACAGGCATTACCCGATCCGGGAACTCAAGTAAAATACTCATTTCTTCTTTTATTCAATTAAGTTTATTTGCTTCGTTTTGTTTTGTTAGTTTTATCAAACTCATATTTCACCTTGGTTGCTCAGGGGCTTGCTTCACTTGCATCGGTTTGTCAGGGCTTACTAAGTGATCAGATATCGATTTGGGTTCGAAATTCGAATCTAGGTTCGTATTCTTGTTTGGAGGATATTGTTCAGCTGAAACATCATACCTTGGGGCGAGAAAAAGTTGATATGACAGGGGGACTTTGGCACAAACACTAGAAACAAATTTGCAACCGGAGGGAAGCTCTCATACTTCCATCTTTCACATTTTTTTTGTTGTCTTATTTCATTTTTTATTTGCGGTTCTTTAACATGTGCTAATTTCCTTGTTTTTCTTTTTATTTTTTTTTTGTTGGTTTTTCCTTTGAAGTTTTTAGTTTTTAAATTATCTTTGCATATAATGTCACTATAAGTACATGTTCTTGTTTAGTATCGGTCAACATTGCGAAATTAGCAATTAGGAGAAAAAAAAATTCATTTATATATGTATTTATACAATTACATAGGAATTACTCTAGACTCGTGGGACTCTTTATGCGCTAAGTACCTTAAACTAATGTACAAAAATATCCGTAACTTAAGACGAGCAATCAAAAGATGTAAATTCAAAATTCAAAGTTCAAATCAACAACGACAACAATTCGCGGTATTGAATGCAATCTATGGCATCATAATATAGTACAATACATTATAATATAGGTTGTAATCGGTTAGGGGTCTTGGATTCGGTCTGGTCTCCCTTGTTCTTTGTTTTGTCATATATTTTCCACCTAAAAACAATCCATTTTAAAATTATCCATATACATAATTGACTCACAGAGTTTCGTTGGCTGACAACAATTGAACTGAGAGTGAAAATCATTTGTCAATTTCTACTAAAGATTGGATTGGATTTGCCTGGGGAGTTCTTCGGTTTTGGTTTTGGATTATTACTTCCTGGTAGATTAGTTCCATTTTTTATTCATTATTATTTGCTAAGTTCTCCTCGTGTGTCTACATATCTTTTGTTTTTCGTTTATATATATAAAAAAGAGACAAAAAAACATTTTGTGGTCCCTGGCGTATGTAATTCAATTCAAAAGGTCTTCATTTGCATTCTCGGCATTGAACATTAACGAAAACCCAATAAGTATTCAAATCAAAAACTTACAGAGTGAGCTTCTTGGTTTCTCAATATGTTTCGTCACTCGGCTAACTTGAATTACATAAGTTTGTGCTTAGTAATTATGTTTTGTTTGGACTGCTTAGCTGGCTGTGAATATTTTCCATTGTGTGTAATTGAATTTTGGTTTTTAGTGGTCTGGGTCGGGGTTGGTCTAATTCTTCTATTTTTCTTCATCAAAAATAAAATTTTTTGGGTCAGTGGCTAAGCTTATAGCAGAAATGCGTAATCGATCCTATGAGATTAGACACTGAAAACAGGGGTACATACAGCACACATAGTATCTGGATAGCTGGTGTCCATGGTGTGATCGTGAGGGCTTAGTGCGCTAGCTATGGGTACAGTAAAGCCTAGGCCAGAGCGACAGTAAGTATGTTCTCTATTCGAAACTACCAAAAACTCTAGAGGGCTGTGTCGGCTACGGTCTATAATTCTGCTGATTAGCGTGTGGTTAGTGGTAAGTGGTTAGTGGTTAGTGAGTGTTTTGCAGTTTAGTTAGATATTCAAAAAAGGGAATTACAAACCAAAATTTCGACTTCGTTTTTAGGCGCTTTAAGCTAACTCTGACTCTGACTTTGACTTTGAAATTGATCTTGAACAGCACTAAGCTACTTAGGTGCTAGAGATAGTTTTTCGTTTAGTTAGTTGGGGTTAGATTTAGTTAATTAGCTATACTTTTTAGTTGGGACAGTGGGGGCAAGCTTGAAATTAGTCGAATGAATAGGAGGCTTAGGGTCGGGGCTCGAGGATCAGGGATCTAGTCTAGGTTTCGACTAATGCTTAGATAGGCTTAACAGCTCAAACTAAGGGCCTTCAACAAGTAAATCGCTAATCTATATGCATATTTTAGGCTCTCTATATACACACATATATGTGCTGAACTATATATATGCGTATATAGACGATTGTGTCTCATGTGTGTTTGTTTGAAATGGAAAACTCGTGAAACATTTGTCCGAATCGATTAGTATTTAAAACATTTCCTTAATAGTTCTCTATATAAGTTATTAAAGCTTTCGGTTTTCATTACTCTAGTTCATATATAGATATATATATGTATATATAACTATGTATATATTTCTGTATACATATATATATGTATAATGCATATACGTACTTAAAATATATATGTATATATATAGTCTCTAACAATAAGAGGTATATACATCTGCAGAGAGAGCCACGCCCTTGAGTGTCCACAAAAGCAAAAGGATACAAATAGCAGGACAATGAAAAGGATATAGGAAGAGGTAGGAATCTATATAGACTTGCAGTTTCATTTACACAGATTTATAAAAAATGAACAAACATGCGCATCCTTGGCATGGACGTTTCTCAGGACGGTTTAATGTGGGAATCATCTTTTCTTTCATTTTTTTTTTGGCACAAACACACTCTGACACTCTTACACACACATACTGTCACAGACACACACACCAACAATAATGCAAATTTTGTATAAAGAAAGAGGGAAAGTAAACGGAAGAAGGTAAAGAATTTAAAATGGAGTCCTGTCTGGGGTGCTAGCCCTCTCTGGCTATTTGTATCTGTGTTCTTGCTTTCTCTGTTAGTAGTAGTTGTGGCCTTTAATTATACTTCTTCATATATATATATGAATATATATCTGGGTTGGATTCATTTCATATATGCCATGTATATATGTATGTATATATAGATCGGGTTGCTTCTGCTGGGGCTAAACATATATAGAATATAGATCTATATGTCCTCACATTTCACTTAGTGTTGTATATCTCGATATACTTGCTTGTACCATGGTAACCTTGTAATACTGCCGAATTTCATTGCTCATGGACTGGATCGGGGACTGGCTCTGGGTCTGGGTCTGCAGGAGATTGGGTCGTGATTGGGACTGGAACTGGGACTGGGCTTGGTTTCACAGTTTTTGGTCGCTATTATAGTTCTCAAAGCTTGTCTTTATCACGGTCGATGCTCATTGCTTTAAAGATGCCCCTCCCGATGCCGTAGCGCAGGTTGAACTGATCCAAGCTGGAGGCCCGGGGTCTCTGGCTGCCGCTCTGGTGGCCCGCCGACGTAGAGCTACCAGCTCCAGGTGTGAGAGCGGATGCTATGCTGCCCGGATCCATCGGTATGCTGCCCGACCTGGCCATCTGGTCCTCCATGTCCGTTTCGCTGAACTCTGTCTCCGTGTCGCTGAACTTCCGCCGCCGCCGCAGGAAGGTGCTACAGTGCCGCAGCTCGCCAAGATTGTCGGAAAGGGAGTGTCCACGCTTTCGCTCCTGGCGCTCCATCTCGGCGGCCAGCATCTGCACCTCCCAGTCGTTGTGGCGTCCCGAGGTGGTGCTCGGTGCCTCCGTTCTGTCCGCCGCGTCCGCATCGCGATCGGCGTCTTCCTCCTCCTCTTCGTCGTCCTCCTCTTCGGCTATGTTCAGCTTGCTGGATTCAGAACTGGAGCTAGAACTCTCGCCAATGTCCAGGATCACGCTGTCCGAGAGCCTTGTAAGATTTCCGGTCACATCCGATATCATCATCCCGCTGCCACTTCCGCTTCCTCCTCCGCTCCGTTCCACCCCAAAGCTGTCGCCTCCTGCACTCCAGTCACGGCTCCTCCGCCCGTTTCCGTAGCCTGTGTAGAAACTGGGGTGGCTCTGGGCATGCCGGGAACTGAGGGAGCCGGGTCCGGGTCCATAGTAGCTGCTCGGGCAGTTCAAAGCATTGGCAGAGGCTGCATGATGGCGACTGGGCCCCGGACCCGGCGAAATGCTTCGTCGGCCCCCTTGGATGGGGGGCGAGGAGGTGAAAACAGTGTCCAATGAGTCTCCACGCTGGAAATGATAGTATTTTGAATTAAGAGACTCTAAAAATCTGACTAGAATTTACCATGAAGAGCAGCTCCGCCGAGGAGCCGGAACTGCTGTTGTTGTCCTCCTCCTCGGCCGGCTCGTCATCGTCCACCGAAAGCTGGGACATTTTCTTCTGGCGCCGTCCCAGCGGCAGAACCAGGGACGAGGCGGACGCCAGAGGACCTCCCGAGGAGGACTGCTGCTCGATGGAGCGCAGCTTGAGCTGCAGCTGTGCGATGATGGCGTCGCGACGTCGCACCTCCCCGGCCATGCTGGAGAACTGAGTCTCGAACTTGGAGTGCATCTCGTTCATGTGCGTCTTAATGACGTGGTTGATGCCGCTCAGGATCTGGTTGAAGTAGTCCTGCGCCTCCGGGAAGCCTTTAAGAGCAAGATCAGATTCAAGATTAGTACATGGAGCAGGGGGGCATTCTAGGGGCCATTGCCAAGGTCAGGGGGTACAGATGTGTCTGGCAAACGTGAGTTTCATTTATTAATTTTACATTTTTTTAGTTGCATTTGTGAGAGCACATTCAAGAGTATTTTCCAGAGTCAAACTACATCAAATTAGGCTGTGAGTGTTCTTTTTCTTTTGAGTTTTTAAGCGTTTTAAGTAGCACTACAAATACATATTTTCATTACGTTTCTTTGCAGGTTGAATTGTTAGTGTTGCAAAACGAAAAAGAGTACAGTTCGCCCTCGAGAACAAGGACTTGGATGCCAGTGCAGACTGTATAGTCGATCTGCAATGCCATCGTATACATACGTACATACGTCGTTGACAATTATATACATTCTCATTCCCAAATATGTACCATACAAGTGTAGCACCGTCTCCATCAAGGCTCGGCTCAGATATCTCTCTCTATTTGTATATAGAGTTCACATTCATATATTTACATGATCGTGTTATGGGTTTATTTACAAAGCAAAAGCCGTGTCTGAGTGTGGGTGTTCTGTTTAATGTGCTGTTTATGTTTAGTTACATGCTTTTTAATTTTGACGCCATTTTTCAATCGTTCCGTCATGGCGACGCTTGCATTCCGTTTTACAGTTACTTTTGGTTACACCAGCTGAAAAAAAAAAATCCTTTCTAGGGAGGGGGCTTAAGGATCAGGACTTGAGCTCGTTTTGAGAAGTTTAAAAGTTTATTTCTAAGACAGGGGGCCAAAAAATAAAAGGCGCATACAAGGCGTATACGTAATGTGTTTGGACCTAGTATACAAGACATTAGTTTTAAGTGATATTTTTCTCAGGTAAGTTTTAATCAATTAATATTATTTAATTATTTCAAGATCTTTAGAAAATAAAATAAAATAAATAGCTTGAGATTGAAGTATAGAAGAGATAGGGACTTGAAAAATTCGATACAATGTACCACACGACCTTACAGGGGTTAAAGCAGAGCAACTCTTCTTAAAAAAATACAAAATTTTACTGCTAAGTATCAAGAAAGGATAATTAATGTACAAAAATTAAACAGATCCGTGGGACATCCGCTGAACTCCTTGAAGTCGATTAATATTTTTTTCAGGCATTGCATCATGCAGAGGTTTATGCACAAGATAATGGTTAAGCTTAGTTGAGGTTTTAGAAAAAAGAGTATTAGAAAGCACAGGACAAAGCGAGAGGAGCGATCGTAACGTGTGTTTGGTGGTCATGCTGCGGTAGAGGGAGTTCTGTGTGTTGAACAGCGACAGATAGATATTCAAAGAGAAACTCGCAGAGGTGGAGGTAGAAAGTTTGAAAGGGGGTGTCAAGCGTTGCGTTGTTCTGCATCGTTATATATAATATAGTATGTGTGTGTGTTAGGTATGGGAAACTGAAGCAGATATATTTACCTTCGGGATGAGCACCTGGAAACTGGCCACCGCCACTGGTCGTCGTTGTGTTCTGCGACCTGAGCTGCAAATTCAAATTCAAATCTGTGGTGGACTGGGCATGGAACTCGTTCGATTTCGCGGAACACTCGACCACGTACGAGGCGGAGGCGGAAGCGGAGGCTGAGGCTGAGGCGGATGCGGTGGCGGACGTTGAGGCGGTGCCAACGCCCGACAACGAGTCCCCGCCGGGATTGTATTGAGGGGGAGTGACCAGGCTGTGGCCGGGGGGGAACGCAAACTGCTCCTGCGGCGAGTTCGTGGGCGTTACCAACGTCAACGTCGGCGACCAGACATTCGCCGTATCACCGTTACCCGTTATCGAAATTGGAGCCGGAATCGGAGCTGCAACAGATACCGGCACCGTCACTTGAACCGGAATCGATACCGAACTATTAATACCCGCTACCGACACGTTACCGTTAGCGCTACCGTTACCGTTACCGAACCCAGCACCGCCGAAGGTGTCCGCATCCTTGGCACTGGCGGGCGGGCTGGAAAGAGTGGAATGGAAGGTTACACTCTTCAAGAGCTTGCTGTGCCTAGCCACGTACCCTTCCAAGGTTGGCTCCGCCGGCAGCCCGCTGGCCTGGGTGACCTTGGATCCGGTACTGGACGCGGGCAATCCCGATACTGCCTCCTCTTGCTGTAGCTTCTTGAGGATGCTCTTCAGCTTTCGGCGTTCCACCGTCTCATTGGACTCCGGACTGAGGGGCAGTGGTACGTAGAGGGGCAGCTGCCGAGAGCTGCCGTCCTCCGTGTTGGTGGATATCGATGTGGAGGTGGAGCTGGTCGTCGACTCGTAGGTGCTGAGGAACTGCGAGTATATGCCGGAGGTGTCGCTGTAGCAGCGGTACAGAGACTCCGTGATGGGAACCTTGCTGTCCGTTCCGGACTTGGAGCAGTCCAGGCTGAAGCTGCGCGTCTGAAGCGCCCGCTCCAGCTCGGCCAGTTTCTGGCGTTCGTTCAGGATCTTCAGACGCTTGACGAAGGGCAGGCCGCAGTACTCCGGCGACAGATCGAAGACACTCTGATAGAGCTTCCTCCGGCCGTCCGCGGACAAGTCCCCATCGGGCAGTCGCTGCTCCGGCTTCTGGAGTCTCAGACAGTCCCTCCGTGAATTGGCTGCCTGATCCCTGGAGCCTCCGCCACGCTGACTCACCGAAGAGCCCGTGGTGCTGGAGGAGCTGTGACCATGGTGGTGACCGTGAGCATGGTGGTGGTGCCTGGGAGACCTGGAGCTGCTTCGGGCACTGTGGTGCCTTTGGGGCCTCGATGGATGGGCCTCCATCATCTGCTGGGGGATGTTACTCAGCGAGTAGTTCTTCAGGGGCGTGGCCAGGTCGTCCGGCGAACAGTTGGTTAAGCTCGTGTAGCTGGAGGACATCAGGGTGGCCAGTTTCAGCTTGGACCAGGGCTTGATGGGCGTCCCGTCCGTGTCCGTGTCGGACTGCAGGGGCGTGGCCATCTTGTGGGCGGGCTTGCCCACTCTCTTCGATATGGTGGCTATGCCAGAGTTGAGTCCAGCACCCGCACTAGATCCTCCTGTTATTGCTCCAGATCCCCCGCCAGCTCCTGGTGCTCCGCCAGCTGGGGGCGTCGCCTCCGAGGAGGCCTTGACCACCAAAGCCAATGACTTTGGCGGCTCCTTCTTGGCGATGGCTCCTGTGCTAGGTCCCGGGGAGCTGCCCGCTGCTCCCTGTAGCTGCTGGATCTTTTGCTTGAAGGACACCTTCATGATGGGCTTGATCTGGGCCACCGTCAGCGACTGCCCAGTTGCGGAGGTGCTGGCTCCTAATCCAGTGCCCCCGTTCAGGCCGGAGACGCTCGAGGCTCCTCCGAAGTTGGAGTCTACCTTGCTGCTGATATTGGGCGGCGTGTTGACCTTAAATGGGCGTAAGATCGGTTAGATATTGGGCTTAAGTCTTGGTTAGTAAACAGATGATCCGTCCTCCGGTTAGAGTCTCTAAACGGAGCACGGAACACCAAGTGCGAAGAGCGTTCTGAGGGACTGGTGGGAGACACATTTCCGGCTTCCTAACTCTACGGGCTGTACGATATCGGGGGGGGCAGTAGGGTCTGGGAATGTGGTCTATTAACAATTTAGGCTTTACCATAGCGACGCCGGGATCGGCGGACTGCGGCTCGTTCTTTATTTTCAACTGCTGCAATCGCTGGATCAGGGGAAAGCCTTCGCTGAACTCGCGTTCCGGCTCCTCCTGTATCGATTCCTGCGGCGATAACGTACACGTTACATGTGAGTGAGGTGGAGATTTCTGTGGTGGTGTGGACTTAACAGCTCGCTCTTCGCGATCCTAGTGCAAGACACATAAAGACACATACAAAACTACTGTTTAGGAGCTGGGGAATAATTACAATTACAAACAACACGAAATATCTCTGATCTGGCGTTAATCGTTAAACGATATTCGATTTTTCGAATAGGGGTAGCAAATAAGGTATAATAATCGAAAAGGAACTGATAAGCGATAAAGGATTAATGCAAAAATGTGTGTGGGAATGTGTGGTGTGGGTGGAGATATGGCCTGTGTCTGCCTGGACTTGGTTTGGTTTCTTGTATTTTTTAAGTCTTTCAAATCAAAAAAGAGTTCAAAACTCACTAAGCCAAAGCGGGGAATCTATGGAAAGCATCTAGATAAGCTTGCATTTTATTTTTGGAGGGAATTAATGTACAAAACAGGCATAGTTTCTGGTCGAAGTCCCTTTTGTTTTGAATCGTTGAGCAAAAAGCTTTAATAAAACGTGCTGGATGTTCAGAAAGTCGGTAAACTAGATAGCACACTTCTGGGGTCGGAGGTGAGTTCATAGGTGCACTAACAACTTGAACTAACTGCATTACAATGGCGCTTAAAACAAGTTAAAACACAAATGCAAGTGGCGTGTGGAGCAAGTAGTACGGTGTGGCAAGTAGAAGTATCTCTCAGATACGACGTACGACAGGCTTCAGTCTGCTTTCCGAGTGTGGGTGGGTGTTGGTTGTGCGTGTTTGCTTTTCCATTTGTCAAGCTCTTCATTCAATGCTCTGTACGTGAGTGTGTGTGTGGGAAAAAACCATTTAAAGCCGAGCGAAAGTGGAAAGTGAAAGTGGAATGGGCCATGGATGGTGTGGAGGGCGTGGATGGGCGGGATGGACGGTAGATGGGGGCATGGAAAACAAAGTGTGAATGGATGAGTCGGAAAACAAAAGCTCGAGCAAGGTGAGTGTTTCGTTGGTTTTTGCCTTGGTGGTTGGTGACTTGGTGGTTTCGTGGCTTGGTGTTTTGGTGGCTTTCTTCCTTGCTGTTTTAAGGACTCACCTGCTTCTCCTTTAGGAGTCGCAGCCGCTGAAGCAACGGCAGCCCTGCCCCAATCGGACTGGGCGTCTTGTCGTGGAACTCGTCCTTGGCCTCGGCACTCTCCGCGTCCTTTTCGTCGGATCGCACCCGGGACATGCGCTTCAGCATGATCTTGCTGCCTCTCGGCGAGGTGTTGTGCAGTGGCTGCATTTCCAAGGACTCATCGCTCTTCCGAGAAGTCCTGACGGTTAAGATTTATGTATGATTTGCTGCAACGTGGCACCTCGAGTCTAGAAACTCACCTGGACTTCTTGAGGACATTGCGAAAGCCCTTGACATCGTGCTTCAGCTTATCCACTATCTTCTTGGAGGCACTGTTTTCGCTGCTGTCGCTCTGATGCACCACCTGGCCCTGGTGGTGGCCTTGGTGGTGGCTCTGGTGGTGGTGTGGGTGGGCGGCAGCAAAGGCGGCCGCCTCCTTGTCGCTCTGCGCCTTGGCGTACTTTTTGTTTACACACCGCACCTCCATCAGCCGCTTACGGCCCAGCGTCTGCAGGATCTCCTGGGCGTCCGGGTAGTCCTTCATGGCGGCCAGGACATCCTCGCGGGAGAGCGAGAACAGCTCCGAGTAGCCCACCGATCGAACATCGGCAGTGCGCCTGAGGATAGTCAGGAAAACATTAAACATAGATCGAATTAGAATAAAAGATGGACTTACTTGTTCAGCCCATCCAGATTAAGGATGCCAATTTCACCAAAAAAATCTCCAGCCTTCATGGTGGTGAGCACCTTGCCCGTCTCGCTCAGGACCTCCAGGATGCCGTCCGCAATGATGAACATTTCCCGGGCCACCTCGCCCTTCCGGCAAATCGAATCGCCCGGCGTGAAGATGTAGGCCTTCATTTTAAGGACGAGGTCGTGCAGGAACTCCGGCTGGCACTCCTGGAAGATGGTCACCTTCTTCAGGACACTCAGGTTGACGTGCAGGGCCAGTTCGGTTTTGAGCTTGTCCGGCAGCAGGCCGAGGGCTGTATTGATGTCCCCGCCCCCCTGTATCCTGCCGCGGGACCAACTGTAGTCGTACCAGCGAAGCACGCGACGCTTCATACCGCCAGGAACCTAAGGACAAGCGTGCGGATATGGTTAGTTAGGACGAAAGCAAGGTAGGACGCCCAACTCACCTTGTGGTGTCGCATGTAGGTCTTGGCCCCATCGAGCAGGCGCTCAAACTCCAGCCGGTTGGCATTCCGGTTCGTTATCACATTTCCCACTTGGCCCACAATCGTGGCGAAGATAAAAACGCCAATCAAGTAGCTAACGATCGTAAAAATATATCTGCCGGGGATAAAGGAAGTTTATGGTTAACGTGATTCCGGGGCGTGGCCCTCCAATTAGCTGGCCACCAAAATAAAGTACACATTGTATCGCATTGGCCGTAAAAGGTAGCCGTTAAGGACTGCCTTTTGGCCAACACTCTTCAATCTTTGCAAGCTCAATCAAAGTTTTCGAAAACAAATCTTTGCAATTCACTTTTGAGGGAAACAAATATCAATGGAAATTGTTCAAGGCTGTCGCACGCTTTCGAAAACTTTGATGTTTGAGGTCCCTATGGTTATGTATTCTTTTCGGGGTCAGAGTGCAACAGATCGATGGGGAGTCACTGGTAATAACATATCAGAACACCAAGAAAGACGATTCGGTGGACAGCCCCCAACAAATTGCATGATATTCGCTATTCGCTATTCGATTTGATTGACCTTGCTTGAGGATTATGCTCTGGATGGTGGGAATATATAGTTTTGAGGCCTACCCATAGCTAGAGCCAAACTGAAGCAATCGAGACTTAATGCCACGCCTGGGAATCGATCGTGGGCCGTCCACCGAGAAGTTCGGTCTGATTGGTGATTCGAAATGGAGAAAATGGAGAACCCCATTACAATTTGTTGCGATTTCATCGAAAACAAATAAAAGACATTAAATGGTACTTACTCTGCATTCGTTTCGGGCGTCGGCAGATCCCCAATCGTAGTCAGGGTCAAGGTCGACCAGTACAGGCTGCCCAGGTACTTCCGGGTGAGCGTAGCATAGTCCCCGGGTCGATACGGATACACCCAGTCGCCCTGTGTTAAGAATATTTACAATATAGCACTTGGAGAAGACAAGAAGGCCATCATCGGGGGCATCCGAAGCTTTTATCTATATCTAGTATAGCTTTGGGATTTTATTGTATCTATTTCTTTGCCGATTTCCAACCGATTAATTGGAGGAGTTCTTTAAAGTTCTTATAGCTTGATTTTCTACCTTCCTACGGAATTTTTTCTCAATTTTTCCTGTGGGTACCCGTGTAGAATATCGGATTTCAAATATGGCCCAGTACCATGTCTATATCTTGGCCAATACTTATCAGATTCTCACGCGGAATACCTTAAACGATTTCTAGATCGATTCTCCGTCAATCTGCATTAAAATCTGACTACGAAATATTTTTTCAATTTTTTTCCAATTTTTCCTGATGGTACCCCTGTAAAATCGCGGATTTTCGTATATGGCCCAGTAGCATATCTATATCTTAGCCAATACTTATCAGATTCTCACGCGGAATGTCTTAAACGATTTCTAGATCGATTCTCCGTCAATCTGCATCAAAATCTAAGTACAAAATATTTTTTCAATTTTTTTCCAATTTTTCCTGATGGTACCCCTGTAAAATCGCGGATTTTCGTATATGGCCCAGTACCATATCTATATCTTAGCCAATACTTATCAGATTCTCACGCGGAATGTCTTAAACGATTTCTAGATCGATTCTCCGTCAATCTGCATCAAAATCTAAGTACAAAATATTTTTTCAATTTTTTTCCAATTTTTCCTGATGGTACCCCTGTAAAATCGCGGATTTTCGTATATGGCCCAGTACCACATCTATATCTTGGCCAATACTTATCAGATTCTCACGCGGAATGTCTTAAACGATTTCTAGATCGATTCTCCGTCAATCTGCATCAAAATCTAAGTACAAAATATTTTTTCAATTTTTTCCAATTTTTCCTGATGGTACCCCTGTAAAATCGCGGATTTTCGTATATGGCCCAGTACCATATCTATATCTTAGCCAATACTTATCAGATTCTCACGCGGAATGTCTTAAACGATTTCTAGATCGATTCTCCGTCAATCTGCATCAAAATCTAAGTACAAAATATTTTTTCAATTTTTTTCCCATTTTTCCTGATGGTACCCCTGTAAAATCGCGGATTTTCGTATATGGCCCAGTACCATATCTATATCTTGGCCAATACCTATCAGATTCTCACGCGGAATAGCTTAAACGATTTCTAGATCGATTCTCCGTCAATCTGCATCAAAATCTGACTGCGAAATATTTTTTCAATTTTTTTCCCATTTTTCCTGATGGTACCCCTGTAAAATCGCGGATTTTCGTATATGGCCCAGTACCATATCTATATCTTGGCCAATACCTATCAGATTCTCACGCGGAATAGCTTAAACGATTTCTAGATCGATTCTCCGTTAATCTGCATCAAAATCTGACTACGAAATATTTTTTCAATTTTTTTTCCAATTTTTCCTTATGGTACCCCTGTAAAATCGCGGATTTTCGTATATGGCCCAGTACCACATCTATATCTTGGCCAATACTTATCAGATTCTCACGCGGAATAGCTTAAACGATTTCTAGATCGATTCTCCGTCAATTTACATCAAAAGTTGAGAACAAAATTATTTCTCTTAATTTTTCCTGGGCCCAGTACCATATTCGATAGTACTGAGCCAGTACCAAGAGGCTCAAGGCTTCTAAAGTGTTAAAAGTTATGGACTGAAGAAATAATTAAACTCACCTGGAAGCCCTCCGCCTCGGATAGTAAAAAATAGAAACAACCGAACCAGTGTGCCAGTATTAACAGGATATGAATTAGGTTAACAACGCGCCATAAATTTGGCCAAACTGTCCTACTCTCTACGATGTAATAAAATCTCACAGATCGATAAACCTGCAAAGTGTGCGGAGGTTAATAATTAATTGCTTTTGAAGAGGGATAATGAATACAGACTTTAAAAAAGCGCGTAAAACGTAAAAGCGGATGTGTGCCCATTTTTAATTGGAGCAAATCCAATGGTATTAACGCAATCATATCGAAAATAAAGTCCCGCGAATGGACATAGTGGCAGGCCAGTTTTTTGTCGTCATATACCTGAAGGATAAACGAATTAAAATGCAAATATTGGATGCCCTCAGGCCGTATATCTCCATTACCATTAGGCCCTGCTCCAAGTAGCCTGTGCGTAATTGAACTATTATATCTAAGATAAATACAACATCTGTCATTGAATCGCAGATGAGCCAGAATGTGGGTACAGCTTGCTGTGAATATAAATTATAAATTTAGAATGTATATTAGTGACAGTTCCAGTTAGTCTATTTTTGCGTGGTCAGGTCAAGGGCAATTAGACGAGAGGTAGTGCAGCTAACAAAAAATCCTGTTCGGGTTAAAGGTCAACACAGGGTCTACTCTAATCTGATGACAAACACCAGCTAACAACTGGGCCATAAACAAACATTTGCTTGGGCCTGGTTATGGTTCTGGTGTTGGTCCTGTTCCGGCTGCGTGTCTTATAATTGAGTCATTACAAGGCAAAGACCAGGAACAAACAGATAAAAAAGTAGGATAACGCAGGTGTCCTGGCACGCTGGCCAGAAGATGCTCTGCCACGACATTCCATTCCCCTCTCGGTGAAGCATGGAATTCTATGGCAACAAAGGCACGAGACCCCCAAGGACTCTTTGAGTGTAATGACAGAAAAAATAAAAGGGTGTTGGCTTACACAAAGGACGAACAAAGGTCTGGCCGTCCCTTGAAGGACGAACGGGTGGGCGGGCACAAGTGGGCAAATATTAAATGTGAAACTCACCTGCAGTTCTGGAAAGCTCTGCCTCACAATTAGGGTCCATAGATTATATAGAACACATACAGTTAACATCATTAACCAATAGAAGTAAAAATTTTCATCTGGATTAACAACGGATCGTCGTTTTTGTAAATAGCGTCGCCTACGTTTAACACTTTTGTCGACGTCACCAGAGGCACTTTCTGAACCCGTGTCTTCAACAGTTTCCTTTTAGATAATATGATTATCATATGTTTTTAAAATAAAGGTGATTTTTAGTTGTAGCCCACCTGTGTTTCGGGTATCTGTCTAGTCGAGAAACGCTTCAGGAAGGAGTCCTCGCGCTTGAGCGGTGGTTTCTTCTGAATCGCCGATGAGATCTGCACGGTGGTGCGGAGTTTCATCCAGCGTTGGTTCGATCGTGTCCTGTTTTTTTGTCATACATTTAAGATTAGAATTAACTGCTTCAAGGATGCGAAAACTATAGGGATTGTCTCACACATCGAACTACAGTAGCTACTGAAATGAAACCCTTTAGAATATTTTCTCTTCAAGGATAGAGCGCAACTTAAAATCTTAAAATCTTAAAAGGCGTGCGCTTACGTTACGTTTTTGGGGTGCAGTTGAATTAAATTTAAGATTTTATATAAACACTAAGACATCGATAAACTTACGCTAGTTGGATGACGGGGGTAACGGGGTAACATTTTACAGGTTACGGGGTTACGAGGTTACGGTTTACGGTTTACGGTTTACGGATTACGTCTATGGTTACGCATACTTAGTGGCAAGAGAGACATTCAGACATTCAAAAGACCGTAACGCAAACGCACACAACGGTAACGGTAACGGTAACGGCTAACGGTTAACTGCTAACGGTTATGATATAGCTGTAACGGTAACGCTAACAGTAAAGTGAAACGGAAACGAACACCAACAAATCAGGCAGCAAACAGGAAATATGAAAAGATAGTACATAGTTTATACATAAAAGTCTAGAATACATACTAAGATACTAAGATACATGCACTAAGAAGCCGCAAATGAGATCAACTTAAATCAATCGAAGTAATCGAAATATAAATCGAAATCGAATCAGTCGGTTATGCGGTGATGGAATCAAAGTAATCAAACAAAATAACAATCATCATTGGCATTATGCAATCTATGAAGAAATGAGGAAAATTGCAATTGGAAAACAATTTTAGCAGCAGCGCAGCGAGACAGAGACAGACAGAGAGAGCGAAAGAGAGAGACAGAGTCGTAGAGACAGAGACAGGAGGTCTATAGGTAGCAGGTAGTAGAAGGAGTCTAAGGAAGATTCGTAGGTGGAAACTGAGGAGGCGGTAAGGCGGTAAGGCGGTAGTGGTGGTGAGTGGTCGAGAACTTTTCGCCATCTCGTTATAAATAGCGGCCTGACCTTGTGGGTGGAAAGTGTTAACTGTCTGCCAGGTGAGTTGGGAACAGGAAAATCCCTTTTCCCAAGCCCATTTTCTCACAATTAAACCGAAAAAAAAAACAAATGTCTTGAAAGTAAAATGTACAGAAAATAAAACCAAAGAAGGATTAGCTACGGAAGACCGACGCTTTACAAATGCTCTGGCAAAAGGTAATTTATTTACTTCCTTTGTATCTCTTATTTTTTATGTGTATCTTTAAATAGGGAGACAATTAATCATTTGATAAGATACTACTTCCACATTAATCATTCATCAAGCCGAGGGCTTTACTTTTTTTAAAAAACAATCCTTGGAATTCTTTGCCAGAGCAGCGCTAAGGACTACAAGCATATATGCTTTCGATCTAGGACTATGGCCTACAACTACTTGGAGGAAGGTGGACGAGAGGAGGGGTTGGGGAGGGGTAGGGGATCAAGGGGATTACCACTTTTTTTGGACTTTTTGCTCAAGCCGCTCAGGGTCGCCATTCAATCGTCTGTTTCTGCTAAAGCATCTAGAGTTCTAAGTGATGTTCTTTGGTTTCTGTTTATATTTTACAAAGGTGGTTTCTATAAATGCATACATATACTATGCAGCATAGTATATAGTTTTATTTACAGTTTTGAGTTAATTGGTTCTGGTTTACTCGCATCCAGCATGTCAAATGCCAAAGAGCTACTGAACAAATATATATAATGCTTTTATGGATTTTTCTTAGTTTTTTCTGTTTTGTTTTTTTTTTTAAGTTCAAATATCATTTTTATTAGATTGGTTTTTGTTCTATTTACAGCGGTGGCTAAATTATTACGCATACGCCGTGTGGTACACGATGAGGTACGAATAACGAAAGCGATTGGTAGCAATGCAGTTAGCTAAACGAAAGACAAAAATCAAAGGAAGACAATGATAGCTAATAGGTGTCAATGTCCATGTGAGTGGGTGTGTATCTGTATCTGTGTCTCTGAGTATCTTTGTATCTTTTTACAGGGTATGAAGTGTCTGGGGTGTTGGTGGTTTTTTGCTGCGGTTTTGCTTTCGACCCGGCCAAAACCGAAGCCCTACTGCTACTGCTCTTTGCGGCCTATTGAAATGCAAAGCGCGCACATGCCGTCAGGTCGTCATTATCAACAGCACCATGACCATCATTATCGTAATCGCATAATGGTAATCGCAATCATAATCAAATCAAAAACAGAACAAAGCTCATATCATAGCTAGCTATCCATGTATTCTATATATATTATTTTTTCTTATATGCGGTGTAGTTTGCGTGTCATTTTTGGTTTCTTATTCATTATTATTATTATTAGTATTATTATTATTATTTTGTATTTTTTTTTTTTTTTGAATTTGTGCTTGTGTTTGTGTGCAGAGACAAAACCGAGAAATCATAAGGAACACAAGAGTGTAAACTTACCAATCGGAATCTGGATCTGAAGCTCCATCTCCGATACGCGATTTCCTAAACAACGAGTTTCGAAAGTTTGTTTTTCTTATACTATGTTTTGGCTGTTTATTTTTCATTTTGTTTAGCATAATTGTTGTTTTGTATTCATTTGTAATGTAATTCGCAATTCGTACTCTTCGGTAGAGTGGAGTTCAATAGAAAATAGATTTTGGCCAGAACAGTGACAGAGAGATAGAGAGATGTATAATGTATGAGAGAGACAGAGACAGCAACAGAGATAGAGAAAGTGAGAGAGGGGGGTAGAGAGAATTTGGCTGATACGGGCCTTCCCCCCAGCCCCTTGGCACTTCCCCTTTTAACCCATCAGTGCCCATCCTCTGGCAGCCAAGCGGAAAAAGGCTTGCTGCACGATAAGACCATAAATGTGTGTGGCCAGAGGCGTACTCCCGGTGGCTACCAAGGGGGCCAGCTCTTGTTAATCATCTAGGGCTAGACTAGGGCTTGAGGACTTTTGCAGCAGACCCCCTCTGGAAGGCACGCCACTGGCCGTGTGCGTGTATGCTGTGACCCCATTGTTGTTTTTTGGGGTCAGCTGGAGCCATTTGTGGACTTTCGATTTAATATAAATTGAGAATGAGCTTGTTAGTTTTGTGCCCGTTTCTCGTTTCTCGTTCCTCGTTTTTCGATTTGATTCGGTTTCGATTTTCGGGGTTAAGGTTCAGGTTTTTGGGGCTTTTCGGGGCTCTGCGAAAGGTTAAAGAGCTGCCCGAGTCCTAAATGGCATTCTTTATTGCACCACAAATCATCCAGGAAAATGTTAAAGGACTTCACAGGACTCGCCTGTTTGTTTTGTGTTGCCTGTGAGTGTGTTTGTTGGCCTGGAATTGTTATTGTTTAATGACTGCATGATGTCCGATTTCGCTGGAACGCCTCGAGCCTCGGGCCCCGGCCCTCCGGCGTTGGGTTAACTTTCGATTCCCGGACGGTCCTCTAAGCCGGATTTCAATTAACGCCTCTTGCAGTTTTCGGTTTTTGGGGTTTTTGGGGTTTTCGATTTTGGCCTGGTTTGGTTTTTGCGGCCATATTGCCCGGCCGCAGGCCATGACCGGCCGGAATGCTAAGCAATCGCGTTCGGTTCGCCACTTGACTGACTGACTGAGTGACTGCCGGGCCTGGTGTGGCATGCCACACAGCTCATGGCACACAGCTTATGCCACATTTCAGATGAAACAACAATTGAAAAATTCCGCCGAGTCATTTGGCCATCGTTTCCAGCCTCCACCCACTTCGGCAGGACATTTCACACCCACAAATGTAGGCTATACCCATTTCCAGGACCGGATTTCAAGGCAATTGCTAATTGAAAGCTTTGGTCTACTTTGGTTTATATTGAATAAGTAATTATTGCTCTCAACAGGACCCCCTTTTTTGACAGAACCCTCTTCTCAGCCCACATAAGTACGACATGCTTTTTTCAAGTCTGGGTTTCAAGGCTGCTTTAGGCTGGAATATATGTATAATTATAATTATTGGTGTTGCCCTCATACATATGCTATTCTTTTCCCATCGTCCTTTTGCCAAATAAGTAGCTGTAGAAACCTCAACTGCTGACAGAAGCAGGCGAAGTAGGCCAAAGGATGTGCGAGTTGTGCAAATCAAAACACAATTGCCGGATCGAACAAATGAATTTGATTGCGAACCAAAGTGGCTTGTAACCGCAGCCTTCAGGGGGATGGGGCTGGGGCTGGGCGGACGGGGGCACTTGGGGCCACATGCATATGCAAACGTTCACCTTTTCGCTGGCCAGGACTCGAAGACGGAGACGAAAAAACCAAAAAAATAAAAAAAAAGTTGGCAGTCACATCAATGGGTCTGAGGATCTCCAAATGCTGCATTCTTGGCTCGTTCTGGGTGAGTATCTGTATCTGTGAGTGTGCTCACTTGGCTTCTACATAAATTTGCAATTTTCTAAATTCAAATTCTTTGTAAGTTGTCAGTCAGAAGGCAATTTCCCATTCCGCATGCACAATGCCAGGGAATAGTGGGGGGTTTTTTGGTCGCACTGTGCCATATGCATAGGCGCATGTTTCCAACAGTATAACTGTACAAATATGCAAGTGTGTGTGCTAGTCTGCGTGTGTGTGAGTGTGTGTATTTGTGTCAAAAGTTCGCCTACATTGCAGCCAGCAGCTTAAACATATCGATTCAAACACACACTGGCAAAAGCCACTTTAACTTTTGCTTGCTGTTTGCCGAGATTTTCAAGCAAAAGTTTCCTGCCCTTGCCCTGGCCGCAGCGCCGGGGGCGTCCGCCGAAGGGGGGGTTGCTTTACATCGGGGATATTTTTACATTAGTGTGATTAAAAATTAAAGTTCATCTCAACAAACATGCTAGGAATGCTGACGGTAGTCCTTCAAGTTTATTTTACATATATTTGTGGAATATATTTGTGGAAATATACCATTGTCTGGATAAATATATAATGGGAGAATGGTAGGCTCCCCCCCTCCTAATGAGCTCCTGCGCCACTGGCCACTATATATGGTGGCCTGCATCATCTTGCTTAGCTGGGTGAAAACTTTTAAGTTGCCCTTTCGCCAAAAATTAACCCAGAAACTAGAAGAGAAAGTGGCAGAATGTACGAGTCTGACCCAAAACTCACACCCCAAGCCGAGGCCCATCAAACACGGTGCTGTACAGTGCTACCCCACTAGGACGCACCACAAGGCTCATACCATATGCATATCCCTAATAAATGCAAATTCCCTTCCAAACACTTTTCATTAAATGCGTAAGTCCCCCCCCTCCCAGTTTCTTGTGAAAAGTTGGGAAAGTTTCTTACAAGAGACCCGACTGTGGCTGGGTCAGGGGCTAGGGGTCGCGGGTCAGGGGTCATGGTTAGCATAATGGATAGAGACAGAGCGATAGTCAGATCTGGAGTGGGAGAGAGAGAGAGCAGGCGATTCTTAGATTGAGTTTTCAGCTTTAGGGCGAGGTCTGGCATTCGCTTACACATCAATGATATCGGTATTATGGATTATATATTTTAGATAACATATAGGTTTCATACACTACGATTTCGGATTAGTATGAGACAGAGAGAGAGAGGGCGAGAGAGCGAGAGAGAGACAGGTGATGGCGGGAGAGAGCGAGGGAGGGCGAGCGAGCGATCGTTGAATGTTAGTAGGGGTTTAGTTAGTAGGAGATTATAGTTTTAGTTTCGGTTGCTTTTCGTAATACTTCTCAGAAGGAGAGCTTAAACACACACATATATATTTATAAGGACGATGCACAGAGAAACATAATAGGGTATGAACTGGTCTACTTCAAGGACACAAGTAGACAGGCTTCAAAATGAAACTGGCACTGGCCATAGTCCTGTACTATCTTTCCCTGTGCATCACTAGGTTTTTGGGGATTTCTTTAAGGACTATTAAGTGGCGTGTTGCGGACACGCCTTAAGGATACGATTGATACACTGATAACAGAATGGATGGGTAGAATGGATCATGACATGAATGATAAGACAACGTTCCTCTTGATCCGCCGCAAGGAGCAGTAGTAGGCCATCACGGCCCTTAGGCTCTTCCATTTTGTTGTCTGCTGGCCATTTCCGTTCCCGTTTCCGCCTCCATGGACTCGATCTCCACCTGCACTTCCACTTCCGCCGATTCCGCCGCTTCCGTGCAGAAGCTCCTCGGGATGCTCGCTGATGAACGAGGAGAGCGTCTTCATCGCCGGCAATGGCCTTGGACTGGGATTCGGACACGGATTCAGGATCTGATTCGGATTCGGATGGGGAGCGGAGCCCACGGGCGTGTAGGCGCTCTGATCGGAGGACGGACTATTCAGGTGGAGTCGCACCTGTCGCCGCTGGCGGGCCTGGTGCGGATGCGGATGCGCCGGCGTCAGTATCAGTCTATCCCTCTCTGTGTACCTTAAACTAGTGGTGGCGGAGCAGCCACAATGGTGATTCTGTGAACTGGCCAGCGAGGAGCTGGCGGATCTGTTACGACCCGACAATCCGGTCATCCGATTATCCAGAAGATACAAACAAAAACGTGAACATCTGCCACGACTGCCAGCGTGGAGAGGACTCCCTAGCTTCCAATTTTGTACATTTAATTAAGTGAGATAATTCCAAAATGGAAGCACGGGTAACTCCTCTCCAGCCACATTGTTTCTTTTGACAAACAAAAAAATTAATATTCTTGAAGTGGCAGCCGTGGTTCATGGTGTGGTTTTTTGTGATGGTGGTTGGTGGTTTCTGGAGTGGTGGAGTGGTGGAGTACTGGGTGGGTGGGTTACACTTTGGAGTGGAACTTGGAGTGGATTCGTGTGTGCCCAAAGATTAACCCGCCGCCGGAGAGTTGTCAACTTTGGTCCCCTGGGAGAGTAACTCTTCCGTTGCCTTTGTTTGTCGTCTTGCCATTGTGGGCCAAGTTAATTAATGAAATCGTGTTCACACACACACACACTTGCTATACAGTGACAATCTGACACCCTCGTACAAAGACACACACACTCTCTCACACGCCAAGGACACCAGCACGGACATGGACAATCCCGGCTAATTGTCATTGCTAATTTCCTTTTTGCCACCACAAAGACACAATAAACACAAACAAAAGTTCTCCCTGCCTATTCAGTGTGTGTGTGTGTGTGTGTGGGTCTGGGAGTCTGGGAGAGTGGTTGTGATGTGTGGGTGTGTGTCAGGATATCTGTCTGTGTGACAGCTCCATTCAAGTGCAAAGGCAAGACTGCAAAGTTGAAGCCTCAAACAGAATTCTATGGCAGATATTTTCTAATTTATTTCTCAGTTGAATTCTAACCTATTTATTTTAATAAAACTAATTCGTTAAGAGTCCATTTCAGCGCTGAAACGCACTGTCCTTTCTCTGATTAGATTAAGTCAAGGACCAAAACTGAAAACTTTTGATTTGAAACCCAATCAGATTCCTATAGCCCCGAAAAATGGGTCAAACCACTGAGAACCCACTCCCGTTTCCAATTCCCATGGAACATCTTTATCTGCAACCGCATGGATTCATCGAGGACAAGGACACAAGGCGGGTGGCGGGGACTTGCTAATTGCTAATTTAATTTAATTGAATCAGAATGGTTTGTTTTCCTTCTTTTTTGGTCTTGCGGGGCTTGCGGGTACTTTTGTCTTTTCTTATTTAATTCCTTTGTGTTTTTTTTACGGATACGGAGTACGGATATGCGGCTATACGGCTATAGGGATGTACGGATGTTATGTCGTCGCTTACGGTTCATCAAATACAGAGCATACGGAGCACACGGCGTACAAGAAGCTGCCAAGGCGAGCGAAGCCCAACAAAGTATGCTACACATTTATCAATTACGCTTACGGCACACGTCTCTATATGTATGTGTCTATTTGGTATGAATGTATGCGTGTATTCGTGTGTGTGTTTTTTGATTGTGTAAGTGTGGGTGTAAGGACAAGCAGAGCCGGATTATGTTTTATGTGCGTATTTTTTTTTTTGGTAACAACTTGGCGCGATTTGTATAAATCATTTTTGTTGGGCCCCTTTATGTCTTGTTTTTTTTAACTTTTAACTCTGCTTTTAAGTTTAATTTAGGAGTTATGCACGTGTCGTTATGTATACACTGAGAGAAGAGAATGGAAACTAAAATTAAGTGAGGTTTATCTTTTGAACTTGAACTAGAAAATAGGTATAACCTTTATCTCCAAAAACCTTTACATCTCAAATTATCTTATTTTTTATACTTTTCGATCTTAAAACAAAGCTTTTTAATCAAAAACCTCTCAGTCCTCTTAATTTCAACTTCTTCCTTTCATTTCTCTCAGTGTGGGTGTACGGTTTAGGTGTTAATTTGGCTTTTAGGTAACTTTAGAGCTCTTTTTTTTGGGGGGTTGTGGTTCCAACTTACCGCTGGCTGGGACTTTTGCTGTCCGAGGAGTGGGCCGCGCTGTTGTTGTCGTCGTCGTGGACCATGGCGCTGCTCTTGTGGTGCCGCTTGTGGTAGCCGTCGCCGGCGCCACCGCCTCCTCCGTCCGCACCGCCGCCTGGGGCACCTCCCGAAGGACCTCCGCCGCCACCTCCACCGCCGGAGCTGCTCGTGCCCGTGGGACTGATGACGTCCGTGTCGCTGTTGCAGTCGTGCACCTGGCGGGCCACATCCTTGACAAATTTGCCGGCTCCATGCTCATGCTCGTGCGTTTCCATCTAGAAGGATAAAGGGATAAGAGGATGAAAGGTTGAAAGGATCAAGAATCAAGGTTTCAGGCCATAATCTGGCATTATTAATTTTGGCTCTTGGCTTTTCGGCTTGAGGCCTCTGACTTGGCTTAATCAATGGAATTTAGGCTCTTAAAGGCTAATTGTGCAAATACACTGAACAAAATAAGCACTGGCCAGTAAAAAGGATTAAAAACTTTTCACTTAAAAGTGTTCTAGTATTTAGGATTCAGAAGGTATTCTCCAAAAGGCTCTCCATAGAGGCTCTCTCTATAACTTATAGTTCCTCAAGCGACCTACATTTGTGTCGCGCACTGTACTCTCCAGTGCATCTGCCTGTGGCACCTTCTCTGTTAAACAATTTTGCCCCACGGTGCATTTTAAATCGGATGATGTTGACGATAATAATTAAACTTTGATTTGATTGCCTCCGACACGAAAACTTGGCCAACTCTGACTGGGCCTTAAGGTGAGCACTTGGCCAGAGCTAACCGGAAAGCGAGTAGACGAAAGAGAGGGCTATACACCAGCAGAGAGGGAGAGGGATAGGGGGCGAACGGAAACGGAAACATTCGACCATGAGCTGTGAGAACTTTTGCCAGAAACATGGCTTTAACATTGCATTATTGATTCCCTCCCCTCGGCCGGAGGAATTGTCGGAAAACTGAAAAGCTGAAAATTTATTTAAGAGCCGATTCGGTTTGGCCTTATTGCGAAATTAAAATTGGCACAAAGAATTGAAAAATGAACCTTGTTTGTCGATGATTTTCCCATCAATAACATCGAGAAATGAAAATAAAATAGATTCGAAATTAAAAGTACACGTGGGCTGCTGGCTAGTGAGAAGTTAAGACTTTAAATGAGTTTAAATTTATTAAAAGGTTACATTAATAAAAGGTTAACATTCCTCCTATCTAAAAGCTAATCACAGACTGCAGTGTCTTGCCCCAAAAAAATATCAAAATCAAGGAAGGCACTTTGTCAGGATCAGTCGCACAGAACAGGCCACTTGTTAGCCAAAAACCATTATTAATTTAATGCCAATGCTGGCCAAAACCAACTTAAAGTGAGCCAAGTGAGCCAAAAGCCAAAACCCGAAAGCCAAAAGTACTTATATAAGTGCTCGAGAGCCGCAAACTTGAAAGCTTCGATTTGACCATTGGGACAGATTGCCGATGGTGTTTCGTCCTGTATCCGTATCCTGGCTTCCAAATACACACATATGCCATGTATTAGTCAGTGTGTGTGTGTCCGTGACAAAACTGGCAAAATCCGGCGGAGGGTTTCAATTTGGCCTCCGGGTCTAAATAGGGGAAACCGCATAACATATCTGGCGGGATTTGTATGCCGTTCCCACCAATTAGTTGACAAATCGGTTCACTGCCAGATTAAGCTTCACTTGTGAGCTCCCACACACTACAGCACAGACCATAAAAATAGGTATGAGCATAGTTCCCTAGTCCATAGTTACCCAAAGTTTTATTCGTTTAAATAAAGTCTTGCAGTTTAAACTCCTTTAGGAGATATAACTCCCTCCTCTCTAATAGCTCCTATTATTTTGGCCTGCATTGTAAAGCAACTATTAGAGATCCTTGCCACCAGCAGATGCCCCAGGACATGGCAATTAAATGCGCCACAAAACTTGATTGGAATTTATTGTGGTTGCAGGACTGTCAAAATTCAGAAGCCGTGTTAATCTTCTCATTCCCCCAGCAAGGACGCCGCCACAAATAGTCCTGCCGGAAAGTTTCGCCGCCTCGCTGGTGAAGTGCTCTTGTGGGAGTCCTGGTCTCGTGTTTTAATTAGCCAATATTCCGATGGCAAATCAGAGGGATATAGCGGCTATAGCTAGGAATTCCAATTTCCTGCGAATAATTTTTGTAATGCACAAATTGGCGGACAAATGGACAGCAGACCACGGACAACGGACAACGGACAGTAGAAAGTTTTATGGGTCAGCTTTGATTTCCTTGAATGCCTTTTTAATAATTCACCCATGGCTGGTCAGCTTGGGGGTTATTTTTGTTTTGAAAGGACACCGGGACGACTCGGGGCGAGGGCAAAAAACTAATTTTAAAACTTTTAATCAGTTTTGAAATTTCATTTTCGTCTCCATAAATAAATATCAGGTTAAGATAACCCGTTTGAAGCGGCTAATCCTTATTTTCGTTATTTACTTTGAAGTAATTACTACTCGTATTTTATAGTTGGTCCTTTTTTTCGACGCCATCCTGTGCCGGCTATATCATTAAAATTTAGCCGGACATAACCGTAGAGCTCATAATCAAAAGTGTTTAAATTTTATGCCGGAGAGCGTAAAGGATAAAGGATTGTCGTAAGGACAAGCGCAAAAGGAAGCCTTCCCATTTGGGAAAAGGACATCTTGTGGGAGAAAGTAGAAAGCAAATGAGTTAGGCACTGAACGGAATCGTTTAGAGTCCGTTTCTGCCTTCTTGGCCTGCAGTTTGGAAGTGCCAGGACTTTCTGCTCGGTGTAGGTAGTGAGCTCGGGACAAATTGAGTGACACATGTCCCAAACAGACCATAAGGACTCTGTCTCCCTGCCCCCCAGTGTGTGTGACACAGGATGTAGTTGAGTGTCCTGGACACTGAATGGATATGCGATACAGTGCGGGATGGAGGACGGAGGGATGCAGATGCAGCACTTACCGTATATAGGCCCGTTGCCGTGGTCCCCGAGGACGAGGAGGAGGCCGCCGCCGCCCCTGTGCTGCCGTAGTTGAGCTGGGAGTGATAGCCGCTGGACAGGATCTTCTTGTGTGCGGATGCATGCGCCCGGTACGCGCTCACGCTCAGTTTCATTGTGGCATCCACTCCACTTTAGTTGCTTCTACTGCCACTGCTGATTCTGATGCTGATGCTGATGCTGCCACTTCCACGCCCACTTTTCAACCAGTCCTCCTGCCGCCCACGCCTATGTTAAGTGTTCGCCCCTTAGCCGTGGGCGTGGCCTTTGCTCCTCCTTTTTTTTTCGGTTGCTGATGCTATTTTGGCGCTCGAGTGTAGGTGTTGCTGTCGCTGCTATCCGACGCCTACCTGCAATATTGCTGCTCTGTTGATTTTTATATTGTAATGGCTGCGATTGTCGCCCAGGGGGCCTGGCTTCTCCTGCTCCTAGTCCTGCTCCTGCTTCTGCTAGTGCTTCTGCTGCACTTGCAGTATCTGCGCTTTTTTTTTGATGTTGCGGCTATGGTTGAGCTAAAAATATTCGTGTTTGTTTAGCGACGCGCAATATCTTTATTGCGGTTGCTGCCACGCTGTTGAAATGTTCCTGTAATGCTCTCCGCAATATCGTTTATGGATGCCTCTGTATCCTTGTATCCTTGCAATATTCGTAATTGTTTCCTTTTTAGTTGCTAGTTGTTGCAGGACTTTAAATATTTTAATTTTATTTTGGCCCGGTTGTCGTTGCTGTTTCTGTCGCTTTGGCCTCTATTGTTGCTGTAGTTGCTTTCAAGTTGCCTTGAATTGGGCTTAATTGAGTGCCCACGGGCGACGTTTTTGTTGTTTTTACAGTGGGCGTGGCACAAGGACGTGGGCGGAGAAAAGGGCAGGACAAGAATGTCGACACCCGAGCACAAAGCAAACTTTTTATTGCCGCCTTCGGTGGCGTTTTCAGTTGCTGTTGCTGGTGTTGCTGTTGGTGTTGCTTCTGTTTTTGATGCGAAACAAAGACAAAGGCCTCGGCCTCGTCGCTTGACGGATTGTTGTTGTTGCTGCTGCTGGTGCTGTTGGCCAGAAAACCCGGGCCTAAATGCCACCGTAAAACAACCCGTGCCCGTGCTCCCGTACAAGTGTCCGGCGGAGAATGGGTTGCCCGTGTCTGGGACGGTTGCTCAGTTTTAGTTAGAAACGGAGGCCATAAACGGAGCTGGAACTGCCATCGTGGCATGTAGCTGACTTTCTGCAAGGGACGGGGGCTCTTCTCGGAGGCGTGGCAACTGAAACGGGGGCGTAGTCCATGGAACGTGGGACTTCCCCTGGAGAATCCTTTGTCGTTCGTTTGCTTTTAATTGTTTGTAATTTTGTTTTTAGTGCTCTAAGGTTGTGGATTGTTGTTGTTCTTGTTCTTGTTCCAGTTGTTGTTGTTGTTGTTATTCTTGTACCAGTTGTTGTTGTTGCTTTTTTGTGTATCTGTGTGTGTTATTGTTGTTAAGGCCTCATGTCACTTTAGTTACAAGTATCTGTAGCTGGTGCTGTCGTATCTGTATCTGCATGTTTATTTGTATATGTAGTTGCTGGTGGTGTTGCTGTTGCCGCTGTTGTTGTTGTTGTTGATGTTGATGTTGATGTTGTTGCCTGTAGGCGAAGAAAACATTTTGGTTAAGTAAACATTAAAGTGGAAATTAATTAAAATGTCTAACAATTTAGTTACATGCAAAAACACACACAGCACACACACCCTCCGAAAACGATTTGGTTTTCAATGAATACCAAGAACCAAAAGTCGTTTAAAGGGCAACCACAGCCAAGTCGAGTCTTCCTGGCAATTTACCAGATCCTGTTCCCGCCACATCCTCTCTGTGCTGGGGCTCTTCTAGGTTGCAATTCAAATTAATATTGCCGGAGCTCAGCAAACACTCGAACAAGTTGTTTCCACATCAAAAATCATTACCGAGCCAGGAACGTGGCAGTAACATATATATATTTATAGATAATATATAATTAATTAACAATTTAAATTATAAGAGCTCATAGCCGCCGGAGGGCAGCCCCGATTCAGACCCATTTGCAGTTAAATACCAAAAGTTTGCTTTGAAAACAAGCACTCGCAGCTATGTAGGGGGGGGGGAGGGCGGACAAAAAGGGGTCAAAGGTGGCCGAAAGGTGGGTCTCGGTGCCAGTGGCGCTGTGGCTGTGTGCGGGTGTCAAGTTGGGTCAGCACAAAGTTCATTAACTCTGTGGCAAGTTTGATTTGTGCGTAATTGAACCTTTTGCATGGCCAAGTGGCTCAACTATCGTGATTGATGGCCAATGATTGATTGGGATGAGCCGGGCCAGGAGTTGGTCCTAATTAGCCCTGGACCCCAATCAATCACGCTGATTAACTCAGCGCTCTCGCTCCCAGTTAAGTTTCAGTTTCAGTTTCAATCGGAAGTCAGCAATCAGAAGGTGAGCCAAATTGCCAATAAATGTTAATTCTAAAGACATCAGTCGGAGCTCCAACCGGGGCTTGTAATAAATGTATTGATTGAAGCCAGCAATCAATTAATTTGCCACCTAGTCGCTCTGTGCAATCAACCGCTCTTAATTGAATATTCATATGGTACGGGCTGGCACTCGATGGGCTATCTGTATTCATTGAACCCAAAAACAAACTCAAACTCAAACTGATTCCGAATCTGAGACTGTGACATCAATCGGGCGAAAGGCAATCATTAGGCAATCAATCGAGCATCAACGCCCTAATTCATTCATTCAAACGGACACTCAACATTCAACATTCACTTGGCATTCACTTGCCGTTCATTTAATACAAATTCGACCCCAATATATAGACAATGGTCGAGTCCTGGCAAACGGATTTATTACCAAGAATCCTTGTATTAAAGCCCAATGACTAGACGGCCGGGGGGAGCCACAAAGAATAACAAGGATCTCGGGAATTTCATGTCTCCGGGAGGCCGTAAACATGTCGCAAATGTAAATCAAAAGTATGACTGGCTGACTGGCTGACTGACAGACAGACAGACAGACTCTGTTTCAGATTTCGGATTTCAGGCATTGTTGGTGGATGTTCATGTAAATCTTCCTTGGAGAGTAGTTGGGGGCTTAGTAACAGGACACGGCGATTGGCCGTAAAACTCCAGCAATTACAACACAAAATCCATAGGGCCCAAAGGCAAACATTCAATAAAGACTGTAAACTAAATAAACGAAGGCTCAAGCTTAGGCTCTGGCTCTGGCAACGGACTTTAATGAGACTTATGCACTGAAAAAAAATAGATAGCTATATGACATCAAGTAATTATATATTCAAGAAAAATAAGGCATGTTGGGTTACCTATTCATAGTCCTAATTTTATTTTATTAATTCTTATGGTATTGTTTCTGTTTTTTTGTCAGTGTCCTTGCCCACCTCTACTTCATTTTGCCGAGTCGATGGATTGCACCTGTTGGCATTTTATACACACACAACGATGGCACATAAAATGTAATTATAAAGCATTCAAACATCCTTACAGGGGGCGGCTAAAGGTTGCAGGAAGCCAAAGGACCAAGTCCGAAGGACCAAGGGCAGAGGTGCCTGGAAGGAGCCAAACAAAGTAAGAGACTTAACACTTTGTGCGAACGCTTAACCAGCTTAAGGATCCAAGGGAAAGGAGCCAGCAGGAGCCGATGCTGATGCTGATGCCGAAGCCCCGAGAAGCCAAAGGAGCCGTGCAAGTTTTATGAGTTTCTGCCTGGTCAGGCTGGCCATCCTATGGACTCACACACACATATATTGGTTGATGTACGTATTGAAAACGCTTATGTGTGTGTGTGTGTGTTGGTATTGTACGCATCTGTATCTGCGCATTTTTCTACATAAAACTCAATGAAGCATCCACTGACAGTCGAGGAGATAAAGAAGAAACTGGCAGCAACTGCTGCTGCTGATGCTGATGCTGCCCCTTCCCCTTGGCCCAGCCCGGCCCGGCCGATTTCAATTTCAAAATGTACGCTCCATTGGGCAGTGAAAACACCACATAGCATACCACCACCCAACCACCCACAGCACCACCCCTCCCCTTCGGCCACAACAGCACAAAAAGTGACATTAAAAAATGGTAGCCACTTGTCAGGCTGAAAGAGAAGGCCATAGAGCAATAGAAAGAGACGGGGCTGAGATGGGGAGAAAATATTTATCAAAAACTTATCGGCCGGGTCACGCGGCGTATGCGTTATGTAAAAATCATATTTAAAGTCAACAAACAAAATACAAATAAAGCACAAAACCGCTCACAACATTTTGATTGGTTTTTCGGTTAGTTAATTAGAGGACACCAGGACACGTGTCCTGTCCAAGAAATTCCCATTAAAATGCATGACATTTCCATTCCTCCCTCCTTTCTATTTTGTTTGGCCCTTAAGCGAAGATTTAAATTATGAGCGATGGTCGTGGATAATATGTAGTGTAGTATATAGAAGTCACGGAGGCTATCTTCCAAGCCAGTCGCCGCTGCTACACTCTTTCAAAATGTAAAAGGGAGTCATGTTTCTACTTTGCTGCATCCTTGAGAGGAATTTTCCCACTACCAGTAACTATATCTACATCATTGGCAATTCCCTTCCGATTCTCACGCGATTCTCTTCCTTAAACGATTTCTAGATCGATTCTCCATCAATCTGCATCAAAATCTGACTACGAACTACTTTTTAAATTTTTTTTCCAATTTTTCCTTATGGTAGCCCTGTAAAATCGCGGATTTTCGTATATGGCCCCAGTACCATATCTATATCTTGGCCAATACTTAGAAGATTCTCAAGCGGAATACCTTAAACGATTTCTAGAGCGATTCTCCGTCAATCTGCATCAAAATCTGACTACGAAATATTTTTTCAATTTTTTTCCAACTTTTCCTTATGGTACCCCTGTAAAATCGCGGATTTTCGTATATGGCCCAGTACCATATCTATATCTTGGCCAATACTTATCAGATTCTTACGCGGAATAGCTTAAACGATTTCTAGATCGAATCGCCGTCAATCTGCATCAAAATCTGACTACGAAATATTTTTTTCAATTTTTTCCAACTTTTCCTTGTGGTACCCCTGTAAAATCGCGGATTTTCGTATATGGCCCAGTACCATATCTATATCTTGGCCAATACTTATCAGATTCGCACGCGGAATAGCTTAAACGATTTCTAGATCGATTCTCCGTCAATCTGCATCAAAATCTGACTACGAAATATTTTTTCAATTTTTTCCAATTTTTCCTTATGGTACCCCTGTAAAATCGCGGATTTTCGTATATGGCCCAGTACCATATCTATATCTTGGCCAATACTTATCAGATTCTTACGCGGAATAGCTTAAACGATTTCTAGATCGAATCGCCGTCAATCTGCATCAAAATCTGACTACGAAATATTTTTTCAATTTTTTTCCAACTTTTCCTTGTGGTACCCCTGTAAAATCGCGGATTTTCGTATATGGCCCAGTACCATATCTATATCTTTGCCAATACTTATCAGATTCTCACGCGGAATAGCTTAAACGATTTCTAGATCGATTCTCCGTCAATCTGCATCAAAATCTGACTACGAAATATTCTTTCAATTTTTTCCAATTTTTCCTTATGGTACCCCTGTAAAATCGCGGATTTTCGTATATGGCCCAGTACCATATCTATATCTTGGCCAATACTTATCAGATTCTTACGCGGAATAGCTTAAACGATTTCTAGATCGAATCGCCGTCAATCTGCATCAAAATCTGACTACGAAATATTTTTTCAATTTTTTTCCAACTTTTCCTTATGGTACCCCTGTAAAATCGCGGATTTTCGTATATGGCCCAGTACCATATCTATATCTTGGCCAATACTTATCAGATTCTTACGCGGAATAGCTTAAACGATTTCTAGATCGAATCGCCGTCAATCTGCATCAAAATCTGACTACGAAATTTTTGTTCTATTTTTTTCCAATTTTTCCTTATGGTAGCCCTGTAAAATCGCGGATTTTCGTAAATGGCCCAGTACCACTGCTATATCTTGGCCAATACTTATCAGATTCTCACGAGGAATACCTTAAAAGATTTGTAGATCGATTCTCCGTCAATCTGCATCAAAATCTGACTACGAAATATTTTTTCAATTTTTTTCCAATTTTTTCCTAGGGGTAGCCCTGTAAAATCGCGGATTTTCGTATATGGCCCAGTACCATATCTATATCTTGACCAATACTTATCAGATTCTCACGAGGAATACCTTAAACGATTTGTAGATCGATTCTCCGTCAATCTGCATCAAAATCTGACTACGAAATATTTTTTCAATTTTTTTCCAATTTTTCCTTATGGTAGCCCTGTAAAATCGCGGATTTTCGTAAATGGCCCAGTACCATATCTATATCTTGGCCAATTCTTATCAGATTCTCACGCGGAATACCTTAAACGATTTCTAGATCGATTCTCCGTCAATCTGCATCAAAATCTGACTACGAAATATTTTTTCAATTTTTTTCCAACTTTTCCTTATGGTACCTCTGTAAAATCGCGGATTTTCGTATATGGCCCAGTACCATATCTATATCTTGGCCAATACTTATCAGATTCTCACGCGGAATAGCTTAAACGATTTCTAGATCGAT